CGAGCGCAGAGATGTCAGGGAGGGAGTACGCGTGGTATTATCTCGAGCTGCAATTCGCCAGAGCTTCACAGTTTACCCTCCTGCGCTCTGACTGACCGACCAGACACCGTTCGCGGGGCAAATGAACGCATGCGGTAAGTCCCAGCGAACAGTTAAGCCCAAACACCACAATTAGCTTGTCTCGCAAGAATTTAAAATTTTTGTTGTTGCATGAGGGTTTTCCGGCAGACTTTTGGTAAAAGTTTTGCAGAGTAACGAGAGGTAATCATTAGGTAACGACTGAAGAAGCGAGTGGCGATATTGTCAACAAGGGCGGAAGATACGAGATGCTGATTACGCAGTTACCGCTTCCCAGAATCGCCCGGCTTGGACATCTTCCAGACGTGCTTGGTAGGATGAGAGCTTGGAGGTGGGAGAGGAACCATTCAGCGTGGATCCGTGGACCCCGGAAGGTCGCAGCCGGATGCAGTCAGAAAGCAATGGGTCTTCGTCTGCGGCGATCTGGGCCTTAGTCTGTGTTTGTCGGGGTCTGGGCCACTTACTGGCCAAACCCCGACCGTCCATGGGTGTGCCACAGACTCGGGTACCCTCTTTGATAGGGGCTGATTCAGAAATGGCATGATCTTGACAGGATCTGGAATCTTATGCACAGCAGTGGATCATCTCAACTTGGCAAACCTAGACCCGACATCGATACCACAAAGTTCACTTTTTTTTTTCCCAAACGCTGAGGAGAATGCGAAAACATGAAGGCTGGAGAGGAGGTGTTGTTATTGACGATCATCTGTTGTAGTCCCAGTAGTCCCGACAAAAGAGAGCGCAGATGAGAGTCACAGCATTTTTTTTTCGTGACGTGACTCAAGCTTCAGATCGGTCCGGGTTTGGTATCTATGTTTCCCTCGCTTCGAGAACAACCGTTGGTCGGCCGTCAAGCCTTATCAGTGGGTGCAATCTTGTGTTGCCCTTGTGCGACTCATCCGTACCACGATCAGTCCTTTGCCTAAGCAGCTCACCTATCAAGAGCTCCTCATTGCACACATCCGCTTGGGCATGTTTTGCCTTGTGCTAAGTGAGGGGCAATGGGCGCTGAGCAGTTCCTAGAGAAAGACTTTCAAGAGAACCCAATTCTCAAATCTTGTATTCACATGGTTGCATCACCTAACATTAATATCCGCTCCGAAAAAAAATAGGTGCCACATCGCTATCTGTACATTTAACTTACCCTCTCGCTTACCTTGGTTTTTCCAAATATAATACCATACCTGTCTTACATTCACGTAGTCGCTTTTCAAATTCTGTCAATCGATCAATCGAACAGGCTCTCGGCCACACTCAGACCCACACACACACACACACACACGCACTCACACCCTTTTAAACTCTGAGGGCCTACCATTCCGCGCGACCAAGACCTGCAATGTAACCACACAGCAGCCCGCGGCGGCCTGGGCTTGCAGTAGCATCTTTTTGTCCTTTTCTCCCTTGCCGTTAGATGCATGGAAGAGGTGTGTGTGGTGTGTGTGGTGTGTGTGGGAGGGTGGTGTGTGCACCATGGGGGAGCTGCGGACGCACGCTTTTGGAAGTGGCGTTCTGGACTGGGCTTGGTGGGATGTTAGATGGGGGTGTGGGAGTTTGAGTGAGAAAAGGAGGGATGATGATGGGGAGGGAAACGGGTTGTAAGGTGATAAATCACGGTGGTAAATGAGGAACTACTACCCAGGAAGGTAGGTAGGGAAGTGAGAATTTTGTTGACGATACCGGTTTGTATGAACTATCAAGGTTCTCACATCATCCCCTCCATAAATCTCACAACACGCTTCAATCCCGTCCACCGAAACCGCCCAAATAAAACACCCCAGAACTGTAAAGCGCTTACAATGTATGTACACAGTAAGTTGTCTCTCCATCAAACCAAATCTTCACCGGTTAGCTGACATAAACTCCGACACCCGCGGCATGGATGGGTAACAGGCGGAAGTCGCGAAAGCGCGCATGGGCATCCCCGCTGCAGCCGGTGAGCAAGCTGCGTTGCGATTGGTAAGGAGCATGAAGGCTGATGAAGAGGAGTTGTTTGACCATACATGGTTTGGGACGGTGTGGTTGCAGTGGTCTAATATTTTGGGGGGGGGGGGGGACGGCGATGGATGAGGTAGTGAGGAGCAAACTTGATATATAGTGTTAGCTGGATATTGGGACGGGATTGTGCCTTGATTAACGACGTAACGGAAATCTCTCCTTAACGAGGATTGTCTGTACAGTGATTGTGATGCTTACACGACAGGTAGTGCTAAGGGGTAGAGGAGTATTGGAGTTGTCCGCCAAACTCCCATGGCTCTAGTACTGATTAGGTATACAGGCATCAGGGCGGTAGCACAACCTCAATTCAAGCATCATCTGCTTATTTCTTGACATCAGCACCAATCTAGAGAAGCGTTCGGTCAAGATAGCATTCTGTTGGCTGTCGGGTTGAACACTGTACACATCTAGCTTCTTCTCTATATTGTTAAACTGCCGGATAGCCACTGATAAGCACAGAGAAAAACCATCAACATCGACGATCTCTTTAGCTGTTGTTGATACTGTTGGTTTGCTTTAAAGTGAGGAGCAATGAAGGAGCATCTCCTGACGCCAGAAAGCCATCCCACAGAAGTTACGACTCCTATGCACTCTTCCCTTCCACTTAAGTCCGGATGCTACCTAGCATACGATCAATCCTTCAGGCCCAGATTAAGTTGTTCAAGGACGGCACCTAGCGGGAGACGGAAGGGGGGAGCGCTCCATTGGTAGCCATCTGAATAAGACGGCTTCTACACCGCTAAACAATGGTCAGAACCTAGTTACACTGCCGATTCCAAAGAAATGGTAGGGTGGGATGCAACTCTCTTCCCTTGTTTTTAGATGATGAAGTCATAAGGGAGATTTGTAGGCCAGTCTTGGGCAATGTCTTGCAAGCTCCGGGTATCCTTACCGGACACTCAGGGGTAGCGGCTCGGACATGTAGTGAGTTTGCATTGTTGTGTGCACATTAGATTGTTTATATTCCATAAATCCGATGGATTCAGTCCGATATTGACTTTCGTGCGAGATAGGGGCAATGAGACGACAGTTCTCAGTTGGAGAATACTAGTTGTATGTTGCCCTGCAAGAAATCTCGTAACTTACCGCCTGACAGTCACAGTACGGCTCCATCATTCATGATAAAGCTTCTACAATTTGCCATTTTAACATTCTCCTCCAGTCCCCTCCTCCCTCTCCTGTCCCGCCCCTCCATCATCTCTCAGCCAACCATTTTCGATCCCCTCTGTAACCCATCCTGTTGAACTCCTTGCCACTTATGGATAGAGGTGCATACACAAGCGGCTCAATGTGGTCAGGTGATTGATAATATAGGAGGTTAAGAACTAGAGACAAAAGAAGCTTCGGGCCTTCGTCATAAACGGACAGTTTCTAGTCCGTGAGCGCGACTCAACATGTTGTGTAACAGGACATTCGCGAGCATACATACCTAGAACTGAGACCACTTACGACTGACAAATCTGCGCAAAACAAAGTGGCCTACTAAAGGCAGTGAACGTCTTGCCATAACATCAAAACCTCAAGCCTGGTCCCGAGATGGCTTGCTAAAGCAGGAGAGAGCTGCAGCGGACTTAGTTTCTGGAGTACGCCAACTGCCTCCAGGATTAGAGGACTCGGCTCATTCCCCGCAAACTGGCAGCTCAACGTTACGTTAGGTGTGATACACAACACCTGACCGGTTGGCGACTCGATCGATTGATGATGCAAGCCCCTCACTGAAAAAAGCCAACAACACTCAGCCCTGCTAACATGCCGTTCGGTTGCAGAGAATCAAAATCGAGATAGATGAGGGCCACGTCTTGAGCATATTAACATTGCGTGCGGGGAAAGCCAGCAACCCGCTTTCGATTTGAACTTCGACCAGAATTACCGCCTAGGGCTGATGCGCTGCGACTCGGAGAATCTTAGACCTAGGTCTGAACACGATGATCCTTAAAGGAAGTACGATCCGGAAATGCTAGATATAGATTACGTACAAACAAATGGCCCCGCGTCTTCCCCCCCCTCCTCACCTAGCCATCTCCATGCCTCATCCGAAGTCTTCTCACCGACGTGACAATCTGTGGTCGGCTATGGGAAGGCTCGGGAAGATGTTGCTTATTTTGGAAGATGCTCCTTTCTAACTACCATCAACCTGCAAGTTATTATCATCATCTCGATTGTGTTATCGCTAGTGCATCATTGAAAAGACGGTTGGACTCAAGATGCTAAGAATGTTGTCCAAAAGAAGTAGTGAGTACGTCCCATGGGGATCTTGGCTCTTCCGGGGGATAATGATGGAGATATGAAAGTCGTGATACGAGTATGTCGGCTGGCGTTTCATACGATCACTCACGAAACGTAACACTCAACCTCTGGAATGCATTGCTTACCTTGTTTTTGTTGGATAATGCGATTAAGAGTATGAGTCCTCAAGGTCCTCTCAGAGGATGACTGTCATGTTTGGCGATGATGCGGTTGCTCCAGCAACCACATAGGGGACAAAGGGCAAGAAATGTGGAGTGTTTGAGAGACTTCAGATTGCAGTGTTGTTATAACAGCTAACATGCGAGATGTAGAGCAGCAAAATGAGAGGCGGGTGATGTCTGAACCCAATCGCTTCAGGAATGTTGAAAAAAAGTCACATCATTGAGACTGCTATCACAAGACCTAGTAGTCGTCAGAAAAGGCGCAATTGGCGTCAAGAGCAAGTCTACAAGTCTCAATGATGATGTGAATTGATTTGCAACTGCACATTAAAAACTTGACTAACGCAATCGTTATCATTAATCCCACGACGGAGATCGATACCACTTAAATCGCTCAATGATAATCAGAAATGATTCAACATTACATGAATGATAAAGCCGCGACGCCGTAAGCATCAAAAACTATCAAAATATCCAAGGGTATCCATCACTCAAACATTATCCAAAAAGAACTCATCAATATACCCATATCTCTTCCTTCAAAGGACTCTTCTCCATCTCGCACACTACCCTGCCCCTCTTCATGCTCCTGACCCCCTTCCCTACCTCCTTGCCGAACCCCGTAACCCTGTTCACAACACCTGTTGCAACACCCAAATCAATTCCCTTTCCATCTTCCTGACCCTCAACAACCGTCTCTTTCCCAAGCCGCTCTTTAACCCTAGGATCGACCCCATCTCCTCCAACAAGCCAGCAGCCCTTATCACCCGCAAAAATCCCCTCCTTCCTGCAATGCGCGACTTCCTGTCTACTGACGCGGGCTTCATCCCTGGGCAGCCAGAGCTTCGGAGCGGGTATCCACATCTCAGGAGGTTGGTACGCGCTCCGCTTGACATAGTTCGGTGGGAGGTCGGGTAGCTCCGCAGGCTGGGGATTCACGCGCTTAGCGAGGGTCCGGAAGTCTTGGTAAATTTCGGGATGGAGGAATGTGAGGAGAAGGTTCGGCGGGCGAGACGGGTCAGGAGTGAGGGAGTTCTTGATGGCAGCGAGGATTTGGGTAAGGCGGGAGTCAGGAGTCGGATCAGTGGTTGGTCTCAGGGAGGTAGAGAGTTTAAGGGGCGATTTGAGCTGCGATTTGATCCATTCTGTAATGGCGTATTTGATGCTACTGCTGCCTTCGATGCCACGGAGCTGGATGTCGCTGTCGAGACCGGGCTCGGAGACTGGGGGAGCTTCGTCATCAGAGTCAGAGTCGGATTCGGAAGCCATGTTGTAGTAATCAGCGGCAAGACCAGTGGTGTCCTTGGCACTCTTGTTTTCCCCTTCGGCAGCAGCACCTTCCTCCATGGTATGGCTGCTGTCATCAGAGGGGCCGTTGTCCCGTTCAAGAGCGAGAGTACGAGGGATGTTGTCCAGTAGAGGGGTTAAAGCACTGTTGAGGTTGACATGTACAATTGCAGTAAAGATGAGGAAGATGAGCATCAACAACAGAGGGCCGAATGCAGATTTGAGGGCAAAGAGTCCGACCAGGCAGATCTCGGCGATATAGAGCCCGACCATGAGGTGTAGTAATGCGCGAGGGTAGAAGAGGCCCCTGGTATCGAGACTTGAGTCATAAATGTAGAGTATGCAGTAGCGGAAGACGTAGCTGATAAACAACATGCCGAGACCGGCGAAGACGAGGATTAAAGGTGAGATGCAAGAATAGCTAAGGGCAATTACTCCCATATTCGTGAAGCGTGGGTACTCCGTACCCCAATGGATCTGTGTGAGTTTCCTCCAGCGAGCATATCGACGTCTGGGATTCACCGTCATACTCGCGATAAGTTCATGGCGGATGAGATCGCCGAAGTTAGCGAGTCGAGCAGCACCGACGGCAAGGCACTGAATTAGGATGTAAGACAAGTAGAAATTTGAAGCCAACGGAAGGTTCTGAGCCAAGAGATCCTTGGCAGAGAAGGGTTCTTGGATGACATCGGTGAGAGCAGCGGATGCGGCTGACGTGAGGGTAGTGACGATGAAGACCTGGACGACCTGGAAAGCGAAGTAGGCGTGTTGCACAAACAATTCGACTAGGGCATGGGAAGGGACGCCAGCAACTCCCGCACAGCCTGTTCACTGTTAGCGGCCGCAAGCACGCCAGAAACAGTTTGACACTTACCCCTCAACATCCAGGGAACCATAGACATGAACCACGACAGTGCCAATGCGGGCAGCAAACCCTGAATAATACCCTTAATCGCTGACGGCAGCTTCCCTATAAATGACAAGAAAGGTATCATTTTACTGAGCTTGTCGATGTTCGTAAGACCACCCAAGAAGGCAGACGGAATAGACCAGAAGATGACGACTGCCGCAATGACAGCCATCATGAAGAACCGTCGCATGATCAACTCCCACCACCGGACTCTCAGAGCGCTCCAGATGATCTCGTTAGGTCGCAGTCCGATGTACCGCGGAGACATGTGCAGCGGTAAGTGATGTGCTAGGATCTGGTATGCGGCCTGGGCACTAGCTTGAGAGTCAAACTCGATAAAGGCTGCGTTCAGAGGGGTACCATCGCCCCGACGGAACTTCTTTCGAAGGTTCCAAATGTCGCGATTGAGCACCTTGAGCCGAGCACGGGTCCACCGAATAGTGTCGACACGACGGCCAAAGTTCTGGATGGGTCGATGATGCGGACGGGATTCGGCAGGGATCCAGAGAGCAGCAACAGACCCACGAACGTCGGGCAGGGTAGAGTGCAGTCCGTAGGGGTGAACATAATCGGCATCTTCGGGGCCCTGTGGTTCCCCAGGAGGAGCTGGCTTGTCCAAAACGGACAGTTGACTCTCGGCAAACTTTTTGACCGATTCGATTTCGGCCTGCCCCGGTTCAGGATCCTTTTGGGTTGACTCTGATGCACGAGACTCTTCCGTTGCAGACTTCTGCGGTAGTAGAGAATAGTCGTTCGTCAGATAAGGGTCGGGATTCATCTTCAGGTAGCGCTCGCGTGCCGCGTTCGCCAATCTGATAAGCTTGATCTCGGCTTGCTGGAGTCGATCGGCAGTCTCTTCGCGATCCTTGACCAGGGCCTCCAGCGCACCAGTATCTTGTACGAGCCACACGTTCTTGACAGTTGGACCGAACAGTTCGCGCAGCTTCCGTTCGTTGACGTAGGGCTTCGGGATGCACGTAAATAAGACGGTTCGAGAAGAGAGGCGAGACGCATAGTTGGGTGAGAGCAGGTAAGCCTGGCGTAAGTTAATAAAAAAGATGCACTCTCGTACCACCATGAACAGCACGAAGCCGAAGAACAACCATGCGACCACGACGTGGGCGTAGAACTTGGTACCGAGCTTAACGTTACCCATCGTCAATTTCTCCAGATCCTTCAACCCATTACCACCTGTACCATGGATGGGCAGCAGGATGGGCCATGCGATGCATCCGCCGGCCAGACAAATGACAGAAAGAATCCTGAGAAATCGCAGGAACAGGTAACTATCGAGTGAGCAGTTGTTGAGAATCCAATCGTCGTCGATGGCAAAGAAAGGCTTGATCCAGTCAAACCAGCCATCGGGCAACTCTGGGCTGGGGTTCTCCGGCTCCCGGATGGCGGGGATGGACCGCGGAGCGTAGACCCGGTGGGATTTGCGACGGAAGTAGAAGAAAATCAAGAAACAGATGCCCGAGTAGATGAGGACAGGGGCAAAGGTGAGGCCAAGGCCTTCGAGCGAGGCTGAATCCTTCTCATTATTGTTTGCATTGAAGTGGGTGAGCGTGCCGCCAGTGCTGTTGTCGCGGGCTGAGCCAATGCGGTCGTCCTGATTCTCGATGTTCGAGACGTCATCCTGCACTAGTCAGTCGAGTCCATGCCTTTGGAGATGAAGCGTGTCCTACCAAGAGACTTCGTGCTGCCAATGCCAGCCCTGAAGTGTAGTGCTGAAGATGCGATGCGACCCAGTCCATTCTCATCTATGCTCGCTCACTTGAACCAGAACGTGTTGGGACGAGATTGCTCTTCACAGCTTCTGTCACTTTGTCCAATCTCACTTGTACAACACCGGCTCGTTCCTCCACATGCGGGATTGCAACATGGTTTGGCCGACCGTTGGTGTTGTGTCCCCAATGTCGTGTATATATGTGGCTCGGTGACACAGTCACAATACAGTGTACTCGGCCAGGGTCGAGCCGAGTCGGTATTGTCGTCGGTGATATTGAAAGAGATGGAGAGTTGAAGGTGAAGTCACTGGCAGAGCCCAACCAAAGCACTCCTCCAGGTGGGCCTTCGGAACCTTTTTTTTCCAGCTCCTTCTAGTTCGCTCGCAGCTTCCAGCGTAGGAGAAGCGGAGCTTGGGCCTGTCGCCCGTTTGAAGGGATTTTCAGCTCGCCCGCGACTGGACTAGCGTGTTGGCGGCTGCATGTCTCGTTTTTTCTTCCAGCACAAGTCCGGCAGGCGCCGACAGGGTCTTCAGGGTCGTTGCTTGGACTTGCTGGGGTTCTTGTCAAGCGATCGACCAATGAGCGGCCGATGTTGTTTGCCTGGGGCTTGGCTCACGCGCGCCGCTGGAGTCGTTCCCGGGGAATGCAGCAGTTGACACTCCAGACTCTATTACTAACGGGTCGGCTCGGGTCCCACGTTTCATCTTTCCCTTCACAGCAATCCCAGCCGAGAACTCGCAGGCACGCCGTCAATCGGCATCGGCAATCGGCGGCTGAACAAAGCATTCCAAAGGTTCGTACCCTGAAATCTAAGCCCACGATCCTAAGAACACCAGAATAGATAAACCAAACCACGGTCAAAGAATATCATGTCTATCGTCTTTCCCTAAAGATGCCACCTATTTGCCTCTTCTCAGCTCCTCTACTCGCATATCAACTACCTCGATTCGGCCGTGTACCCCGGCCCTGTCCTGACCAAGGATTCCTATTCACCCCACCATATTGCGGCTGGCTTGTAGCCGGATAATTCGCATATTTAGGCGTTTGCTGCACTCTAGGTCCTACATTGGGCGCCGTCCAGTTTGCCGTCCTCCAGAACGGCCTGATAGTCGCCCGCGTCGGCCACGAAGATGTTGGTGTCTGCCCTGCTGATATCGTCCCGTCAAGTCCAGAAGTCCCTCCAGTCTGCCCGGCAGTCGTGTTAGAGTCGGGGCGCGGCTGTCGACCCCATGTGCTCAAGTAGTAGCGGTCCAATTGGGTCTTGGGGTTAATACGAGAGCGCCTACTGTGCTGGGGCTGACGGTCGGTGAGGGAGTTCGTGCTAGTTGTGCTGCTGCTGGAACTGCTACTGCTCGAGTTGCTTGAGTCGCTGCCGTACCAGTAGTAGTGGTGCTCACGCTGATGGCGCTTGTGGCATGTGCAGCAGAGGAGAGCGAAAAAGATGACAACAAAGAGAGAGCAGAGGATGCCAGCGAGGGCACCTGAGCTAAGGCCTGATCCTCCTGACGATGGTGGGGGAGGTGGCGGTTCATCTTGTGCAGTTACTATGTCCGGTATAACCGGTTTGAAAGTTGAAGCGGAGCTGTCTGTTGGACCGTTGCCGAGTGTCACGACGGCTGTGATGGTCGCTGATGGCCGAGTGATCACTTGGGTTAGCACGACCTTTTGCTGGATTAGGGTAATAAATCCTGAGAGGTTTGATGTCGTCGCCATGACTGGCGTACGTTGCTGAAGATCTAGAAGTCAAAGTTCATGCTGATGACCATGATCACCACCGCGAGCAGCCTATCTTCGTTTTTCTACGTCATAGTGACTGAGCCGCACCCAGCAGCTCCAAGGCGTCACGCAGCATGACCAGGCGGCCGCGCCAAGGCACTCACTAGTTCCCACGGCGAAAGCAACCCACTGCGAACCCATTCCAGTCCTTGGCCCCTTCTGCACGCGACTCCCGAGCAGCCTATCACATGGCAGCCCACTCCCAGGAGACACCGAACTTCTATGAGCCCTTGCCCATCTTCCCGTGTTCCAGTCGGCACCACGTTCAAAACGAGCGAAGCGATGGTAGGGTGAGCTGCGGCCCGTGGAAGTGCCCAATGAGAGGGTGTCACGATCGTGAATAAACATGTGCTGCCCCTCCTTAACCACAGCGTGCTGCCTGCCGACTGGCTCACTGATGGCGCGGGCCAATGAGGGGTCGAAATCGCTCATCATCTGCAGCCGGTGCCAAGAAGGGCTTGCATGCACTTTGATCAGGTTCTACCAGTTTGGTTGACCAACGAGGAGATGGTTTTGCGGACACAGGTTCGATGGTGGAATGTGGCGTGACTCAGGTGAGTGTGCGGTTCATTGTTGGTCATCTTCCGATCAAGAGGTAGGCAGGTACCTATCAGCCTCAAGTCGAGATCCGTTGGTGACTTATCGTGCGCGGGTTTGCCTATATTAACCCTGCGTCTCTGTGCGTAGCACGGACGTGGTGGCAAAACTCTATCCGCATCTCCTTCTGAGGTAGGTTGCATTCCGACGCTGGGCTGACCTACTGGGCTTGCGCTTGCGGCGGTATCAGGCTCCTACGCTGATGCTATCCTCGGCTCGACACACTGGATATCGAAGCATCAGATGCGGCTCTTATACCTAACCAGAGGATGACCAGTTCGCCAAATTGCGCGTCTTTGACCTCGATGTCATGCTCACAGATTACATAGATATCTTTTTCGCTTTCCAACCCTCCTTGATGACCTTAGTCTTCCGTTGTGCTACGGACGAACGAAAGTGTCACAACGGGGAACATGCCTTAAGCTTTTTCATCACCTCCAAACTGCATCCTCCGACTCACCAATGTAGTTTATCACCCCATCCGATCCCTCTGTGCCTTTGTCCCGGATATGGGAGCCCACCAAGAGACAAACGATTTCACGCAAACTCTTTGTGTATCCTGCTCGCGAGGGATGCAATAAATCTTATCAATAATGCCAGGAAAGTATGCTACCCAATCCCAAAATACTTTGGCAGCCCGATAAAAGCGATCCCTGACCAACAGCTTGGGGGCGGCTACCTGAAACTTATCCGCCACAAGATACAGCTATAGAGAGGGATAGTTCCTCTCTCAGATGCCTCTCATGATGCCTTACAAGTTTTCGGACCAAACTCATCCAGGGAAATCTTATCCCTTAGCTTCGTGAAGAACCAGTAGCCATCCAAGTGTTGTCGTTGTCGTCCTCGGCCGTCACTTCTCCATGCTGAGGTTCCCATATCCAATTCATTAGTCTTCTCCATCATATTCTGTTTCAAAACCATTCTACGACGCATCGTATCTTCCACCATTCCTAACTTAAGTTCCCTCAACTCTTGATTACCCTCCTCTTTCTCCTCTTCTTTCTACTCTTTCATTTTCTCATCTTCCTTCTCGTCTTCCATGAATAGCTTCTCCTATTTGGAAATATGTTCTCCTCCATCATCTCACTCTTTGATATATAAGTCCCACACAAGCACCCCTGAGGCAGTCTCTAGCTCTTCTTGAATCTCATCCAGCGATATCAAGGCCGGTTGGGATGGCAGATGAGTCGAATAGTGTGATGTCATCGATGGAAAAATAGTAGTTGCCCGTATAGAGGAATTTCAGGAATGCCCTTATGGCTGCTGGGTTTTTGCATCACAGTTGACTCTCGAAACTCCATTCTGACAGACCAGTTTCTTCCATTGATACCAAATCTGTGGCTATATGGCTGCTCAGGGTGAATTTACCGACTCAATGCTACCGTCTGATAACCTTTCAGCGAGGTAAGAAGACTAAGAAGAGAGATTGGCCCGACGGGCTCTGAAGATACGCTGGTCACATTGCTTGATGGCATCACCGAACTGTCTTGAGCAGAAGAGCCATGAGAATGCGAATGGGAGGTTCGCTTGGCCTTCTGAGTCCTGATCGGCTTTCCGCATCTTTGTGACTGTGTCCTTCTAATTGGCGTGTAAAGAAGATGAGCAGCAGCCCTGAGCGAAGCACTTCTGACGCGATGATCGTGAAGGAAGACATAGGAAAACAATGAAGCCCGACACGAGGCTCCTAACCTTGCTCTTATAATCGAACTTCTAGTTCTATTCTTGGCAACAGCCTGGGCTGGGCAGTTAAGCCATATTTAAAAGGAAGTTTAAGAGTTTTCAGGCTCAACGTTTCCCAGTCTAGTGTAAAAACGCATGAATCGTGACTGGTCTCAATGTGCACCTGAGTTTTGATGCCTATGCCAAGATCCCCTCTCGTTTCATGTCTTTGGGTGGCTCTACGTTGTCAGTTGACCTCAGTTAAAGTTTGGTCAAGTCAGACACTTGATTGGACGGCGTCTGGGGCTCTGAGAATTTAGATATAGGAGAATATCAGAGACAGTGCGTAGTAAATATGAGACCTAGAGTCCTTGACTGTTTGAGATATGTCAGAAGCTAGTAAGTGAGCCTATACAAGGAACTTTGGCGACCACTTCGACGGGCCACAAGTCTTGTAGTAGCATTTCTACCCATAAAGAAATAGGGGGGAAGAGGGAGTAAGACTTGACGCAGAAAAATTTTCCAGCAGCAGTTAAGTTGCCAGGATCCTACCTTGTCGCCCAAGCCTACCGTCCAATTGGCTCTCAGTCCGGTCTCAGACCGCCTTGATCAGGACCAAGAATCACCCCGGACTAATGGACCAAGTTAAAATGCCCCATCCTTCGACGTCGAACTCACTGACAGCTTCCGCAGGGCGACATCTAACACTAGGGGTTCCGACGGAGTGGCTCTGGCCTTAGTTTGACATGTCTGGGACAGATTGCTACCGATCACCCCATGCCTCTCTGAGTCCTGTCTCCGCCTCTGCTGCTTCCCCTCGGCGTTCAAGCAAGTGACCGTGGCTTCTCTGCCCAAACCGGGTCGCGACCCCCGATCCTACAAAGGATGGCGGCCGATTACCTTACTGTTCGTCTTTAGAAAAGGTGTCCAGAGACTCTTCACGAGAAGAGTGACTTCGGCCGCAGCCTTATCAGGCGTTATCCGCTTAGGTGTCGCCGGGGCTATTCCTTCAAAATCCGCTCGGACTTTGTCCAGGCCCTTGCCCATGCCACGGAGACCAGATCACGCCAAAGATATCACGGGCTTCCTGATTATACTCGACATGGACCCGGCCTACCTCTCTGTCCAACATCAACTACTTAATGAGGTCCTAATTGACAAGGGATGGCCCCAATCATCTGTGAGCAGACAACGACCTTCTGTGAGAGGCGTCGCTTCTTCTTTAGGTGGGCGCGATCTAGTTTTCACTCGGACACTGGGCTGCCGCAAGGGCCCCCACAATCGCCGATACTCTTTTGTGTTATATTCTTTACCCATCATTATCCCTTCCCAACAAGGTTCATATTTCATGTACATTGGATGACCACCTGCAGCTCTCTTGGAGCCAAGGCCGACCCAACTAGCGTTCCAAGCTACCCTTTGCGGTCAATCCTTACGTTAAAAGGCAGGCGGCCTCGGTCTCCGAGTAGACCCCAACAAAACAGACGTCCCTGTACATCCCCCCACATAGAGCAGGCTCGAAGCGACACAAAGCGAACCAGAATCAGCTTAGTCTTCTGTCTGGCGACCTTACATTTCGCCCCCAAGACCTCAGTGAAGTGGCTCACGATAGTTTTAGATGGTAAACTGAGCCCCTTGGCCCAGGCGTCCTCGAGAGCGCCGGTTACTGCCTCCGTGGTGGGCCTAATTAAGAGACTCTCCAACACTAAAGCTAATGGCTTCCCTTCCAATCTGGACCTACCATCTTCAACATGGCAGTGGTGCCTTCACTGATGTATGGCTTAGTTCTACTTGACATAGGCCCTTCTAGGGTCGGGGCCAGGGGTCGGCTGATACCCGTCGGCCTCGGAGCGGTTCGGGAGGCCTTGTCCAAAGCTGCCCATGCGGCCCTCAAGGTTCTCTTCCTGGTTCGGCGTACCATCCCAACGCCATGGCTATGGCGGCTTGCTGGACTGCACCCATATAACCTGCTAGACCGGGAAAAGTACAAATGGCGGAATCGCGTGCAAACTCTATCTCCGGGCTACCCACTATGGAGAAGGTTACATACTTCCCCGCATACCGACCGCCCAGACACCCAGGGTGTTTTGGCACTCATGCAAACTATTTGAGAATAGAAAAATTACAAACTCGAACTTTACGGCTCACCCGGAGACCATCAAACAAGACAAGCCATCCCCATCCTACGCCCTCCCCAGCTCTCACGCGCCGCGACCTTACATTCTCGAACGATGCGCACCCCCTAACAACGTAAAACCAGAACCAGAACCGTCTAGTTTGGACATCCACATACCTCACACTCTCCCCTCCTAACTCATTTTGTTTCTGTTTGTACTCATTTCCTTTTTTAGACACCACCACTTTATCTCACGGATACACACACTGGTTTTCCCCTTCTCGGGGTTTTCCGCGTGTATATAGCTCAAACCAGCCAATGCATATGTACCTTTTTCCCGCCGGCGTCGTGGGCACGGCCGAGAATTCTCATTGGTGATACGAACTGGAATTGCGATTGAATTTGCCTGGACGGCCGCAGGCTTCCTACTTTCCCAGCCCCAGATAGGAAATCCGAGCACTGCCACATCCAGCCTCAACCAGCCCGGAGGCCTAAACCAACATATCTACATACAAATCTTCGTACTTTCCCCAAAATAGACTATCACCTGATGCTTCAGAATGTCAGTTGTGATAATGGCTTATCGCTAAGCCTCGGGTTGGGCCTTTCTGTAACCAAGTGCAATGCTGCTGGGAGCTAAATGCCGGGGAGAATACAACCAACGGTTTATTGATGCACAGTCATTGCAACGAACACTATGACCTCTGACGTCATGAAGATACGTCCAAAGGTGCATTGCTGTGCAATTGCATCGCCTTGCGGTTGTTTTGGCTCATGGCAAGGCATAAATGCTCCATGTTACCGACTATGGAGTGCCTAAACCTCGATGCTAAAAAGAGAGCTCGTCCAGCAGCTGCTCAATCAACTTCATCTCACAGCTCTGCCCTTAGCTTCTGCTGTGGTATAGATTCGACTCTTCAAGATCATCGCTTCAATCCAGCTATCTCAGGACAATCCCACTGGGGTTGAGAGCACAGGAATTGTCCATTACGCTTGATATTACAATGTGCTCTGAAAAGCGTTGGAGCTTGGATATTTACTCTAGTGATGTGGCACTGCCTGAGAAGCTGTATAGGGTTACTCACCTTAGAACAAGATCCCGGGTCATGCGTGACGCTCTAGGTGACCATAATCGCGGCGATATGGTTGCACGCAAAAGATCTCGCGCTACCGACAAGGAGGATGATTTCACGCAGTCTATAAAAGACCATATCGATTGGTATTCTCGAAACCCCAGTCCTTGGATGTCAACCTTTGACTCCTTGAAGGCTGCCTGGTCCTGGGCCAGTGGCCGAACCATCGATGCGCCCGTGAAGATCTACACCATAGATACGTCATGCCTGCCCGATGATTGCGTTGTTCTATCCATGAGAGTTCTCAAAAAAAAGCTTAAACCTTAACTACAATTTTGGGAGTCATGAATGGATAATCCTTCATCGGATTCCGAGGGACGCAATCAAGGAAGTCATGCTTTTTAAGCCGATTTCGGGTAAGGGATGGACCTTTTTTAACTACGAATCAAGGTGGACAGGGCAAATATTCTAACGTTGCTTTCCCACAGTAACCGGAAATATTTGCGACCTCGAAGAGGATCTCTTGGTCGAGGATATCAGGATCGCGATCCGGGACAATCCCCAGCTGCTTGAACCATGGGGTGCTCGACAAAAGCTCTCTATCCAAGAGGTAGAAGAGGATATTCGGGGATTGGCAATTGCGTCTTCCAGCAGACAGAGCCAAGAGTCGAGGACAGTCGATGCTAATGCAACTCTTCCTTCAACGAACTCGACTCAAGTTGACGTTCATATCCAACAGAAAGCTCAGGTTCTTCCGGAAAGTTATGGAGATGGTAAGCACCTTTGCGCAGGTTTTTTGCGGTAATATGGCTCGAGCTAACATGAGCGTGAACAGAGCAAGATCGTGCTGGGCAGCAGCAGGAGGCAACAGGAGATTCTCCAGGAAGCAGTGCTAAATAAAAGCGGGAAACAAAGACCTTCATCGCGGGTGCCATCGCTAAGAGGGAAAGGCAATCCACATGTTAACTACTTTCTAACACTCCGGAGGGAACGACAGGGTTGTCTATCGTCAATAGGCTCACTGTTTAGGCGTCAGTTCGCTGCTTGTTACATGTAGATAATGTGCCAGCGTCACAAATTTCTATAGCAAGTTACTGAGAGATTAGTGTTTAGTAAAAAGAAATGAATTATTGTTAAGCTCCGAACTAGTCAACACTGGCGACAGATTGCATTTGTTGCATGCCGTTAGGTTCATATCTGTGTCATCAACCGGATGGGCTAGGCAACGAACAGACTAAGACGTGCAGCTATAGCGACTGATAACACGGGTTTTTCGACTAGCTTTATTTCAAGGGTTGCGGATTGTTAAGTTGCTATATGATGTAATGATCGGAATTATCGTTTCTTGTATCTATAAACAGAAGAGCTACATCGTCACGCAGCAAGACATTACCTTCAATAAAAAGCATTACGGAAATGGCAAGCCCTGTGGTTTTCCAAGTTTCAGGAACATTTGGGACTATAAACTAAAACCGGACTCCATTCCATAGAAACCTTATAGGGTCGTGCGTTTGAGGACACAGACTACTTCTTGCATATCAGTTCCTTCACATATGAAATGCGCTTGCTTGAGACCACAATCGGCAGTTCGAAAGGGTGGATGATTTAAAGATTCAATCCTAAAATATCTCGATTAGCACAACAGAGACCCTAGCTATTTGATGTCCACCGTGTCAAACAGGGTACATGCAACCGGGCCAGGAGCCGGAGGATCCTTGAACCTATGAGGATCTACATTGCGATGACCGACACCTTAGAACTCCCAGATTATGCGTCGTCCTTTAACCTAGTTTATATTTGAAGAATCTGAAGAACTGACTTGCAAGTTACTTCGCGGAAAGTTTGGTCTCAGCAAGGATCTCCTCCTGAAATCCACGAGGACCGCAATCGGAGATAAGCTTTGAAATTTCTCTGTAAAAAGACTCCGAGAGACCAAAGCGATAGCTAAGTCAAAGCCATTACAAGCCAAATAGATGAGCTTGTCATCGAAGGGGATGGATAAAATGCTCAACTTTTGGTCAATGTTTCAACGGGGCAGGACATTGTGCTACACATCACATTTGTCCGGACTGAACATCTCAGTTGCACATCAGTGTACTGCATCAGCAATCCCAATTTATTACCGAGCTCGGTTTTTCGCTGGCCTTGAATAATTTCAAGATTTGAACTCTAGCAAGACTGCCGTTTCGTTGAACCACGGAATTGATAACTACCAGATAGCTAGTCTGTAAGCCTGCTCAATAAATCAGCCAACTCTGTTAAGAAACATCGGCACTCGGAACTTCGCTCAACACATTTGCTCTGCAACCAAAAATTGCGTTGTACTGTGGCAAAAGTGTCTGTGGCGCAGCCAACACGTTGGCCATATCCTGCGGCCCGTGATATTGACCGCGACATAAGCGGCTAAGTTAGGCAGCTTGGGCTATCCAGTGCAACTGCTGTCAGTGTAGCGGCGAAGGTAACCAATCCAGCCACATTCGGATCTGATATCCAGGCACCTGTGATCCCAGAACTTCTTTTGTTCGTGAGGCAATGCATCATTTGCAGTTAGGCAATCAGTATGGATACTTGGAAGTTGGAGGCCCAAGCGAGGAAGGCATATAAGAAGGCGCTTCACGACAATGTTGAAGGATACGAAGTCCAATCAGCCCACATGAATACTTGGATTGTGAACTGGAGAGTATTGCCACTGTCGGCTTTAAACATCCGCTTTGCTCGCCATCTAGCATTTCTCAGTTCGAACTTTACGTCAATAAACGATGATGACAACACAACAGGATATTTCCCCTTACCTTGCGTCGGTCAACAACGCCCACAAACAGCGGCGGCCAAGATTCTTCTGGAAAGTAACTCATTACGATACCCAGTCATGGGAGCACCCTTTTACCCGGGATCTCATTGCAGTCGACAGCTTGCGGGTGATTGCTACCGAAGAAGAGTTGAAGCGTGCTGTTGTCAATCACGCTTTCTGGGGGAGTAAGGAACCTAGTTGCTTCCTCTCCGTTTTTTCTGATTAGAAGCATGCCTATAATTGGGCCCAGAAGGCTGCCAGTCATGGATCTTGGGCGCGGGAGCCACCAGTTGCAATTCACACTATAGAATCTCGCCTTCTCCCATCGTCATGTGTTGTACTGGAGATGGACTCTCTGAAAAGCGTTTGGCCGGGACCTTTGGCGTTTCATAAACACTCCCAGAACGAGTGGATATTTCTTCATAAGATCCCTAAACAGGCTATTACTAGGACCCATCTAATACGTGGTAAGTAAGGATCGCAGTGATCTCTATAGAGGAGACTGTACAGGTTTATCCGAGCAAGCACTGACGCTCCGTTTGTACTAGACGACGAGCACAACAGAAAAAATTTGCTGCTTAGAAACCAAGAGATGTATGCGAAGAGTATTCAAGCTCTGATCGGCGACATATCTCGTCTCATAACAGCCAGATTTCTAGTCTTTCAGAAAATATTGTGGGTTACCAAGTTATATTTTCAAGCACCATCTTGAACTCACACGTAAATGAGCTAACAGCCATGATCGTAGAACATCAGATTATGCCGACCATTCTGAGATTCTCCAGCCAGTCACGACCAACGAAGAGAGCTTAGAACCTTCCTCAGCCTATAAAACTGCCCAGTCTACGGGCGTATATTTGATCTCAGCAGGCCCAACTATAAACTACCTACGCGAGGCAAAGAAAGTATATGAAGAACAGGTTAAGGCAAAGTGTGAGGAGTCGAATAAGGCAAGAAAAACTGCCAATGAGGATCCAAATCTTCAACAGGAGGCCAACACGTGCGCGAAATATGCTAAGCTCTCAAGTCCGCAACTCCAACACTCCCAACCAGTGCCAGTAGACAAGCATCCAAACCAATTTGATGATAAACAAGGTGAGAGTCACGCTGCTGGTGCAGGATTAACGAGATGCTGATGTAGCAGATGACGATCTTGCGTCCCGGATCAAGAGCCTTCAAATCTTGGAATGACACTCCCTAGCAACCCTGTTCACCAACGTTCATCAGGTTCAGCGCTGAGCAAATGCTAGTATTCGACAGAGTATGATTCTCGCTAAGAAGCCCAATGACGGGACATTCTACTATAGTGAGCGGAGATGCACATTGTTGCACGGCATGAGACCCCAATGAATTCAATAAGGATCTACGGATGTTTATTTCGCAACTGAGTTTCTCTTGGGCTGTGTCGCTCAGTAGGGGTCAGCGACATGGAAGCATGGGTCTCGGCAGTGCAAACAGAGCACTATTTGCGAAGAAGATTGAGCCCATCCAGATATATAAGGTGACTTATAGGCAAGTTTGCTTAGCTAAGGAACTAGTGGGATTCTGGCATCAGTTGAGCTTTTCTATTCTCTTTCTTTATTTCTTTGATGTCCTCTTCTCTACTTGCTTTTAATACTTCAGGCAGTAAGCAATACAACGAAGCTGGAAAATCTTCTCCTTGACACTCACTCTGGCTAGATCTCTTTTAATCGCAAGATGCAATCGTTGTTGTATCATTAGCCGAGAGCTTGCTGCAAGCCACATGACTGGTGCTACCTAAACTGAAATAAACATACTACTCTCTTGTAGATGTTTGTGTATTGGCGGAGGTTGAGCTATTGCAGTGAGTCTTCAATAATGTCTGTGAGCCAAAGATGGGGTTTGACAAAGCTTAATTACCTAGTCACATTAGGCGCCCTCGCAGTTTACCTATTGCAGAACATAAAAATACTCAATAAACCAGAGAGAAAAGTATAATGACAGATTTTCTTCGTCCTACTACCCTCTCAACTCCTCTAGCGTCATTTTTATATTAGCATTGCCGCTCAGAGTATTGGAAGGTTGGCGACAGCAGTCTTGGTTTGTGGTTGAGCGTAGAACTAGTTCCCTGTAAGCGGTTCATCAACCCCAAGAAAACCATCGCAGCATTCTTGCTACAAGAGCTTTCTCAGCAACAAAGCACAACTATCACAAGTATGTGACTTCTTAAGTCTCTATCTAGGTCACCATGGCCAATACACACAAGATACGAACCATCAAAACCAGAGATGCAAAGAGCCTAAGCCAGTAAACATACACTCTGGCGAAGAAGAGAAGAAGGCTGAGCAGCCTCCTCCAGAGGAAGTAACCAAAAACACCGTTCATCCCGAGTATGTCACGGAAAAGATGAGCGCTGCTGCGTAGGATCCTAGCCAACTTGGAACTTTGGGGAATGCTATCGTTCATGGATTATTCTGTTGGGAATAATAGAGGGAGATTTGGATATCGGGTTTTAGGAAACATCCTGATAAAATGAATTTGATGTCAGCTGTCATAAGGGGAATCAGCGCCAAGAAGTTTGAACATGAAGATGGAAATGCGCAAAGTGTAAAGCCGCCTTGAGTTGAACTTGGCTATTCGGCATTGTCCAGGTGGTTTCTACGGTTATAGATCCACCTGAATATTTAACGAGGCAATGAGATGAAGCTTTGAAAGTCCTTTAGTATGCCTTGTGGCTTAACCTCATTCAATCATTGGCTACGTCATAAACGAGGTCTCTCGTCATACAGTCATATCCATGGCGGTTACTGGGAGTCAATAGCACATCTTGTAACATATTTTATGATATTATCAGGTGCAAACCCAGCAGGTGAGCGAACATGAATGATTCTTTTGCGGAAAAATCACGAACGCCTGTTAACTCAGCCATTCTGTTTCATTCTGCCTTTAGTATGACTGCAAACATGCCAAGAATGGATACCTCACATCGCTGAGCAGGTAAGGTAGGGGCCAAATCTTAACACGGACAAAGTCAGCTAGCTTGTAAGTACATGTAGTCTGAAAGTATAAAACTATGTTTGTGATCAAGAACAAACTGCTTGAAGTCACGACTGTGTCGGCATACGGCCCATGATACACAGTTCTGTTGATCAATATAGCTCCCGTGTCTTCATGCTCGTTCAGCCTTGGCCCATACCTCCCCCAGTGCCATGAGCTTCCATATCGGCTCTTTCGGGTCACAAACTAACACCCAATCTCGAACAGACCCAGAAACTGGCGATATGATTGCTGCTGGCCACACCTCTCATCTAACTGGCAAGGAGCAGCTTAAGGGATGAGTTTGTTATGCATACGAATTGGTACAATCGGATGTCAAAGCTCCTTCTAACAGCTTCCATAGATGCACGGTATGCAGAGAATTGAGCAGACTGGGACACCATAGGTCCCCTAACTAAAATACATGTCATCAACACTAGAAAGGCTGTTGACTTGGGGTCCAGGTTATGAAGATAGATTACCTGAAATAAGCCCTCAATTTCTATCACCGCTGAAGCAAAGACGAATAGATGTTTGCTGATTGTACTTCTACGAATGCTATCATCAAGGTCAGGAATGTTCCAAGTGGCCGTATGAAGATATGAAATTGGATATTTTAATGTGTTGGTAGAGCAAGACTTGACGCTAACTCTCCTGACAGATACATCAGCCCTGCAAACTCCACCACGGTCTCAACCAACCTACCAGCATCACTTCCCGAAATTAGTGACAGCAATCTTGGTACTGTGGTTAAGCTCAATACTGTGTCCTCCCTCCCCACCACCCAGATAACTCAGAACAGCCAGAGCATTTAACGGTCAAAACGATCAAAAATGACGACTATGAGAGAACTCGGAGGCTGTAGTTGCCAGTCTAAAGAAAGCCACTTCTGGATCAACTTCACAAGTTAGGAGCCAATAATGCCGCAAGCTTCAGGGGCTTCAACAATCGGACCAGCTGCCCAAGGACGACTAAATCATATATGAACAAGCCTCTAATGCAGTCAAGCATACTTGCATGTTGTCCGTACAATCGGCACATGCCATAGGCGAATGCCCGACGCTGGCAGCCTCGAGCATACTTGTCGCCAATGAGAGGGGTAAGGAAAGCATTGTGACAACACAGCCGAAGTATACGATGGAGAAGTTTAATATCACGTCCCAGAGGCCTAACATCAGGCCAAGCATGGAGCTTGATAAGAACGGAGAGGTGGATTCTGCTAAACCATCAAAATCGTGATGGCTGTATCTGGCCTTCAGATGGAGTTGCTGTAGATGGTGAAATAGAGCTCGTATATCGCTTTTCCTGTCCGGGGAATTGTGATATTGTATTGGATTTAAGTATGCCTAGCAGCAAGCTTGACAAGATATTTCTAGATCAGGCTTTGTCGTTGCATGTTTCAGTCTCTTTTTCTTTATATAAACATGTCATAACCTTTGGGCATAGCCTACGGTAGGACCACAGTTGATGAAGACATGTACTGTCCATGTTAGCTAGGAAGGTCTTCTTGCTAAATGGGTTAAAACAGCAATGTAACTCTTGACTTTGCCTGTTCCCCAACCGACGTGACGTTAAATCGCATGCAACCCGACCACCGGGCACCACACGATGAAGGTTACATCCCGCTCCGTGGCTCAGGGAACTGTAGTAACCACAATGCAATCACTTTTTCCGCCACGGTAGATCATGATCGCTAGATCTGACACATGCGCACCAATCGGCAGGCTTGACGAGAGGTTACATCCCTTAGTTAAAGTTGACGGCAATAAAGATGACGTGGTAGCAAAGAAGGGGAGAAAACCTGGTTGGAGCGCATAAGCGGGCCTAGGATGCCCTCGACCCTTCTGGGTATATTAAAATGCAGGAACGATCTTTAGCCGCCGTCAACCTGCTGAGAGGATGGACGGTTCTTATACGACTCTTGGTGGTATTGATATTGTCGGAGGGATATATGTCCTAGGGAGGGGCCTCGGGGGCAGCAGTATATGAACTCCGTCGTCCCAGAACTTTAAGATCATCTGGTCGTTAGCCCGCTCTCAATTCCTCAACCCCAAGGCGACCACCCCCTCCCCCTGACGAACTCTCAAGATGAAGGCCTCCATCGCGCTATTCGCCCTCCTCCCCAGCGCCATCACAGCGCGCTCCCTCCACCGTAGGTCCTGCACCTCACCTCCGAAGAACAACACTTGCGTTCTCCCCTCAACCTGGTCCTGGACCTCCACCGGCCCGCTCATCGGCCCCAAAGACGATGGTCGCAACCTCGCTGGCATCAAGGACCCCTCCGTAATCTTTTACGACGGCGTTTACCACGTCTTCGCCAGCACCGCCAAAGAAGAGGGCTACAACCTGGTCTACATGAACTTCACCTCGTGGGAGGAGGCCCCGAACGCCGAATTCTTCTACCTCGACCAGGCTCCCCTCGGACCAGGGTATCGTGCCGCGCCGCAGGTCTTCTGGTTCGAGCCTCATAAGTTGTGGTACCTCGTCTATCAGAACGATAACGCCGCGTACTCGACCAACCCGGATATCTCGAACCCAGCGGGGTGGACTGCGCCGAAGACGTTCTACCCCGAGATGCCACAAATTATCAAGGATCATATTGGACCTTACTACTGGGTGGATATGTGGGTTATTTGCGACGAGAAGTTGTGCCATCTGTTCTCGTCGGACGATAACGGGCAGCTGTACCGGTCGGAGACGAATATTGAGGACTTCCCTGAAGGCATGAGCGAGCCGGTTATCGTGATGTCGGATCCAGATCGGTGGAGACTCTTCGAGGCTTCATGCATCTATCGCGTCAAGGGTGCTAGGGAGGATCAGAAGTACCTCCTGTTGGTTGAGGCCATTGGCACAGATGAGCAGCGCTGGTTCCGGTCCTGGACGTCATCCAAGATTGAGGGCCCGTGGACGCCGCTTGCACATGAGGAGGATAATGCTTGGGCAAGGTCAAATAATGTCGTGTTTGAGGAGGGCGTTGATGCTTGGACGAAGAGCATTAGCCATGGCGAGATCGTCCGGACTCATGTCGACCAGACGCTGACGATCGAGCCGTGCGGGATCGAATTCTTGTATCAGGGGATGGACCCGAGTTTCTCTCACCTCCCGTATAATGCTCTTCCGTGGAGGCTGGCATTGATCAGGCACAACTGGGAGTGCACTTGCTCATGAGAAGGTGGCTAGGAAACAAGTAATTAGAGCACTCGGAATAGCACCTGAATACATGTATCAATTTGCTTCTTGTACTTATCTTGGACATCAAACTTTTGACTATGACAGTTTTGGTGGTATCGTTAACGCGGGTCTGTCGGGTTTCTGTATCTTAGCAAGCTCCAACAACAGCTGGTCCACACAGACCGCTCTATCCTCTTCCCTTAGTGCTTTGAGAGCCCGCTGTAGGCCTTGCTCAGCGACAGCTCTCGCAACTCGTCTCCCTTCATAGGTACTTGTCAGCCACGTAGCTATCCTTGACAGTTTCCGCATTTCCAAATTAACTGGGATGTGGTGCAACCACGGAACGAGCCTCTCATCATGCAGTTTCCTGAGCATTGTCACCTTGAGCACAGCTGACCGCGATTAATGCAACTTCACAGTCTTCCCACTGATTCTATTCTCATATATCAAAGACCAACTTCAACTTGAGGCGGCACCTTAGTATTTTCTCTCATAAATGTCAAAGAACGACTCCTGAGTGATGTATTTGTCTTGATGACACTGGATGACATCCGTAAAGAATACGCTGAATTGCTTGATGGGGAAAGTTTGGTCTGCTACAGCGTGAAGAGTACCGTCTGGCTTTCGCCGGGGGTATCGGTACTTGGTCTCGGTGTTTAATCCCTGAAAGGGCAACAAAACGTTGATGGTGGAATACCCTCCAGTCGACACTGTTGACCCTGACGTCTAGGGTCGAACCAACAAAGTGCAACCTGTCTCGCTTATCTTCCCAAGATATGTCGGACTCTTCGTTGTAGGCGAAGCCTTCTGTGACATGACCATAGGCAGGCTGGGATAGAGGACGTTGCCAATGGCAGACACTGAACAGGCTTGAGAGGATGGGAATGGCCCCCTTGAGTGCGATGAAGGTTGTTGGGCTCAGAGGAAGACCGTGAAGACTTGTATTCTGGTGTCGACAGATATCCTTGGACGCTGACACATCAGTCAAGAACGGCACGCCATAATTTTCAACTTGAACGAGGCCATCATCGCGGGGTTTGAACAGCCACCTCGACTTTTTGCAATCCTGTGTCAACAAATCCCACATCGGACGTCAGCTGATGTCCGTCATCTTGAGTGTCTTCGGGTCCCAAATTGCCTTTCGACAACAGAACCCGCGGCTCATCCAGCCGGTGACCGAGAACCCCAGATCTTTAACACACCCTTCATAACTGTGCCATTAACCGATTGATGCAAAAACTGCCTCAACTTTTTCAGGTCCCTCCAAAAGGCTAGGATGCTCGCACTTAACTTGTCCCTTCTGCTTTACACACCCCGAAATAAATCGATTCCCACATCTGCATGACTTCTTCCGCATTTTGGCAAATCCGAGCTCCACTCACGGTCAGAAAGGACTTGACCAATCTCTCATGGATATTTTCAAAGAAATCCTCCACGATAGTCTCATTCCTCTCGCTTGCGAAGGCATGCCACGCGTCGAAACCAAGAGGTGGCGATCAAGAAATGCTGAAACTTGGGAGGCTCCAAATTGACGAAAGGACTCAACTGGATAATTTACCGCAAATACGGAGTTCGGTGTGGTTTTCGGAGAGGGTTGGAGTAAGGGAGGGGTGTAAGGCGCTGAGGAAGTGAGAGGAGAAAAGAATGGAAGAGTGGAGAGGGACCAAAGGACAGAACAGGCGCAGGGAGCCAATGACTTAAGTGTTTTGCTGAATAGTTTGCCCAAGAAAAGAAAAGTTGAGACTCCGGTGCCTCCATAATGCCGACGAGAACTACTGATCCGAACTGTCCGTTTACCTGATGGAAATGTGACCCTGTAGGATCGTGGCAATTGCCAACAGAGGTTGAGTGCTGAGTTACCACTCTAGCACATCAGTTTTGTTATCAGACTTCGTGATTGTCAAGAAAGTCAAGCTGACCAGCAGCATTTTCTGCGTCTTCGGGGATCGTCGCATATCTGGCTCGAGACGCGGCTTGAAGGGCACCATACAGAAGACGACTAGAGCGCAGGAGACAAATGATGATAGATCGAGATTATTCAAGAAAAACGGAGTCGTGACTGCAAAGATAGCGGCGGCAGTGGATGAAGCTTGGTACTGTGTAGAAGAGCCTAAAAGTGACGAGAAGGAGGACACGGAGAGGTATATATGATGTTGAACCAATCCCAGAAAAGAGGATACTGAGTGTCAGAGCAGGCTAGGTACACATGACAATCTTAGTTCAATTGGGGTGTAGTGGGCCAGAGGTGTTCACATAGAAAAAGAATGATGAATCCATTCTCAGCGCGATAGCAGCTCGCAGCTGTCAGTGAGATGTCCACGGGAAACAACTACGTTTGAAGCGACAGAAACGACTGGGGACGGGGCAGACTTAGCGGTCGCAGCCCTTCATGGCGCCTGGCTACTTGAAAAAAAAAGACAGAACGATCCAGGACGGCCTCAGATGGGAGTACGATACTCTGGACTGAAAGCCATGCCCGCCAAAGTAAAGCATAGGAGAGCCGCAGCGACCGAGAACATGATGTTGGAAACAGTGTCAAGATGGCCGCGCGGTTGTTGGGGCGATCAAGGCAATCGAGATCCGTGTTTGCAGACTCTCCATTTACTACTGCACTATGCCGCTTCCCTAAGCTGAAACGATGATTAATATGCAGTAAGTTCTAACAACTATGCCTTGACAGCCGGCTTAACAACAGTGAAGGTCTAGTGTAACCTCTTCCACAGTCTCAAGCGTCTCTTCAGCCGCAAATCTCCCAGAAAGAGGGGACGGAAGGAACACTCATGGCACGGAGATTCGGAGAGAGACAGTCGGTCCGGACCCATGTCGAGATTAATTCCAGATCGACGTACCAACATCTTATCACCGAATTCCTCGAAGTACACTTGAAGACGTTGGCATAGTCACGACTGGTCCTGAGACTGGAAATATTTGGGACGAGAACAGCGCACGAGCCGAGAGGGGTCGAAGGAGTGGATTTATCTCGGAGCTGGGTACAAAGATGGAATGACAGCTTTCTCAACTCGTGGTAGAAATTGAGAACACGCGAAGTTAGAAGCCGGAATCGTCAGTGTTCGCTTCGATCTCGGTGGAAACAACCTCGGGATCGAAGGGCAAAGGAACCCCTAAGTAATCCTCCTGAGATGGGGGATCCAATGAGTCTCGGCAGAGTGGCTCCGAGTCCCCGACCTTATCGATAGAAGCCTCGGCCACGCAACAACCTACATCCGCTCATGATGTCAACTCCACGACACTTCGCCTGCCCGACTTCCTGCTCCTTCCTGCTTGTTGCTAGACGCGGTCGGACCGATGTGCTGATCGCTCGATCTATCATTTAAGCTGGCAACTATTTCGTAACTCCATATTTCAAAACTTCCCTCTCGTCCGCGCTGCTTTCCTTCACTGGAGGACAGCAAGGCCATCACTGGCTACCAAGATGCTCCCCTCGGAAGCATTGAGCGCGTCAACCAATCGATGCACCGTCTACCCTGAAAACTACCAATTACATGTCGTGAAATGGATAACATGGACGAGCCCCCAAAGATAAAAGACAAAAAGGTAGATTGCTAGATTTTCGGTCCGATGAACACTTTTGACGGTGGCCGAAGTGTTGGAGTCTGCCTGCGGCTTAGGTCCAAGGGGTCCAGCCCTATGAGTTCCTCTAGTCATCTTTAGTGGTGTATTTTCTTTTAAGCAAAACCCCACAACTTGAGCTGAGTCAACATGGCCTGCTGGTGAGAGCAAGTAAAAAATATTCACAGAACCACGGATGACCTCGGGTCATATGATAAAAGGAAAATGCCATGAGATGTGCAACCATCCACACTTTGTTCTCTGCGGATTTAAGGCAAGCTATTCCCTGTGAGAATCCTGGACCAACGTTCCTTCGGCGCTCTCCATTGCCAAAACAGCTTAACTAGTCGCGTGCGCCAAGGCTGATAGTGGAGCCCTGCGGCCTCTTGACGGATAGCCAAGCCACGGCGGATCCGTAGCTTAGCTTGGCTTGGCTATTTGGGGGCCGTTTTGATAGATCTGACACTCGGGATATAAGGAAGCTGGACACAACACCAAGCTTGTCTTCCATCTTTTTTAAAGTCCGAGACGTCACATGAAAAACTGGAAGGTCTTAAGCCATCTTGAGTGTGGGCAGCTTTCGCAATGTCGCCCTCTCTTCTCTTTTTCTTCCTTTCGGGGCTGGCTTACGCAAGCGAATCCGAAGCCACGCCCAAGCAATTCAAGTTCACAGAAAACACACATATCTTTGGAGCAGACGGGCCATGGCACGGCGTTGAAGTCTCGATCGGCGACCAGCCAACTCTGATGATTCCAGGTCGCTCCTGGGAGAGCTATGTCATCACGACTGACTACTGCAAGGCGACCTCTGGAAGTGCAACCTGCGAAGTTGGCGCCTATGACCCCTCGCGTTACGGAAAGACGGTACCGGAGCTTGATCACGTAACCTTCTTCACGCAGAATGCAACCCGTGGAATAAAGACGACCGGAACCTCACGAATGGTGTTCGACTCCGTCACTTTGGACGGCGTCGGAACCGTCCCCGACCACACCCTGGCGCTAATCGAGAACGAGTCACAGATGCTCGAATACCCCAACGGGAAGCGCTATCCCATCATGACTGGATGCTTGAGTCTGGGTTCACTAGCATCCAAGTCCATATTCTGGACTCCTGATCAAAAACTCATGGACGTCGATGTTGGGAACATGATCGCCTATTACCTCGCGGGAAATGACGTGATCCCTTCGGCATCTTACGGTTTTCACTACGGTTCGGCCTTGCCTTCAAGCAAGATCCCAGGCTCACTCATCTTCGGTGGATACGATCGCAACAGGGTTATTGGCAGAGTTGATTCGCAGGGCTCCTATATCGATGGTTCATTTGTGCTCCGACGGCTAGCAGTCAACACCTTTGAAGGCAGCGCGCCCTTCGAGATGACCGGCGTCCAGATCATCCCTGGCACGTACAAGTACAGCACAGACACCGGCATTTCGGTCCGGCTTGATGCCTGCAGTCCCTATCTCACTCTTCCTTCAGATGTGTGCAAAGGGATCGCATCTTATCTCCCTATCTATCATCATGAAGGGCTGGATCTCTGGCTGTGGAACACAAGTCATCCGGGGTACAAATTGATTGTTGAGTCTGCGTCGGCGCTGACCTTCGACTTCGATGCTGGTGAACGGGGGAAGTCAACTACGATTCATCTTCCTTTGATGCAGCTCAATCTCACATTGGGGCCTCCCTTCACCGGTGAGATTCCCGGTATGGAGGGGAAGGAAGTGCCGTACTTCCCCTGCCACAGCAGTCCCGGGCATTCAGGTGCATGGGTACTTGGGAGACCAATTTTCCAGTCCTTGTTCATCGGGGCAAACTTTTTGACCAAGCAATTGTGGCTTGCGCAGGCCCCGGGCCCGAAGATCCCTTCAGAATCAGATATCGTGAAAATTGGCAGGTACGATTATGACATTGAGTCAAGCAAGATGAAATGGACCGATACGTGGAATGCTGTCTGGAGGGGATTGAGCCAGGACGAAGCCCTCATCGCGCGAGGATTGTATGAACCGGAACGGCGGCCGTCATCATCGGCTGGTACAGGCAATGGTGGATCTGGAGGAGGAGGAGGTTCCCAAACCGGTTCCTCTGACTCTAACCGCTCGTCGGCGTCAACCATTGTTGGGTCAAGGTTCGGAAAGTTTGTGATGCTTGCCAGTATGCTTGCGGTAGTAGCTCTCTAATCTTAATGTCAGGTACCGCATGTACCTGGTGGCTTGTGCGTCGACTGGACACCTCAGCTGTCACGCCCATTCCAGAGAGGCGGGGAAATAGATTTGGGACAAACCTCTCTGGATTTGAGACATCTCATTATATGAGGCCCTCTCTACAAATCTGTTAGCGCAAGCCTTGAAATATTTATGCAACAGAGTCCAATCAATTTTTTAAAGTATAGAAACTAAGTGATAAAGTACTAAAGTCTACCGTCTGAGATTTTTTAGATACAACTTAAAGAGTATACGTTGAAAAGAAAACTGTGACGAGTCAGCTAGCCTTCCAGAAATGGGTTCCGGTTTAGTCCAAGACCTATGGATCTTGAGAGACACGAGTCTTCACATATAGATTCAGAAGCATTGGGGTCATCAGTTGGTTTGGGCAACTGTTTGTATCGCTGGCTGAGGAACGCTTCATCCTCCGCTACCTACAAGGAATCTATCTAGTTTATATACTCAAACCTTTCTTTGTTACTTAAGGGTCTTTTAGTTCTTCGTCAGTATCTCTTGGCCTGGCGACCTCTCGGACTGCATGAGCCGAGTTTTATTGGTCTTTTGGGCCCAACTAAAGCTTTTCCCGCGTGGTGCCCTTTTTTGATCGTAGTAAAAATACCGTTCTCTGCTCTGTTTTCCCCCTCTAAGAGCTTGTTAAGTTGCAAACGAATGCAAAACTTATAGTTTTGCGTGCTTCTCTGTTACATGGACACGGCAGTCCAAGGAGAAGAAATATCCTTGACAGCCAACATATAGAACACCTGTGATATAAGAGCTGAGAAGGGCAAAAGGCATATTTGATTGGTAGAGCCCAGAAAATATAAAGGGGTGCCAATAATGAGTTAGATAACCTTGCCACACTGAGGAAAACCCCTGAAGATCCCCGGATACCGCGAGTTACTCACGAGGGTAAAGGGATTTTATAAAGGGGGTTTGCTTGTACATAATGAAGGATTTCTCTTGGTTTTCCTCTCCCAAACACAAGGACACTGAGGACAAAGATTACTACACGTAGCAATTGACCTCGTTGTGCACCTCACATCGTCAATGATCATCATCTGACTCATTTGACTCATTGTCGATCCCTGCCTGCACAAGACCAATTCACCTGTTACATGGCCTGAGAGATTGCTACCATTCAAGATACAACTCCTATCACACCCTTGTAAGATGGAGATAGTCGGCTGTGGGTGACGGTTCGTTGGGGTCAACACACGGCAATGGCGCTGGTCAACAGTAGCGCACAAATGGATATCATTGATTGGGGGTACGTTAACGGGCACCGAGTACCCTTGCGAGGGAAGGATGAAGAATTTACGGCCAAAGGACCGTTTCGCACTAAGAACATTGCGTAGGAAACAGAACCTCGTGATATCACTGTGGCAGGCAAGACAGTAACAATCGCATTTAACATTGTGGACATGAAATGAGAGAAATATAACTTTAGGTGTACCATGGCACCAGGCTTATGACCCAGATATCGACTGGAAGGGAGGTGGCCACCTACAAACCGCGGGATCGGTCTTATCCGACCAGTGCGATGGGGCGCATAAGTGCAGAGTCGCGGGCAATGGGAGCCCATGTGGAGGCTCGCTCCCGGATTCGCCGCACGAGTCAGACGGCACCACGGGCGCGAAAGGTTCGGGAAGTAGCGATAGCCGACCTGGTGGTTGTACAGGATCGACGATACCAACAGCAACGGCTGCGATCTCTCAAAGTGACGGTGATGTCGGTCGACGAAGACCAGAATCTTGCTGTGTAGGCTTGAGTCACTCCCAGCGAGGCGTCCGCTATTCAGCAAGAAGAGGCACTTACGATAGAGGAGAAGAAGTGGAATGAGATTCCCCCTGAGTATCGAGGACACTCAGCATTTTAAGCCAAGCATTGGAGGGACTACCGGAGCATGAGCCGTTCGACCAAATCAAACTAGAGGAGGGTCACACACATGGCCGCATCGGGATAAATGAGTATTACATGCTTGTTGTAACGATTCCACAAGCTCCTGAGATGGGTTCGAAGGTAGTGGCCAAGTCGTAGAACCTGAGAGCCTGGGGTCCTCAGACAGTAGAGTATGGGATTCACTGCGGTCACCAGTCGTTGGTTGACAACTGTTTCTATTGCTGATTGAAGAGTCCTCGTCATGACTTTGGGGATGGGTGATTCTATAAACAAATTGATATTTAAAGCCGTCAGTTTGCCTATCCTTCTGCCATTACCTGTTTTGTTATGATTGAAAACTTTCTCGCAGTTATCGCAGTGTATAGCAGCGCGAGAACTGCGACAATTGCGCTTCTCCATATGATTGGTCCGCCTTTCGACTCCACTCAGAATCTTCCTATTGGTCGCCTCCTACGCCGTTTGTGGGGCAGCCGCCGAGCTCATTGCCATCCGTAACATTTGCGCATACCTTAAGCGATCGTACATATGTGTTTCCCCACTTCAATGCGGACCGCAGCTCTCGAAGCCAGACTTTGATGCACCCACTAAGCGGATTCTGGCCCTCGTGCATCCGAGTAGCACACCGCCGGCCTTGGTCACTGGGTTTGCAGAAGAGGTTCCATGAGAGAACTGGGAACTACACAAACGCACAGAAAAACTACAGCCTCACAACTCAACACTGCATTACAACACCAACACGCCAATCCCGTGCCATGGCCGCTGTCATCTAACTTCCAATCCAAGATCCCGTACCCTTCTTTCGGATGGTTGTGCGATGTCTCAGCCATCCCCCAGACCCAAGACAAAGTCAGGGTCTTAGATGGACCCGCGGAGTTCCCTACCCCGCATCAACCCACATTCCCGGATCCACACAGAATCCACCGGAGCGATCCAGGGGCGGAAATCCTCGGCTCAGTGGCTTTTGGCGTCGCCGACCGTTGGCCGTTGGGTGTTCATCCGCTGGGTTTGGTTGATTTGGGGAAGGTGAAGAGAAAAGTGAGGGAGCTTACTGCATACAGATGAACAGTTTGGGCTTGATAAAGGGTTAGAGGATATTGCTGAGAAGAATGCTGATATGCTATATATACTGAGTGATAGTCGCATGGTAAATGCCCCAAACTCTTCTTTCAGAGACTTTTAGTGCACCATGACCCTGTCCCCTCACAGCGTCATGCGGGGAATGCGGGGACATAACCAAATCACCAGACATGGGCAATTGATAAACCTCATCTCACCGTTTTCAATCAGCTCTCACCACACCCCGTTGGACAACTAACTCCCTGCAGCATGCCAACCGGAACCAGCAGTAGCTGGATGAAGTGGAAAGTGGGAACCGCCGCCCTGGGAAGAAACCCACAGGTCACTTGACATGGTCCCGTCATGGGACCGGGGGCACCACTTTCTCGGGCCGCTGCCAACCCGGTTGACCCGTTGGGATGCAGCTCCCGTCTCTTTTAAGCCGTACAGCTAGCTTGTCCATCCGTATCCTCCCTATCAAACCGCCGGTCGCCGGCCGTAGAGTTCACAGGACCAGGGGCCCGCCCGCCCACGCAATAAATAACCCCCCGGATCGGGATGGGGGAGTTTTCGCTCAGGTTTCCCTTCATCTGACGTTCTGGAACAAGAGCAAAGAGTTCCAAATTCAGGGTCTGGGATTTGAATCTCAAACATATCAGCTTACCTTACCCACCCACCTTTGAAGCTCATCCTGTTTGATCAGAATCTATCCTGCGCTGAGCCTCTTTATACCAAACAAACTGGTCAGAGTAACAACCTCCCTACCGTACCCTCCAATAACCTCAACGCCTGGCCCTTCGCCCTCCCATTGACATCCCTTCCCCATTCCTACCTACCCTAACCCGAACACCGGCCCGAACCTGCGCCCCACACCCCGCACTACTAGGTGAACGCTGAATTGCCGTGCCTCAACCCCAAGAAAAATGATACCCCTGCTCCGCGCAACAACGACAACCCCGCCAACCAGCCGGGTCTTTCGGCATGGCGGGCGGCACGTGGCTGCGGCTGCCGTGGCCTGCAGGCCGGCAGTCCGATTTGCGTCGACATCGGCGGGAGTTAATAACGCTTCTTTTTCCGCTTCAGCTTCATCTGCAACAGGGCTCACGAGCAACACACAGTCCGGTATAACAGCTGCGGGGACGGGGAACTCCGCCGGCATTAAGGCCTTGAGGACACAGCAACAGCAGAGGTGGTCTTCGACGACAAAATTACCCACGACATCTGGACCTGCGCCAGCAGATCAGCAAGACAAGATGTACACGACAGCGTTTGCCTTCTTCGAGGCGCTCTGGGACGCCGGCGTGACACATGTGTTTGTCAACCTGGGCTCGGACCATCCCAGCATCATCGAGGCGATGGTCAAGGGGCAACGGGAGAAGAGGGATCGGTTTCCAAGGATTATTACCTGTCCTAATGAGGTGTGTCCCTTCATGACGAGTTGGTGTTCAAACAAGAGCTGATGATGGGAATAGATGGTAGCCATGTCCATGGCCGACGGCTACGCCCGCCTAACAGGCAAACCCCAAGCCGTCATCGTACACGTCGACGTCGGCACGCAGGGTCTCGGCGCCGCCGTACACAACTCCTCAACTGGCCGGGCCCCCGTGCTAGTCTTCGCCGGCCTCTCGCCCATCACGCAAGAAGGAGAGCTGCGCGGCTCCCGCACCGAGTTCATCCACTGGATCCAGGACGTGCCAGACCAAAAGCAGATCGTCGCACAGTACTGCCGGTACGCAGGTGAGATTAAGACTGGTGTCAACATCAAGCAGATGGTCAATCGCGCACTGCAGTTTGCGAAGTCGGCGCCGCAGGGGCCGGTGTATCTGTGCGCCAGCCGTGAGGTTATGGAGGCAGAGATCCAGCCTTATGAGCTCAAACAGGAGCAGTGGGAGCCTGTTGAGCTCGGTGGGCTGCCGGAGGTCGCGGTAAGGAAGATTGCCGATGCGCTGGCAGGCGCGAAAGAGCCGTTGTTGGTTACGGGGTATGCTGGGAGGAATCAGAAAATTCCGGGGGCGTTGGTCGAGTTGGCGAATACTGTTAAGGGTCTGCGTGTGCTGGATACTGGTGGCAGCGATATGTGCTTCCCGGCGGACCATCCGGCGTGGTTGGGGCTGAAGTATGGCGTGGATGATGCCGTCCGAACGGCGGACGTCATTGTTGTGCTGGACTGTGACGTTCCATGGATCCACACGCAATGCAAGCCGCGTGACGACGCTAAAATCTTCCATATTGATGTTGACCCTCTGAAGCAGATGATGCCTGTCTTCTGGATGCCGGCGCAGGCTCGGTATCGTGCTGATGCGCTGACATCGGTTGAGCAGATCACTAACTTGCTGAAGTCGGACGCAAGCTACGCGTCGCAACTCAAGGGCGAGGAGCGTGACAAGATGTGGGCTACGCTGCAGGAGTCCTACCAGAAGCGCCTCGTGCAAATCGCCGAGCGCGCAAAGCCCCTCGACAACGGCGAGTTCGGCACTACTTATCTCTGCGCCAAGCTGCGTGAGATGTGTCCGCAGGACACGATCTGGGCTATCGAGGCCGTGACTAACACGCTGTTCGTGCACGATGGCATCCGGCCGACACTGCCCGGCCACTGGATCAACTGCGGTGGGGGCGGTCTCGGGTGGTCGGGCGGTGGCAGCCTGGGCATCAAGTTGGCGACCGACTACGAGGCTCAGCTCCGCGGCGAGAAGGCCGGCAAGTTTGTGGTCCAGATCGTTGGCGACGGGACGTACCTGTTCTCTGTGCCCGGAAGTGTCTATTGGATCTCCAAGCGGTACAACATCCCGGTGCTGACCATCGTCTTGAACAACAAGGGTGAGTGAACCACGTACACTCACGCTCCACTGATAGCGGCCACTGACGTGTGTAGGTTGGAATGCTCCTCGCCGATCGCTTCTGCTCGTCCATCCTGACGGACTGGGCTCCAAGGCGACCAACGAAGAGATTAACATTTCCTTTGATCCCGTGCCTGACTATGCTGGCATCGCTAAGGCGGCTGCCGGTGGCGATCTCTTTGCCGCGCGCGTGGATAAAGCGGCTGACTTGGAAAGGGTGCTCTCTGAGGCCATCAAGGCTGTTCAAGGGGGACAGACTGCGGTCGTTGACTGCAAAGTTGCCATGGGTTGCTGAGTCGCATGGTTATCTGGACATCACGTGTAAATATTTTGAAGGGAGCTTCGTCAGATGGGACTCGAGTTTAAAGCATTGGCAATGGTTCGTGGTTGACATTTGACATCATGTTGATCTCATCATCCGCTCAGAGTGGATTGAAACTGCCGCTGGATGGAATGGCTCAATAGACTATGAACGTTGAATGACTCTGGAATATTCTTCTCAAGCGTAACTCTAATTTGAGCGGACCACGTCGAAATGTAAGAAACCATCCAAAGATAAGGTTGGATGAAACAGCGAAACCTGGGAAGGATGTCGCAGTACTTGAACCCCTGGTCCCCTCCACCCAGCCAGCTGGCACGGCCTGCTACCGGACCCCGCCCAATGAGCACAGACCACGCCGCCGCTGTTGTGCCCCTGAAACCCAACATCTTGGCGGCCTGAGCCCCCCACATCGAAGCAACATTTTGCCCCTCCATAACGCGCCGCTGCCCCACCAAGGGTCCCAAGTTCGTTCGATCAAAATCTCGCGACACGCCGCCTGCTCGCTACTCGCCCGACTTCTGCCCTTATCCCGTCAGTCTGCAGTAGTCGTCTGCGAGGACGCAAGACCATGAGTCGAGAGCCGGTCTGCTGCTGCTACTGGATACACACAAAGAAAGTCTTTGATCCGCCCTGGCCGACCCCGTGACGAGCGGCCGCGGGTTCATTGAAAGTTTTTTTTTTTTTCTTTGGATACAACACGACACGACGCCACGGACGGACGCGGCTGTTGGGCTCGAAGCGAGGATTGGTCTTTGTGTCTAGTCGCACTGGAACGACATCGATTCCTTAACAAATTTTCTCATAATTTGAAAGGACAGGAGCTTCAGAGCTACCAAGTGCCAAAATGACGAATCAAGACAACCCATCAACGGACGCGACCCAGGTTGAACACTCCCAACCTACGACTGTCGAGCGCCCGCCCCCAACCCCAGTTCCCGAGGCGGATCCGAAACTCCTCGAGCATGCGCGTCGCGAGAGCGCCGTCTCAGCGTCCCCAGAGGAAATCGACGACATCTTTAAAGTCCCGCCCGTCATGGCGCTCGATCTGCTTAGCGCCGGCATCGAGGCGCTGGTCAACATGACCGGCGACATCCCGCCGACCCCGCCCCCACGCAGCCCCCCCATTCCACACATGCGGGGCATGGAGGCCGAAAAGCAGAGCATTGTGCGGTCGAACTCGGAGAAGAGCCTTGCGCGGTTGAGGCGAAACTCGGCGGCGAGTATTCAGCCGACGAAATTACCTGCTCAGCATTCCACAGCCACACAAGCATCGCAAGCAATGACGCCAGCGCAGGAGGCGATAGATGGTGTCCAGTTGAAGAACCAGCCGACGCAATTACAGAGCCAACTTGCGCCGTATATTATTGTCGGGGAGAACTCACAACCCCTGAATCTCCAACACAGCGCCATCACACGCAAGTTCTACTGCCGCGTCCCGCCGCCAATTTCTATCACTGATTACCTCCGGCGCATACACCGGTATTGTCCCATGTCGACAGGTGTCTACCTCGCCACATCTCTTTACATTCATCGCCTCGCAGTTGTGGAGCGGGCTATTGCCGTGACGAAACGGAATGCGCACCGATTGTTGTTGGCTGGGTTGAAGGTAGCGATGAAGGCGTTAGAAGACCTGTCGTACCCACACTCGCGGTTTGCAAAGGTTGGTGGTGTCAGTGAGAGGGAGATGGCGAGGCTGGAGATCAGTTTTTGTTTCCTGACGGGGTTTGAGTTGGCTGTAAGGGAGACCGTATTGAGAGAACATTGGGAGATGTTGAGACGGGGCGTGGAGGTTTGGAATATTCAGGATGAGTTGGTTGAGCAGGAGGTTGAGGAAGCTGGGAAGAGTGAAGGAGACGGTAATCCCTGAGGGTTAAGTTCTTGGATTAAGTTTTTTTTTTTTTTGGTTTTTTTTTGGACACGTCGGGCCATGCAACCACACTTCCGGACTTTCCATTCCGAGACTGTGCCTGCTGGTCAACCCACCAGGGCCGGCGTTTCTCAAAGTTGCCTCGGAAATCGGCAAGCCGACCCCGTGTCCGATGTTCAGTTGACCAAGGCCCAGTCGTGACCTCACACCGCGTCATGATCCTACAGTTGGTTGCGATCGGGCGGGTCCCTGCCATAATGCGTCAAGGGACTGGTTATTAAGTAACTTAAGGGCAGTCTCGTTTTGAGAACCACACTAAACCCCTGCCTAGTAGAACCTGGCATCGTCCCGACCACAACGAAGCAAGACTACATAAACCAGTCAATCTACGAGCTTCACCACAATGGACGAAGGCGATATCCCCCAAGAAGTCCCAGCCTCTGAAGACTACGCTAAGGATCCCGAAAACGTGCTCCGAGGGCACAAGGCAACCATCTCCAACCCACGTGCGTCCAGGCTTCCAGGCTACCAGCTACTCTCACTACCAATTGATAGGTGGTATTAACACGTGCATGATCTCAGAAACGTCGGATGAGGCCAAGTCAAAAGCGCGCAAGGTGCTTGAGTCGTACGACGAGCCGTACGACGAGTCGACGGCCAGCCACGGCGCCGACACGAAGGAGAAGGATCCGGGAAATGTCGCGCGCGGGCTCAAGGCCGCAATTAGTAACCCCGGTGTGTCGGAGAGTGCGAAGAGGGAAGCTAAGAAGAAGTTGGATGCTATGTAGGTAGCCATTGTGGAAAGAATGAAGACTGATGGGATGGAGGGTGTTCACATCAATTTACAGATGAAAAACGGCTTTGATAGATTCACAGAAGAAGTGATATCTGATACAGTATAACGGAGAAGATAACCGATCTCTCGGATCACAAATCCTTCCCCAATCGTGTAAACTGGGCACGTTAAGGTAAAAACGCGCTAACGTGTTGAGGATCGTGTGTTACCCCTGAATGAGCTCGCTAAACGCTCCCTGATATCAATGACGTCACCGCAGCGATCATGACAACACGACCGTACGCTATCTCAACATCGGATGGTTCCAACTGCGACCCCGACCGAAACTTAGTGCATGTCATAGTGGCCCCATGACATCAACTAATCGAAGAGTCTCATCATATATGGAATTTCATCGTCCTAGCTTCGTGCCCACTTATCTAGCCGTGGACATTACCATCGCATCTAGACAACTAGACTTCATTACACAAACAACTAAGAAGCTTCGAAGTTCCTATCGTCAACATGTCTAAAGTAGCCCACGCCTACACAGACGATAAGCCTGGTGCGGACCTCCCGCGCGAAGCTCCAACCGGTCAGATCAATGACCCCTCCTACAAGACAAAAGGCAAGGCAGGGACGGAATCAGTGCCCGTCATTGATGATGACGAGCCGATCGAAGACCCCATGCGTCCGGGTGAAGCGGACTCGGATAAGCAGCTTGGTAAGCCATAACTACCGCATAGTGACATTGTGACGGTGCTGATGTGAGATTGTCATGCAGAGAAGGATGAGCGTGAGGCGATTGACACATCGAATATCTTAAAGGAAAGGACCCGGCATGCGAAGCCCATGGGGACATATAAGGAGCCGACGGATGAGCAAATGGGATTGACGGAGGGGAGTTAAGGGTTGTTTGTTGTTGCCTTGTTTGTAGAAATATTGTTTGCAGTTGTTTGCCGAATCAGTCATGAAGTACTACTGGGTTATACGTGAAGCATTTTAAAATCTAAGCAAACTATAGCAACATGAAGTGAAAGATGAAGCCCAACGGCGCTTCGTTCTGTTCTTGGTGAAGTGGCCAGGTTAGAGTCGTATCTGAGGTAATCGGCCCATTTCATGCCCATTCAAGTCTTTTCACAAAAGGGAAACCTACCTCAAACAGAAACTTTGAGGTGAGATCTCCATTACAGTCCTTGTCAATAGTCAGGTTGTCAGCTCTGATTAGTTGAGGCAACCACTCGGTGATCGTCCGGTGGACAACCGTTGGAAGTCGAGCCTCTCCCCACCTTCCTAATCTGCAAAGCGCCAAGACCTTAAAGTCTTGGCATCACCAAGACCGAAAACCGAGGCCCCGCGCCGCGAACACAACAGGAGCTCCCCCGCCAGGAACGGCATCTCATTGGGCTGTGAGCTGAAACTTGCTCGACTCCTCCCAGATCTTAAACAGAGTCTCAGCCCTCCACCTCATTCCCTTCTCATGCAAACCATCTCCCTGCTCTCAAAAAGAGCAGTATCATGCCACCAGCCAGCTCGGGCACTCCTTTCTCGTCAACCCCTCTTCCAAAGCTTCTCATCAACACCCCGCACCATGGCCATCGACTACGAAGCCATCCTCCGCGGGAAATACCCCGCTAAACTGCACGCCCAGCGCGTCGTGCAGTACATCCGCTCCAAGGTACCTGATGCCAATGGCATCCTGTATCTCGAGGGCCGGCACACCAAGCTGCTTGAGGACAGTGACATGCCCGAGCCTTTCCGCCAGCGGAGGCCGTTTTTCTATCTCACTGGGTGCAGTCTGCCCGATTCATATGTCATTCACGACATTGAGACAGAAAAGACGACACTCTTCATTCCGCCGATCGATCCTGACGATGTGATTTGGTCGGGTCTGCCGATGAGCGTGGAGGAGGCGAAGGAGAAGTATGACGTCGATGAAGTGAAGTATTCGAACGAGCTGAACGCGACGCTGGCGTGCATTGGAAACGAGAAAGCTTCCGTCTCGTCCAACGCGACGGTGTTTGCCATCGCGGGGCAGGTATCGGAGAAGGTCTCGTTCCTTAACTTCCCCAATACCAACTTTGATCTTCTCAAAGAAGCAATTGGCTACACGAGGGTGATCAAAGACGAGTATGAGCTGGCCCTCATCGCCAAAGCGAACGCCATCACTGCGGCCGCGCACCACGCCGTCATGAAGCAGGTCAAGAACGCTACCAACGAGCGCGAGCTTGAGGCGCTCTTCTTGAAGGAGTGCATCAAGGCTGGCGCGAAGAAGCAAGCGTACGATGGAATCTTTGCCGCTGGTACCGCGGCTGCTACCCTGCACTATGTGAAGAACGATGAGCCGCTGGGAGGGAAGCAGTTGCTTCTCGTGGACGCCGGGTGTGAGTGGGAGTGCTACGCATCGGATATCACCCGCGCGTTCCCGATCAACGGCAAGTTTACCCCGGAGGCGAGGGCCATCTACGATATTGTGCTGCGCATGCAAACGGAGTGCATTGCGGCACTGAAGGAGGGTGTTGTATGGGATGATGTACATGTGCTGGCGCACAAGATCGCGATTGAAGGGTTGTCGGAGCTGGGGATTCTAAAGGGGGATAAAGACGAGATTTTGGCGGCTAGGACGAGCGTCGCTTTCTACCCGCATGGGCTTGGGCACTATCTGGGTTTGGATACGCATGACACTGGCGGAAACCCGAATTACAACGATCCGGATCCATTTTTCAGGTATTTGAGGGTAAGGGGGAAGCTGCCGGCAGGTGCTGTGATTACGGTCGAGCCCGGGATTTACTTCTGCAGGTTCATTATCGAACCGTATCTAAAGGATGAGAAACATGCGAAGTTTATTGATGCGGAAGTGTTGGAGAGATATTGGGCTGTTGGTGGCGTCAGGTGAGTAGTATGGATCGGCTTGCATGGTTTGTGAGGTGTGCTGACTCTTTGCAGGATTGAGGACAACATTCTCATCACCAAGGACGGCTCGAAGAACCTGAGCTGCACTATTAAAGATCCGGAGGAGCTCGAAAAGATTGTCGTCAGTAGCTAGACGTAATATCTAGACTTGGTGTGAATCAATGGCATGTATTTGTTTTTTTTTTTGTATGTTAGGCCCTCAACGAAGGATCACAGTGATGCATCGTTTTGGCCTGCTGAGTTCATGTGACAGTCGCCGTTTTAACTCTCTGACTGCACCCAGAATCTGTTTCAAAGCAATCATTAAATGTTATTGTGGCACAGTCATACATACTTACCCGTCCGATGCAACGCTACTTAACCTCCAAAGCTGCCGGTATGGGGAAGACCGCTCTCGGTTAAAGTGTTGTGGTGCCGGTACATCTGGAGTATTTAGGCAGTTGCATGGCGCCAATCATCCTCACGCCGTTCCTCACTATTGAATCAACAGGAATCCTGTTTAACATTCAGTGCTATATGGGAATTGGCGATCCCACGTCGTGGCCACGTTGCTTCATGCTCGGCGGGTGATCTTAACCTCTGCAGGATGCCATCGTGCTTATGGGATGGTTGGTCACTGACATGATTCCACAGCTGCAATAGGTCACTTGCGTAGTGACATCACAAACTCAACACACTGGGTGCAGACGACAACGAAGATCTATTGGGAGCGTAGCTCGGCGCTCAGTTCTCACTCGCAGCCATCACAATGGCCCGCCCTCTCCTGCAGATGCTCCTCCTGGGGCTTCTCGCTCCCCTGACTACCGCCGCTGAGTCAGAAGGAAGCTCTGAAGGCCTTGTCGCCGAAGCCATCGACCAAAAGCTCATATTTGCCAGCAACTTTAGTAGTCCCATCACCTCGCAAACACCACCACTCCAAGGCTGGTGGGCCTCCAAGATCTGCGCCGGCCCCTCGCAAAAGGACCAGTTTTGTATCTACACCAATCGGCGCGTAGCCAAGGGGCGCGGCATGGTTGTCATCACACATCAAGACGAGTTCGAAAAGCTCGAGAAAATGGAGGACCATCTTAGCAAGGCTGACAACAAGTTCTATGATGACCCAGTGCCGTTTGTCGAGACTCCTGTTCTGCAGAAAGGCCTAGGGGTCGTTGCGAACAAGACGCTCAGGAGAAATCGGCCTTTGATGAGCTTCTCCCCCGTTTTGCTCGTCCACCGCGACTTCTTCGACCAGGTCCCCAACAAAAAAGAGCGCGCCAAGATGCTCGACACAGCCGTCTCCTATTTACCACCAGAAACTCTCGCCAAAGTCAATAAATGGCGCCAGCCGACTCCAGAATATACTTCCCCGCGCAGCCTCGAAACCTTGCTCTTCGCCCATCCCTTCGAGGTCGTCCTCCCCTACGTCTGGCGCACCCCCGACGCCCCACATTCCCGGCACGCAGCCGCGTACCCCGAGGTTGGCGTCTTTCAACATGATTGCCGGCCCAACCTGGCGTGGTACATCGACGAGCACTTCGGGCTGAAGCTCACTGTCGCACGGAAGACCGTTCCGGGGGAGGAACTGACAATTGCCTACATCGACCCCCTGAAACCGACCGAAGAGCGGTCTCAATGGGTAGCACACTACCGTGGGAAGGCCCAAAATGAAGGGTTGCCAGTAGAGAAGCACACGCATCACGACGGGTGTCCCTGCAAGGCATGTAGTCCGCCAGGAGGTCCTGGTGGAGAGGCAGCAAGGGAGCAGGAGAAGCGACTGAAGGAGATCCTGGCAATCCGCTCGGAGCTGCGGAACTACGATAGCACAAAAGTCAACGTAGAGATGATCGAAAAGTTCGTGAAGCTTGTCGAGCAGGACCGGTTGCATGCCAAGTTTGCGGAGGCGTACGAACTGGCGGCGTTGAACTTCAACTATTTGGGCGAGGACAAGAAGGCGAAAAAGTATGCCGATCTAGCGGTGCAGGCGGGGATTGTGGAGGGCGGGATCAATAGCAATGATGTTGTGGCTATGAGGATCATGGCAAGTGATATCAAGGGACATTATTCATATAAGTATACACTGAAGAGGAGAGGGTTGGCGAAGTAAGGCTGGGGAAAGGGAGGGAGGGGGGGGGAAAGGGGGGCTATGTCACTCGCAAGTTTTTGGAGAAGCACCTTTTGTAAAAAAGTATCCATTGCGCCAGACGCCTGTCCTATCTAGACAGCCTATACGACTGAAGGATGTACCCGAAGTGAAACCCGAACCGAGTGGTATCCTAAATCCCATTACCCAATACCTTATCCCTAACGCCCAGTGAACCCATCGCTATCCGGTCCATGTAAGCCCAGCCATGCAATGCAGTATCGAAACCAAGCCGGTGCTAACCATCTACCCAAAAGCCTAACCCATACCATGTCCAAAATGATGCCGTATCCAAAAATATATAGTTTAAACCCGTTCCGTATACCCATCCCAACCCTCAATACCTGCCATATGGCCTATCCAAATCCAACTCCTCCAACAGATCCTCAATTCCTATCCCCAACGTGCCCCTCCGCCGGGCTCTCCTCTCCCGCTCCTCTTTCTCCAACCGCTCCATCTCCTCCTGCTTCCTCGCCACCTTCTCCTCCAAGCGCTGGATTGTCTCTCTCCGCCTCTCCTCTTCCTCTTCCCGCTTCAACCGCTCCCTCTCCATGCGCAGGCGCTCCTCGTAGTTATCTGAGTAGCGCTTTGTGCGATGAGCGGTCTTATAGGATGAAGCGGGCTCCGCAGAGCTGGCGCTGGTGCCAGAGACGGCGTCGTTGAGGGTGTCCTTTTGGCGATCGAAGCGTGCGCGGAGGCCATCCAGATCAATAACAATATCCGGAGGATTCAGCAACGAGTCAGAAGCGGACCGACAATGTCCGCGGCCCTCGTTGCGGATTTCGAAAGCATTCTTAGCATGCTCAGCACACATCCGCCGATCATACCCCGCAAGTTCCGGAGCAAGAAACTTCGACAACACTCCAATATTAGGTTCGATACACACAGAAATATTGCATGAGTGCGTCTCGCAGTAGCGGGCCCCTGTAACCCCCTTCAACCGTCCCGGGCACCCATCAACAAGACACTGGTGCCTGCAGCAGAAGTCACTCTTGTTGTCGTCACGCGGGTTGATACAGTCCGGCATCTTGCATCGATGCTGCCTGCAATACAGGCACCTATCATGAACCGCACGTCGCCCAGGGCAGCCTGGGACAATGCAGTTCACCACGCTGTAGTGGACGTTGCAGTAGAGGAAGGGCTTGCCGTCGGGGTTTGTTGCGCAGGGGCGTGTACAGCCTGGTTCGGTGCAGGTTGGGTGGTTCTTGTGGGAAGCACAGTATTGGCGGGAGGGTGTTGCTTGGGATTGGCAGCCAGGCACCTTGCAGGCATGGTTGTGGCAGTACCACTGCTTCCATTCAGGGTCTTTCTTGGTGAACCACTCGCCGCGCTCGGGGCAGTCTTTGATGCCGCACTTCCGGTCTGGGGATTGTTAGTATATTTACAAGATTGCGGATGGGGTTGTGTTAGGAGACGTACGCTGATCACAAAAGTTGTGATCCTTCTTCTTGGAGTTTGGGCAGTGGAAGCCGAGCTTCATGGAGAGGAGCTTGCGGCAGGTGTCTGGATAAGGAAGGAGGTTAGCTTAAGCCAGTCGTTGTGTAGTTGAGGGAGTTTGACATACGCTTCTTGCAAAACTTGGAGTAGAGCCTCTCCTCGGTGTCCGGGTCTTTGGTGTAGGCTCGGTTCCTGTTGCAGCCATCCACCTGGCAGGTTTTGTGAGACTTGTACTCATCCGTCAAACCACTTGAGTAGTCTGAGGAGTACAAGTCAATGTCCGACCACGGCATTTTGGGTCGTGAAGGGAGGTTACAGTTGACGTGAGTCGTTGGTATGGTTGGTGAATAGTTGCTGATAGGCAAGTTGTCGACCGCGATGTTGTTCAGGCACAGGGCTCAGGGCAATCCAGGTACTTGGTGAACAGAAACAGCACTGGCTTGGTGAAGATGTCAAGGTGTTGCGTGAAGACCGAAATCCAAGAAGCAGACCCGGGTGAAAGGTGAAATTCCACGACATTTTATAAGCAGTTTGTCCTCTCTGGTCCCGTGGAGGGAGCCACTTGGATGAGTCTATGGAGCTCGCAGCCTTGGAACCCCTGCAAGCCACACAAAAGGAGGTTCATGTCCACAGCAGTAACCGAGCCTGGGGTTCTGCAAGGTGCTGCCAGCAGGTGTGGGGGGAATGCTGCAAGCAACATACGTGTCGCAGCTTGTGGCGGAGCACAAGGCGGCCACTCAGCGTGACCTATTTCTTAGCCATGCAGTAGTGTGTGGACAGCTGTTGGTCAGCCCGGGGATGTATCGGGAGTGTCCTGCAGCAAGCAACCAGCTGTTGCAAAGAGGACATCACGGATGGATACACAAAGCCTCTGGGCAGTATGCAGAGCTGCTGCAGAATGATGTCTGCCATGCCATTTGGCTGGGTTCCTGCGTTGCATCCTTCATCATCTGCCACAACAACAAAAGGGCCCGCATGTAATCCGGCCAGTTAGACTAGCAAAGATGACACAGTTCGGTGAAAAAAAAAAAAAAAAAGTTTGTGCTGGTGGAAACAGTGACATCTCTGCCTTGTGGGTGTCCACGGTATCCCATCGTCCCCCAGATGCCACCACCAATGCTCACACGACCGCGTCATCAGGATGGTGAGCTCCCCAAGAAGAAACAATCACATTCAAATTGTGCCTTTTCGCTTCTCATGTGTTCTGAACTGTGCCAGGGCGGCCGCCCAAAGCACTGGGTGGTGATACAACTGTTGGCATGCAAACAGACGCACACTCCCGGCACGGATGTAACGAAGTGTGGAAGCGCGGCCGCACACTGAGAACTGTCGTGCGGCTTGAACCTTCTGAGAAACCTCGCAGCATCCGGCTGAGTTATCGATATGCCTTGAATTGAAATAAATCGGAAGAATGGACGATGTGCTGAGATGTGTTGTTTCCGAAAGCTAAAGGTAACGAGAAAATTCCGGTTGTGGCTGGCTTGCAGAAAACTGTTGCCTGGTTCTGCCTGTGTTGACGGCCGCAAGTGTGGGTAGAACCCTAACCCTGAATCCACAATGTCTCAAGGTGGCACAGTGTCATGGGACTGTCGCGGATCTTGATGAGCGAGCATTTTGCAGCACTTTTCGCAGTTGTGAGAGAAAGTAGGTTTGTAAGCACTTTGTTGGGCAAGTTTAAGGCTAGAGTCTCTCTTTACAATGCTGATGCTCATAATGAAGACGTTGTTGTTAGGCTAAATCAATGCTTCAAAGGTGGCGCTGCCTTTGCACTTTTCTGCTCCCACCCTGCCTGTGGTCCTCAGTGGGGTCTCTCGGTGCCAATCCTGGTTGCTCTTCGAGTCAACCTCGAGCTCAGGTCTGCTGTGTGGAGAACACTCTCTTTGTCGCCGTCAGCTCCAAAAGAGCTTTGCCACCAAGGGCCTTTCCGTGTGGCCGAGTAACTCTGCCTGAAGCCGTATCATTGTTGGTTGCTGCACTCATCGATGCAACAGGAAATGGGTGGATGAGTAAGTCTTTGTGCCGTGGGAAACCTCTGACAAGAACAATAATATGACCTAGTGCCTAATTCTCCACATTTTAATGACTGAATTTTAGTATCTCAACATTTGCAGGGAATCACAAGGTTGTCTTTCCACACTTTTGCGGCTGCGACTCTCGAAGGCAGCGATATTGAACCCCGGGAGCACCGGGAGAGCCCGGAGATTCTCCGCTGTATCCCCACACCATCCCTGTCAAAGCACAGACCAGGCGAAACGTAGGGCTGATCGGTTGTTCCACTCCCCCACACGAAAAGCAACGGGCTGTGCTAAGGCTCACCCCCGTAACGTCTTGTGCCAAGAAACTCCGGATACGAAAGTTACACAGTATGTATTGTAAAGCAACCGACACGGAACTCCGAATCTTCGTTGCTGCCGAGCTGTGGTGGTGCAGGCAGCTCTCAATATGTTTGATCTTTGTTAAAAAGGTTATGGCATGTCGGTCAGTTGATTCAGGAGGATTGGGATACAATCATGCCACAGCAACATGATATCAAATGGCGTCAGAAGTAGTGGAATAAAGCTAAGTAAAATCAACTCCTGGAGTGCGACATACTGAACATTGCATATAATGGTGTGCTACTGACAGCATCATTTGAATGGCATTTACTATACTCTGATTCAAACATATCACAGCTCACGACAAGACTTTGATGGAGCAATATACCTTGAAGGATTACCAATAACGAATTGATTTTCTAGCTAAGTATGCTGGGAGACTCCAAACGTTGAACAGCTGAATCTTCACTGAGCAACGTGAGTAAATTGACAAAACTACAAGTGCCAACTGACTAAGAACACGCAGCTGACAAACTTAACCTCCGTCCCCATCACTCAAAGAGCATCTAAACTAGAGCGTCCAAGGCATTCGCAAAAGTCCCAATGTCGACTGGAGTATAGTGAAACGCTTGATAGCCCGCGGTATTGAAAAAGGTAGCACCGATGCTCCTGTTCACGACAGCCTCGAGCAACACACTCAGCGTCGTTGATGAAGCAACAATGTTAGGCGTGCCGCCGTTGTCGTCATGGAACCCATGGACCAGCACTGCGGTCTTGGGAAGACGAGTGCTTCCCACGTAAGAAGTCACATAGGTGTCGATGTAACTGCCAACACCGGCGCTATCGTAAGTCGTGTATATGCCCCCCGTTGGGCACTCGTCAAGTGATCCCCAGGCATCAGCTGAGGTCACGAAGCACGTCTCAGCAGCCGCAACTAGATCAGGGCCGGGGCTGAGATCGTAGAAAGTCTGGATAGCCGTGCTGCCGCCGGTATAGCCGGGGTTGTACACAACCTTCGCTCCAGAGCCGAACGTGTTTTTGATGTGCCAGGTGACATTTTGCATGTAGTTCACACAGTCATTGGCTGTGTTGACTGGCGCCTCATCGACGAAGATACCGCTGATTGGGATGTTATAGTTGACAGTCCAATTGTACCAAACCTCAATGTCGTGTGTGATGTCACCGAATGGAATGTTACATCGGGTCGCACCCGAATCAGTTGAGGTGTGGACATAACCGAGCAGCTTCACGTTGGGATATGCGCCGAGAGCCGAGGTTTCAGGGTCGTAGTTACCATCGGGGGCATTAGTCGGCCCATTGTTTGGATTGATAACAATGTTGAAAGTCAGGTCGGGGTGGGCTGCAACCGCGGACTTGATGGGGCTCCAAGCGCCAGGGAGAGGGTAGAGGTATAAGGGAAGAAGGACCTCAGTGGTTGCGTAGGAGAGCCCTGGGAGGAACGGCAAGAGGTGCAAAGGCCTCATCATGGCAGCAGTGGGTTTCTATGGTCTTGAGAAGATGAGATCGATGATGCTGATGAGGACAGATCAACATGGCCGACAGCCTGGAGGGTCATCGGGGATTTAATACTCGCAAGACAACCTCGTCACGAGACATGATGTCCATCATGTTGCGATGGTGCAATCCCGCCCAAAACACACTAACAGTTGTGGAGTATCTGAGGGCATGCAACCTGTCGGTCTTTGCTGTACCATTTGTTTACTCTGGCAGAGTTTCACGAAAGTTGAGACCGCTAGTTGCTTCATTCAGCTTTCACAAGAAAGCCACGTTCTGGAAGATGTGGAGATAAACATAGCAAATGCGACGTTCAAAGTTGCGGGAAACAATGACGGAATGTCAAGTCGGATGTTCAGCTAGCTTCTCGGCAGAGATCGAGAGGAAGTGGACACAGAGGCTGAGCTGGACTATCTGCAATTCTGCACTAGTGTCTCCACTGCCTGCGTTAAATGGAGTTATGCCTATGCATGATATGCAGATTCGCACAACGTCGTCACAGCCGCAGGTTCAGTGTCTCGGTATTGCCGACACGGCTCTTCGCGATAACCGCTGAGAGAGCGTTGATCCGTGGCCGTAATGGCCATCTGAACTGTATCTCGTGGAGTTCGCTAGATTCAATTTTGAAATTAAGAAGTAACAGTTCATGAATGGACAACCATCATGATGAATGTGAAACGTGTTGTTCAGCTTAGAGATGTGTTGGCCCGCCCACGGCTTATCATGGAAGAGGACTCAGCAGCGACAATTGTCTGTGGTCTTTGGGAAATATGATTGAAGTGTAATGGTTAGAACACAGCGATGATGAACTGACCCTATTCTTCTCTTTTGCTGTCATCCGAAAACTGACCATCGCGAGGAGTCAAAGCCGACTTGAGACACTTCTTCATCCCTATATCCGAGTTTTGAGAAATCCCTTAAAGCGTGTTACTCTTATCGATCCGTATTATATCCAACGTTGCATGTCCCTGTTTTTAAACCAGTCAGAGGGCTCAACTCTGCTCTCCGTCACCCAAACAGGCAGCACGCAGGCTAACCAACCTTCGTGCGGTCAAGTCTTTCGAACCCTTTTTTTCTTGTCGACATCACCAACTTAAAGATATATTGCTGATAACTGCTGCTCCGGAACTTTTACCTCGAGTTTTTTTCGGGTTTATTTTGACCTATCTTTATGGGGAGTGAGGATTGCAAAACATGTGACGATCCAACTAACCCTCCTAAAGATGAGTTTGGTTCGGCTTACAGATCTGGCAGGATTTCTCAGGCTCAGGATCATTGTGCTCACCACTTATTTTGCACAACTGTTTGTATTGCTAATTGGGGATTTCTTCATCCCATTTTCCCATGAAAAGTCTATCTACGTTATATACTCATGATCCGTCCTTGTTTATACAAAAGGCTTTCTTCATCAGTGACTCTTGGTCCTGTCAGAGGACTCCCCTCTTTTCTTCTTCTGAATCTCGCATCCGTCCAGTCAAGAGGAGGCGTTGCTGGGATAAGCCAATCAGGTGCGGTTAACTTGAGCTGGAAAATACCCACGACCCGTGAGGATACTCCCGACCGAACCAACCCCACCCCTACGCCCTCCGATCAGACCACCCCTTCCAACCAGGCGAGGATACATGCCTACGCCGAGGCAGTCACCAGCAGAGCCTCACCCCCAGCCAACCAAGCCCCGCGCCCGGGGCGCCCCTGGACCCGCACACGGCACGGTACGAGACAACCACAGAGGGAATTAGCTGCCGTGTCTTCCTCCGCGTAGACAAGGCCAGCTCTACTTGGAAAGATGTCACAACCCGCAAGCATCGTTACTCTTCTGGTTGAAGGACTTGGTTTCCCCAGACGCGACATCATCAAAGTCTATCCCATCAACTCAGGCTTCGTTGTCGAAGTATCTCGCCCTGAACTTCGACACCTTCACCGCCAAAGCCAAAGAACACGACCTCAGTATTGATCCGGAGGTGTTCACATATGTTAGCTGCAAGTGACCACCGCTGACCTACCTCGGTCAGCCCGGGCTCCACTGAGGCCAGGTGCACACTTGACCTTATATAAAAGCCATGCTCATCCAACCTCACGCGTGTGTAGTTTAGAAGGTAGAGCGTTGTTATTTTGCGGTACCCATTATGCTTAACAGATTCCCTCAGGGTCGCGTGTCCTGCAGGGCAACGCCCAAGTAAATACTCCCGTCCGCATCACCATATCCTATACACCCAACAACATACGCCTACCTGTGGCCGGCAGGTCGTCGGTTCGAATCCGGCTTCCCCCACCTCGCACTCCCTGGTCTTCGACCAGCTCAACCCTGACTTCTCCCACTTGGGGCCAGCGGGCACAAGCTGCTCAACTGGTTTTCGACTAGCTCAACCTCCCACCTCCCCGCTTGAACCAGCTGGGCCAACGGGCACAAGCTATGCGCGAGCTTTTCCCAAAAAAAAAAAAAAACAGTTTTCCTCGCGCAATGTATATAGTAGGGCATCCGCTTCAGCAAACCGGCTTCCTGATAAGGATCTCGGGGGTGGCAAAGGAAGGGGGCGCGCTCTGTTCAGGGATACTACGAGGGTTCTGTGGTTCGTGCTCAGTGGGCGAACTCCGTAAAGGCTGTGGCCGGCTCGAAAGCTAAATCCAGTACTCCGCCGGCTTGGTGTGTAGGACCTGGGGGGTTCAAAACGTAGAGGCCGTGGGCGGACCCTCCAGAGAAAATCACTTCAGTGTACAATGAGATCTAGGATCCACTTGGAGCTTACCTAGTGGTCCTCGCCAAGAGAGTTACACCTTCAGGATCTTCGACTCGGATCCATCGCTCCCCTGAAGAGGAATCTTTGCATCTATACCCGTGACCGCTGCTATGGCTCTCACCACGGGAATAAATGTCGCTCCGCCGCCCGTTTTGGCGAGTGTGGTAGCCCCCGTCACAGCCACTCACAACATCTTCCCCTGCCCCAGTGTAATTGAGACCTCCGATGGTCCGCCGATGCATCCCGATATCAAGTTCAGCAATATCCTTACTGATCTTGAAAGAAGAATTGGTCATTACCTTAATCGCGTCGAGTAAGCAGATGATAGAGAAGAAAATTGAATGACCAAGGAGATCATTGATGTTGCAATGTAAAATTTGTACGCCCGAATAATACCGAAAAAAAATACAACATACGGCAGATAGAGAAAAAAGAAACCTTTTATGCCATTATTTATCCAGTGTTCTCAAGCCAAGATAATAGTACGATAAGCTCCATAGCCGGCTTCCATATCTCTATCCACTCTCCATTGCGCGATCAGATTGATACAAAGGTAGCTGCTGTGCCGAAGAACAACATAGTTGCTAGGGGCTTCTGTTATGAACGATCTCTTGCAGCATGCCATATCCCGAGAATTATACCGAGGAAAGGAGTCGTTAGGTATAATGGGCCAACCCTTTTCGGGGCGTCGGGACCCAAGAGGCTCTTGAGCCATTTAATTTGCGTATATACGTTGTAAATAAGAAAGCCAAGTTTGCTTGTATCATTGGTTGTGATGCCGGCGATGTATTGCGCTGATGCGAAGATAGTGCTGGGGTATATAGTAGCTCGGTTAGCTTGACTGAGCCCGTGAATGATGTGGCATGTCACGATTCAAATAGTTGGGGGTGAATTGAGCCCCTGTCGAAAAACTGTAAATGCCTTATTCTACCTACGTTAGTCATTTAAGAGCTAATAGGAATGTGTGAAGTGGTACGGATTTGCCAATCACTCCGTGGCTTGACTGTGCTAAATGTGAACAAAGAACGTGGGAACGGAGTCAGATGCTCAGGTGCGCTATGGGCCTGGAGGGGAATAAGTTGAGAAAATATATGACCAGTGTCTAACAATAGCAAGAGTCGAACACCTGGTATATGTCTCAATTCTCAATCTGTTAAACTTAGCAAATATTAGTCTCAGTTGCTGGCACTCACTTGACAAAAAATATGGCTCTATGAGCACTCCAACCAGTAGGGCATTGAATAAACTTCTCCGGTCGGTGCAGTTTCAAACTCTACACACCGCTTCCGCTACACTACATTCTGGCCTATATGATGGGCTTATCACGTAAGTCTCTCCAGGTGTTCTTCATCCACTGCACATGGCCTACAGTGCTTGGGCCGATGTCTTGGAATGGCGATACCTCACCACTTGAATTGCGACTGATACTGTACCGAACTTTGTCACTAAAGCGAAGGCTATGTCATGAGGGAGAGAAGGCAAAGCTCGCTGGAACCAATCAGGCCCATCGCCCATATTCTCAACACCGAGCGACTGATGCAATGTCATGCTATCATCCATATAAGCTTAAGCCTCCAAGAATCTCCTCGAAGAGATCTAACCCGGTGATGCTCTCATTTTTCACATGGTTTCCAGCTAAGTAAAGTGTGTATGATGTGGGGAGTCTTGATCACACGATATATGTTCCGTTTTGTCATAATCTTCATTCCTTTATGTGGCCACCGAGCCGCAGTGCCGGGAAGAGATAATCAAACCTTGGCCGGGGCCTGGAGAACGATCCCTGCTCTCTTAATTTACTTTGGGCTTGAGATCATGACACTCGAGACTTTGAAATCCACCAAGCACTGGGCTCCAAAGTGAACTAGGACTTTCCCACGCCAAGGCAAAAAAAAAAAAAAGACAAAATCCAAGGCTTTCAGAAAACAAACCTAGTGCTGGTTGATTAGCTGGCAGGTCAAAAGATGCTAGAGACAATGGTGATGACATTCTTAAGCCACTATCAAGCATCTTAGCGTAAGGTTATCAAATGATAAGGTATGTGATGCTGATTCGAACATCTCACCAATGTCTCAAAGACGACACTTTGCTGAGGTTACACACTGACATTAACAGAGATCAGCCTATACTACACAGCATCACAACCAAATGTCAACATAAGCGAATCCAAGGTGAAAGAATCTACCAGCCATGACCCAATGCCCAGGCTGATAACCAAACACCTACCATCAGCTCATCCTCACCTTTCATCCCCTTCATCTCCTCATAACCCCGAATCCGTATCCCCCCTAGGCAACCAATTCCCCACCCGTTCATACTCTCTCCACGCGTTACAGTTCGGCACCACCTGATCCAACTTCATCAGCACCCTCATCTCGCTCGCTCTCTCCAAAAACTGCACTCCCAATCCCATCGCAACATGCCACCCGATATGACAGTGCATAAGCCACACGCCCGGATTATCTGTTTTGAACGCTATGGCGGCCCATCCCGGACCGGGGAGCTGTTCGACGTCTCGCCGGACGGGGTTTGAGTAATTTAGTAGGGGAAGGTGTTTCTGAGGATCAAAGGTGCCGGTGCCCAGGCCTAGAACGAGGAAGTCATGTCCGTGGAGGTGGATTGGGTGCGGTAATGACAACGAACTATGCACCAGGAAGAGTGTCCAGGTGTCTTTTTGGTTGAGTTGAATCAGATTAATCGCTGCCGGAAAGGAATAATTCCCTTCGAGGATGTATTCCAATACTGGATGCCCCCATTCCACGGAAATGGGCGTGTCCTTCACATGCCAGGAGAAGATTTGGCCTTTGGTGGTGTGGTTGACGATGTTGAGACCGATTGGCAAGGTGTTGGAGGCAATGTCTGAAGGGCGGAAGAAATTGGGAGGGATATTCCGCGGCACGACAGGGGTGAATCCTGTCTCGCCGGTGCAGGTTGCTACGATGGGGGTGCCACGGTTGGTGGGAAGGGCGGTTGGGCTGGCTCCCTCGTAATGGATGATGCCTGCTGGGTAGGGGTTGCGAGAGCGGCCACAATTGTTGTTTGCTTCGAGAGTGACGTTCAGCCAATAGTTATCTACAGGTTGGTCAGCGGTGACGATAACATCATAACGCTGACCGACGGCCATGAAGAGGCTCTTGCGGATGGTTGGTTGAACCGGGACCATGTCGGTCGCAATGACCGTGAAGTTATGTCCCACAAGGGAAACCGTGAAGGAGTTATCCACGCTTGCGTTGATCAGACGAAGCAGGTGTTTCTTGCCTGGGGTGAGGGTTAAGCGGTCATAGGAGCCGCGGCCTGAGCCGTCGGGGTTGATGTTCTTGCCCCTGAAAAGGATGTTGTCGCTGTCTGGAGGGGGCCCGTTGCGGGCTAGCTCTGCCTGGAGATGCAATCTGTCTGCTGTCTCATGGTAGTAGTCGCTGATGATGTACGGGCCAAGGTCGATGTCGTAGTTGGCGGAGGCCGGGCCTTTGACGATCAGTGCGCCGAGCACGCCGTTGCCGTACTGGTTGGAGAAGTGGCTATGGTACCAGGACGTTCCGTACTGAGTGACGTGGAAGCTGTATGTTTTCATGTGTCCTGGGGGAATGGGGCACTCGGTGACCCCGTTGGTGCCGTCTTGGTTGCTCTCGCCGAATTGGCGGATGCCATGCCAGTGGATAGATGTCCTGGATGAAATCCGCGATAGTCAGTTGTCAGTTGTTGACGGTGTTGAGAGAGTGACCCAAGCGAGGATAAGGGGCTTACCCGTTGTCTTGTAGGTCATTGTAAACATTTACCACGATGTAATCGCCCCATTCTGCTTCGATAGTAGGGCCGGGAAATTGATCTAGAATTGTTAGCCTATGACAGGAGATAGGGCAGGGGATTACGGCCAAAGGGTACTCACTGTTGATGAGCATAGCGTGCTTCCGCACGCCGTCCGGCCCTGGCCAGTTTGTCGCATTGGTGATGTGCAAGTCATACTGGATGATGTTAGTTACTGATGGGTCTCTAGATGCTTGAGAAGACTTACATATCGATTGTTGTAAGCAGGGGGAATGCTGACGTCCGGATCAGTAGCGATATTCCAAAGGTTTCGCCAGCAACGTCTGTTCTCTGGGCCGTGTTGGCCACAGGGCTGTCCTCCAGGGGTGATAGTTTGTCTGGCTAGGAGGAAGGGGTTTGCATTTGCCTTGATGGGGTTTGCTAGAGTTAGGTCTAGGAGCCCAAAGAGGGTGAAGAGAAGGCGTGTTAGACTGCAGCCGGGCATTGTAGTTGTCAGAAACCACATTTAGAGACGGATAAAGTCACGAATTAACGATATTCCGTAAGAGAGCCATGCGTGGATCGTCCACAATCATCATCACAGCCTCCTCTTATATATCTCCAAGATATAGACATAAATATCGATGATGCTGCCATGTTCTCAGCCGCACGTTACCCAGGGGACTGCTCCCGCTCTCTCGTATCTCCCACTCACGATTAAGCTACCGCGACTGCCGATATTCTATAGAAACTGGTAGACGGTAGCGTGTGCAGAGACTCCGCCTTGGCGCTGGAGTTGAGTGTGCCTTTCCCCTGTCACCAAGACCTCATAGCTTGCTGCCTAGCCGCGGGATAATAGTCGGTCATAGGGCTCGGAGTCAGCCTCGGCGGTTTTTTGCAGCAGGTCGAGGCCTTGCCAAGTGGTTGGAATGGCGTCAAGACGGGATTCAGTAAAGTCTGCATGAAGCTTATCGTGGAGGAAGACAGGCTGAGGCAGCGTGGTCCAGGCATCGGATAAGATTTGTGGAGAGGAGCAGGTTTCGAGCTGCATGTAGACTTGATTTTGTGGTGGGGTAGTGATGGGAATATGGTTCAAGTCTCGAACATGGAGGAAGAGTATGGATAAGGTTTGACAGAAAGCGGGATCGGAACCATGGTACAAGTTTTAACTGAGGTGAGCTGGCTAAGCCAGAGAGAAAATTCCAGTCTTCCACATCTTGGAACATTCGCATTCTTGATGATGAGCCAGTATTCTAAGCCCAGGGGGGAACTCATTACGACTCAAAGTTGCCCCCAACCTCTTACTCGGGACAATCACTCGGGGTTAACAGATAGTTCAATGCCGGTGTCGGACCCGAGGGTTGGGATATATTGTCCGTCTCTAAATTTAGAGAGCGTGCCTGTAGCGAATAGAAAGCAGTTCACCCGTAGAATGTGAGTAAAGCGCGGGAATTATATTAAGCGGGATCATCATTGTAACTCTAGGTTACAGTCTCGGGTTGATCCCGAGTTTGGGCCAATGGTCGTCAAAGGAAGACAAGAGAGCTCTGAAAGAACATGGGATGTCTATCACTGACACGTGTGGGTAGTGGACCTGGGGACAGAGTTTAATCGAGTTACAATCTGTCTTGATAAGGTTGAGCTAAATGAGAACAAAGTCATCATGCAGAGAGCCTCTCTACTCTACTTGTTGCGCAACCTAGCTTTCCCTCTTCACCTTCAGTATTCCGATGTTTGTAGGTAACTTTCCTCCTAGCATCAAAATTGATAAATAGATGAATTTGTTGTTTAATTGTTTTTTTCGACAAGAGCGACTGGATACACCATCATCAATCATCCCTTCTTGACTTAACCTACCCCTAACTGGAAATAGCTTGGAACATCTAGTACGCAATCCTTATGCTAAGCCCTTGACTCTCCCTCTCCCAGCACCTATGCGCTGCAACCCCCTCAAAGAACCTCTCCATAAACCCATCCCCTCCCTTCACCAAATCTACAGCCTCCTTCAAACTCCCTGCCGTCACCTCTCTAACCGTAACAACCCCCAAACATTCCACTACCTCCCCTCCTCCCGAAACCTTCACCTCCGGCAGCCCAATCGCGCTCTGCACCAACGAGACTGCCTCCCCCGTAGCCCCAATCACCTTCAAATGCCCAAATGCCTCCCGGATCCAGTGCAATGCCCTACCTGAGCAGGCTAGGGTCGCGATGGACTCGGTCCCGCCGGGGATGAAGAGCGCGTCGACTAGCGTCGAGCGTAATCCTTCGAGGTGGTGATGGGGTTCGGTAGAGCCGGCATCGTTAGCGGCGCGGAGGCGGGAACGTTTCGTGCCGACAACGAGGGGGACGGCTTGTGCCGTTGTTAAGGCTGCATATGCTGAAGAAAAGGCGTAGTGATCGTATCCGTCTCCAACCAAGATCGCGACCCTGCGGGAAGCGATGGTCGGGTTGGAAGGGGGAAAATCGAACTGGCTTAAATTTGGTGCCTTCTTTCCGTGGTTGGGGCGGCGATTTGTTTCAGATGGGGGATCTCCTCCGATTCTCGAGTGGACTTCCTTTGCGAGAGAGAAATCGATGTCCGCTAAGCGCTGCGCCATCCGGCTGTACACCAGAGGATCCTCGCAATGGTCAAGTTCGAAGGCCAGAGCGTTGGTTAAGTGAGCTTTTTCGATGGGAGATAATGAGTTGTAGAAGAGCTGGGCCTGAGAGAAGTGGTCTTTGAACTTAGCGCTGCGCATACGGGCTTTGATGCCTGCCACGCGCTCGGCATACTCCAGATACCCGCCCTCGTCGAGGGTTGCAGGAGGTACGGCACCGTAGCGGTTGGGCCAATAGTTCACCGTTCCCCGGGTGATGGTGTGGCGGAGGGCACCGTCACGATTAAAGTTCATGACTGGACACACCGGCCTGTTAATAGGCAGCTCCTGGAAGTTGACGCCCAGCCGGGAGATCTGTGTGTCGAAGTAGCTGAAGTTACGGCCCTGAAGGAGTGGGTCGTCCGAGAAGCCTATGCCGGGAACGACGTGACTTGTGCAGAAGGCGATTTGCTCGACTTGCGTGAAGAACTCGTCAGGGTTGCGGTTGAGCTCCATCTCGCCGATGTAGCGAACTGGGACTAAGTCTTCGGGCCAGACCTTTGTTGCGTCAAGAATGTCGAAGTCGAATTTATTTTCGTCGGCTTCCGGGATCACTTGGATTCCAAACTTCCACTTGGGGTAGACGCCGTTGGCAATCGCTTCCCAGAGGTCCTTGCGGTGGAAGTCGGGGTCTTGACCAGAGATTTTGAGCGCTTCGTCCCAGACGAGGGAGTGGACGCCGAGTTCGGGAGTCCAGTGGAACTTGGCGAAGTGTCGTTCACCTTTGGAGTTAATTAGAGTGAATGTATTAACGCCGAAGCCCTGCATCATGCGGAATGAGCGGGGGATGGCTCGGTCACTCATCTAAGGAGGTCAGTGGTCGGTCAAAAGCGTTGAGTTGAAGACAATCTCACCGTCCACATAAACATATGCGTCGCCTCTGTATGATTAAACTGAAAATCCCAAAAATTATTGTGCGCTGACTGCGCCTGCGGCACTTCATTATGCGGCTCTGGCTTGCCCGCATGGATGACGTCAGGGAACTTGATTGCGTCCTGGATGAAGAAAACTGGGATATTGTTCCCAACGATGTCCCAGTTGCCCTCCTTGGTGTAAAACTTAGTCGCGAAACCTCTCACATCACGAACAGTATCCGCGCTGCCACGACTGCCCAGCACCGTGGAGAAGCGCACGAAAACGGGCGTTTCCCGCGACGTATCTGTGAGCACGCCCGCCATGGTCAGCTCAGGGATGGGCTCCAGTAGCTTAAATTTGCCAAACGCGCCGCTGCCACGGGCGTGAACGACTCTTTCGGGAATACGCTCGTGGTCAAAGCGCATGATCTGAGGGTGTTAGTCAAGCTGAATTGTTCATAGTTCAAGGGAGATCTCACCTTCTCACGGCCAAGAGGGTCCTCCAGGAGAAGAGGTCCCGTCTTGTCGCTGCTGGCAACCTTGAGCCAGTCATCGTGGGTGGTCTGCTTGACTCCGTAGTCTGTCGTCAATCGGTGATCGGGCGAGATGTCCTTAGTGACTTTCGCCAAGTCATGAAGCTTGTCGCTCTCGCGGGGTCCGAGGACAGCCTGCTTGGCTCTTTCCATCGTGTCAGACATTATTCCGGCCATGGGTCTGTTGAACTTTTCTCTTGGCTTTTGCTTATATCGACCGTCTCTGATCTCGTAGAAATCAGCTTCAAGTAAACAGGATGTAGTATGGCTTTAGTTTCTGTGGTAGAAAAGCTACTTAAGATTCATACTCAAGAAGTTCCTTGGCAAAGTACCCTGTTGCATGTTGGTGGCCAAGGGCTTCATAGTGACGACAGTGACGTCAATGACCCTAGGTATTGGCGGCTCACGGATGAAGCTCCTTTTCTCCAAGCACTTTGAACCAGTGGAAAGTTGGTTTGAAGAGAAGCATATGCTTCGAACCTCTTGTTCCATCGTCGGAAATCTCCAAATATCTTTCCACCTAATCGTAGACAATGGTTTTTTAGTAGCATGTTTTTAGATGCCTAGTTCCGATGACCAGAGCTAGACCAAACATACTGTCAGCGCCTTGGTGCTAACCTTTACCCTTATCAATCTTCTCTTTCCAACTCGGTAGGGTTAGGGTTTATAAGCCGGATTTCTTACAACCAGGGGCTCATCCCTAATCCTTATTACGCTAGTAATCTCGCTCTCTGGAAAGTTAAGGTCTGCAGGTCTACTCTGGCGTTTAACATATCCAAACCTTACCTTGAGGAGATCGTTGCTATATCTGTGCAGAAATGATTGAATATGGTACTCAATGAGACTCTCTAGCAGTATGTTGAATGTACACCTAGAAGAAAGGGCAAATATGAAGACTGTTTTCGCGACCTTAAAGGAGTCTTCTCATGTAAGCCGTGGCTACCCAAGACCTAGACCCCATACTGTCGAGTGACATCTTGGAAATAGATAATTTAATTTGCTAGCAGTTTTTGATCTTTGGCTGTAATAGGAAAATTTGGTCAAGTTTCTGTTTTTTTCTGATTCGATTTCCAGATTCATTTGCAAGTTGGGTCTCATTCTCAAACACAGGGTTTTCAGCCCGCAAGTCCCATCCCACCATCCACCATCGCAGCACTCTGCTTTCACCATAGAGAAGCTCCCGCAGGAGATAATGGACAACACTGACGCATACTTTCCTTAACTCGGCAAAAGCATGCTGCCCCGCAAGTTGGCCCGGTATGCCACAATCATCAGGAAATGGCAATATGCCATCGCGAATTATATCTGGTCTCTTCTGTTCATCACATCTGACCGACTGCACCAACTCGAGTACATGTTGAAGGATGATCGGCTCCGCGGATACCCAGTAATTCGTCAGCACCCTCTACAAAGGCTGCATATCAAATCGCAGCTTGAGACTGATCGCCTCTGCCAGTGCAATCTTCCATTTTCTGTTGTCGCTCTCAGGTAAGTGGCGTTTTGTTGTCTCTGGAGAGGTGACCTTGAACAAGAGCATACTGACGTAAGTTCACGCCCTATGGACGTGAAGTTTAGTGACCAAGCTTTGACAGACATTGTCAGCGATGACTCCAGCCAAATGATGTTGGATAAAGTCCTCTCGGGCAACTTCTGAGCAACCTGTGTATGTTGGATACCGCACGATGACTAGCAGATACTTTCTCCTAGTCAAGCCATGAATATCGAAGCAAAACTGAGGTCCTTTGGGCAAACATTGCGCGCTGTCTTTCCAATTGCGCAGTGTGGCTGTGACAGCTCCAGGTTCATTCTTGCAAACTACATTTCTGTAACGGGTGACTTGGTCTAGTGCAGACAGGGATCGACAATGGGTCAAATGGGTTAGATGATAGCCACTGACGATGTGGGGCGCACAGTGAAGTCAATTACTACGTGTAATAATCTTTCTTTGCCCTCAGTGTCCTTGTGTTGGGGAGAGGAAAGCCCAAGAGAATTCCTTCATCGTGTCCAAATAGCCCCCCTTGTAAATCCCTTTGCCCTTGTGAGTACCTCGCGGTCTCCTGCAATCTTTAGGGGTTCTCATCAGCGTGGCAAGGTTATCTAACTCATTCTTGCCACCCCCTCATATTTTCCGGGCTCTACCAATCAGATATGCCTTTGCCCTTCTCAGCTCTTGGGTCACTGGTGTTCTATATATCGACTGTCAAAAGTATTTCTTCTCCCTGGACTGCCGTGTCCATATGACAATTCCCGCCTATTATCAGCGTGAGCGACTCGGGAGAACCAAGGCGAGCAACCATGGTCATCAGACATAGAATCCATCATGCTCTTACAGGAAGTATCCATGGATCTCTGTCACATTTTCCTTCACCCCAGAGCCAAACGAACAGACTAGCCAGTGGCTGTCCGAGACTGATTCGTGAGTCTGGGCTACTCGGAAGATCTCAGCCCTTTGGAGCTAGTTGACTTCTTTTAAAACCTTTCTGTCAGGCCTAAGCCAGTCCCTGTTGCGTATGCCTAAGCTGGAGCATTATCATTTCGACTTTAAAGTAGGTAACCATGAGCATCCATTGGAGATATGTTACGAAATGTCGTTGTGCGGAGCATTCCGGGCTCGCAGAAGCTATTTAATATTGGAATAGGATCGAAGGAAAATACCTTTTGATTTAACTGCACAGTTGCGAAGTTGGATCTTTTGGATGATCTGCTTCACCTAAAGGAGGTGGGAGATAACTTTGATGTAAGAGAGTACGCGAGGTACTGTGGCCTAGGTGGCCAAGAGTCGGATGATCGTCTGCAGATTAAACAGGGCTTTGAATGAGGTGGCTCGACTAGGCTGCAAGTTGTTGTGACAAGGCTGAACCGAAACGGTGTAACTGCAGGACTCATTGATCCTAAACATTTATCCCCCTAAATTTTTGGCAGAGAACGATGAGATCTAGACTTAAGATTTGCTCAAAATAGCTCTTGGATTTCAAGACTAATACTACTACGGATACTGCCATGAAAGCAGAACCGGCCCACCGGCCTGGCACATTGAGTTGTTGAATGAATAGATCGATCTAGCCTTGTCTCGTTGTTGAGCTGTCATCCTAGCCAATGGGCCAATGGCTGCAGGTGATAGATAGAAAAAGGTAACAATGGCCGATCTTGGAGCAATAATTTGCTGACACGATTGATCCTCCTTCCCCTTTTTCTTCAGGAACGACGAGGCTGTGATTATTATTTACACCATCTTATACGTGTGAGGTGTCAGTACATGCGGATGGTGGCTCGAGATTATCTTCCTTATTGGCACAGCCCTTTTGTTGTCGTTAACACCACCACATCATGGAGAGCATCCACATGTATGGAGGTCATCTATTGGGAGTATAAGTTCTTTTGGCTGAAGAATGCTCACTGCGGTATCATTGTCTTTTTTCAACTGCGGAACATTTCGGGAAGCATCCTATGCAGAATGTCAATCATTTAGTCTATCGCTATAGCAAGATTGGCTGTCAAACAGAGCCCGTATGTGAATCTTTTTGTCAAAGACATTCTTTTTTGAAAATTGGAGTACCATTCGTTTAATGGCATTTGCTGTCTTTGTTGGTGACTTTTTCATGACTATTGGATTTTGGCCTGTTTTTTTACTTTCCCCTTCAGTTCTAGAACGTATTGGAGGACAGGGATAGAAAGTTGGCTAAATTCTTTGCGTGCCTGTTAAACTTTTATTCCTGGCTCCTAGTATCCGGCCGTTTGTTCTTTGAACAGAGCACATTATCAAACGGAACGAGGTTAAGTTTGGATATGGATATGGTGGCAATAGCTCTGTTTGACGCTCAGATACTGCTGCTGCTGATACCGGGTTGCGGGTGTGTCGGAAGAAGCAAGCTAGATGATTCAGAGAGCGACGAGCGTTCGGGGTCTCTACAGAAGTACCCGGCATCTCGATGCGAGTACCCCGAGGCTCGACGCAGCCACCTCGGGTCTCAATACAGGTCCCCCCGCCTCGAGACTCCGAGCAGCCACCGCTAAGAGGCGTCTATATCCCTCTCTGGGATTATTATGATCTCTGAATCAATTCTACTGGGAAATTATCACCTAGACTCTGTCCAAATTGTGATGCATGTTTCATGGAACCCCGCAGATCTTGGATGTCCTGTACTTGATATCAATAGTCGTACCGTTAACAAGAAAAGCAAAGATGCATTCAGTTACAACGTCAAAAATATACATCATTGCGTATCTTTAAGAAATGGAGAGAAGCTGTAGATCTATATGCATTTAACGGTCTGGTTGCCATGGATGAACTTGAAGTACTTTGGATAAGACACGTTATTGATTTATCTATCTATTTATTTATTTATATCTTTCGACCGTTCATCACTGGAGGTGGATAAGACAATTAGTTTAATCAGTAGAAGGCACACTGAGCCCTGTGTCGTGACGTCCAGGAAAAGGCGAGGGGAACAGCTATTCAACCCCGAAGGCTGAGGTGAGTTTAGCCTTAACAGTCCTAGCGGCGACCGCTCGGTTCCAAGGTTGTCGTGATAGCCTTTATAGACATCGTGTGATCCTAGGCAACCCTATAACTGATATTTCGGTGACAACCAGGTAAATGATGGGCTCAAGACACGCAAAGAACTTCTAAAGTATCGCTTAAAGTCAGAAGGATGGCATAAATGTAAACTGATATTGGCATGATACTGCATTGTGTGCTCAGTGTTATAGATGTGTTCAGTTTTCAAGTTGCACTATCAATCCTGGATCGTCCATTGGCGACAAATACGAGGGGCGGTTCCTCGTTTCCCAATTTGCAAGAGAGCTTTATAGGCATGCAAAACGCCGAATTTCCCAAACAGAAACCCGTATAGTGAGCAGAGAGGCCTGCTTACGCGGTTTTGTGAAAAACTCTCTGTGAACTTGTGCTCAGCCTTACCGATATGATGGAATGCAAAGTTAGCTAGATTGCATGATAAGCTTTCTTCACGAAGACGTGAATCTGAATATATATAGCCGGATGTCTGTTCCGGTGACCTCTCTTCTTTGATGAGAATAGTGGATTTGGTAGTCTTTTAAGCTCCGACAAGCCACGGCAACAAACTATATCTATAATTCTAGGATCACTTACAACATCCAAACCAGGAACTTGGGCAGTCAAAGCTGACCGCTGTGAAAAGTCTTGTCGCGTCATAATCCTGAATCATCAGTGAACTTTGGCACCGGGACTCATTCTTCCGTTCTTCGTCGAAGCATCGTCCGCCTTATGACCTGCCACATCGTCCCGGGGTTCAGTCCCCTGAACAGAACCCTGATATACCTCAGCACAATGCTCGCACCAGCCCAGTACATTGCCGGCGTTGGAACCAGCGACATAAGTAACCTCGGATTTCTCGCTTATAACATCCACATGCAATACATGTGGTACAGAGACATCATCAACCCCAGCGCTCCAGAAAATGTCGGCCCTCTCTGCCTACTCATTCCTCACTTCAATGTCATCTACGCAATCTCCTATGTTGGCGGCGTCAGTTCTCGAAACCATATCTGGCTACGATTCTAGTCCTTGGCTCAGCAGGAACACTTGCGATTAACACCGTCGCGTCATGGAAGGCCTATGGCTATATGGAAGCTGGTTATGGAGCTTATCGCTTCTTCTACTTTGGTTCCAGGACACTCGATGAGAAGTGGCATACGGTTTTCTTCCGTATGTGGAATATTACTGGCACGATTTTGTGTGTCATGTCTATCATCTGGGCCATAGCTATGGCCCGGCTCGCGGTCAAACGGGATTCCGTTGTTAACCGATTTGTTAGAAAACTCCACGAGGATTTTCATCCATTCATCGTCCTTCTTGGCTTTATATTTTTCGGCGGCTTTTTTATGTTTTGTGGCTTTTTGGTTGTTTTCTGCTGCCTATTTTGTCATCATTGGAATAGGGTTAAGGACTGGGATGAGAGACCATTGTCGGAAATTTATGGGTGGTTCTGCAGTTTCCTGTTTCTTGAAGGCGGTATCTGGCCTTTCGTCCTTTGGACTGAAGCCATATTCAGAGCAAACGACATCGTTTCGGAGACCGACAAGCTGTCAGTGGTTCTGTTTGGTATTCAGGCTGTCGGCTTGCTACTTCCGGATTGGAAGTTGTGGAAGAAATGAATATCCGACTGGCATGCGTTATTAGACGACTTAATATATGCATACCTCTTATATAGGTAGTTTTAGCGTACAAGTGATGTGCCTGGTTGGCCTTGGTAACAGAGAGATCCGAGACAGACATTTTAGAGGCGCATTTAGGCTCACAGTTACTCTCCGTCTCCAATCCAGTGCATTCCGCGACGTATGCCATATCCCACCCCTCCGTTTGCCAGCCATAGGTCTCTTAACAGCCTTGCAGAGTCGCCAAGCTTTTCCTTAAAGCCTTCTCTACACTCGTCTTATAAGTTGAGCCATGTGGTCTCTCCAATGTAACTCCTCTCATGATGAGTGTTGTCATCATGACCTTTGTGGCGTGAGATCAAAATTAGGAGTCTTAACTACTCCAATATATGTTTGTATCCATCTGCATACCCCCCTACAACCCTTCAATTTCCTCCCTCACATCCCTCCCATCATCCCACTGTCTACTCAAAACATCCATCCCGCCTTCTTCTTCCATCCTCGTCCGATCCCACATCACATACCCCCACTTCCTCAAGTCACCATTGATATACTTCCCCCACAAATTGCACCACGTCCCCTTCCACATAACTGTCCACGCGAACGGCGGATGTGCCGCTGCCTGCGAAGGGTACAGTCCTCCTACAGTGTCTCCTTTGAATGGATGTGCTTCCCGGTTTTTTTGCTTGAGGTCGCGGGCTGAAGCATGCGAGAGGAGAGGGGATGGAAGGCGGGAGGTGCGGCGGTTGGTTTGGGATTGGCGGAGGAGAGCTGATTCGAAAAGGTAACCTCCGAGACGGAGGTTGGGTTTTACAATGGGGATGAGGGATTCGGGGGTAGGGGATTCTTGGGAGAGGATGGCGAGGAGGGGTTGAAGACCAGAGAAGACAGTTCCGCCGAGAAGGTCTTGTCTTTCCCCTGAAGAAAAAAACGAAGAGGTCAGCGAAGATCAGTTAGGAGACGGTTAGGATTATGTTTGGGGACATACAGCCGTCTTCTAGTGGGATAGCGGGTACTCCGTCCTCATCGTTTGGTTCAATAACATTTTTGATCTCTTCGAACACGTGTGCATACTTCTCTTTGCCAAACTCAAACACACACACGAGCTCTTCCACCTCCCATGGTTCAAATTGCGCAAAACATTCCATCACCACCTCCACACTGCTGTACAAAACGTGCAGCTGCGGCCCGTATTGTAGTCGCGTCCACGCTGCACCATGCCCAAACAAATTGCTATAGAGTTGCGCGCGATACAACGCGCGCGTTATGCGCATCTGTTCTGCTGCGCTGAGAGGTCGCCGCCTCTTCTGTTGCGGGCCCTGCACACTGTTCTCCACTCTAACTTCGGCGGCAAGGTTCGCCAACGCCCAGTCGGCATACCTCTCAACCAACGGCCGGACCACTCTCTCATGAAACAGCAGCATATCCCTCGCCTCTCTGGCATTAACCCATTTCGCGATGTCAAAATCGTTTGGGTCAGAACGTAGTTTGCTGTACTCCCCAATAAACCCGCGCACCTCTTCTCGGTCACGTTTTTCTAGGAAGTCGGGCTTACCCGACCGGTAGGCCGCAAAAGCATCTAGATTGGCGGGGCCAAGCTGGCGCGCGAGACATTGGCAGAGTATGTGGGAGCTGTCGTAAATATACTGCTGAAAATACGTTGGAGAGGCGTGTATCAGGGCACGGAAAGACGAATAATCGAGGGAAATGAGGATTTCAAGACGCAGTTCAGGCGGAAGGCGCTCGATTGGGGCCAGGGGGTCATCTTGAAGGCTGGAGCGGTGGAAAAACTGCGAAGCGCGGGAGCGGATTTTGGAGAGGAAACGACGGGTGCTTTTCATGGAGTTAAATGTCAATGTAAGTATTCTGCCGTACGTGATATGCCTAGACTCACGGATGCGGTTGAGGTAACGTTACGTGATGGTCAGAAGATAGCGAAAACTTGTTGACTGGTGTTGATGGAGAGGTTGAAGTTGAGTTGCGGCTGATCGCCCACTGCAAGATCCTTGATTTAGCGTGCTTCACAGGGTCATGGTGTGAGATGCACTGTGACGCCACTGTCAAACCACAATGTGATTGGCTCTTGGCATGGACATGGGTCTTGCCCAGCTGTTGGTGCTAGAGTCCTTATCCACTTGCCTGATCCACTTGTTGGTACACATGTCACTTATTGCATCAAGACATAACGAGATCACATCGGCTTCAAAAAGTCTAATATCAAAAACCATCTCATTGACTGCTATAACTACCAATACACCCAGCGCAGCAATGCATCCCAAAACCCAATCAATGCTCTATCTACCCTAGCACTAGCCTGCCCTCTTAATACCAATGAACAACCAGATGAACTCATTTCTCGAGTCTAGTTGAATCCCAAAACCATCTAACCGATCCTCCCTTAAATGAACCGAAGCTCGCTCAAGCTGATGTCAATCGCCCATCGCTGACAAAGCCTTCCAAAAAGATGCCCCTTTACACTTCCGAGACCCTTCACTGAATTTCAATCTTCCTTTTCCCAGCCTTCTTAGCCTTTGGCACATTCACACTCAGGACACCATTTTCCAGGCGTGCGGTTACGCCATCATGGTCAAGCCGCTCGGGGAAGGCAAACACCCGCTGGAACTCGCCAACAGACCGCTCCCAGAGCCAGTAGCGTGTGCCGTTGTGCTTCTGGACAGCTCTCTTAGAGTCGGACTTCTTGACAACAGCCTTCTCTTCCTTGGGCTCAGCGTTGTTGCCCTCAGAAGGGGCAGCATCGGCGGGGACAGTCTTGGGAGATGGAGCAGGTGTGTGGTGAGGATCCTCAGGGTCGTCTTCGACTGTGGCTTGGAAGGAGTTGCGACGAGGAGTTTCCATCTCCTGGGCAGCAGTGTTGCCACTCTTGGTATCGTTGGTCTCCTCCTCTCCTTCAGGAGAACCCTCCTCATACCCCCTCTCAATCCTGCCCTTCACAACCAAGGTCTGTGGATCGACAAACTCAATGCTGACATTCTCCCTCTCTAGGCCAGGCAGCTCGCCGTGCAGCTCGTAGGCGGTCTCCGTCTCGCACACGTCAAACCTGGGGTTGAAGGTTGTGACGGCATTGTTGGTGTGGTTGTGACGAGGAGACCGCATTAGATGGCGAGGACAGCAGTTTGGTGCTGCAGCACGTTGCATCTGTCGAGTGTAGGCATCAAAGTCGTCGAGAAGACGGAAGAGAGGCGTGAAGCTGGCCTCGACCGCAGGGGTGTAGTCGTAAAAGGTGGCGGGGAAGATGGACATCATTTTGATGGTTGATTGTAGTGATTTGGTTTTAAGTGTTGTGAGTGTTGTGCTGAGTGCGTCGATGATGTTTGATGAGATCGCTATGAATCTCTAATCGTTGTGATGCTTTGTTGTGTTTGTGTGAACTCTGGTGATTAGAGTGGTTGGGCTCATGGCACTGGAAGAGGTGAGCCATTAAGTATTTGGGGGGAGTGTGAGAGGGTGTGTGCTAGAAGCATCATGAAGTCTCATTCTGGCGTTTTCGTGTAGCTAGGCGCAGTTTCGTGAAATGACTGGAAGTGTGGTGATGAGTCTGGGATGAGCGAGGCTGTGCTGGAAGGTGGTTGAGGCTGCGCGAATCTGCTCGTGGGTTCCGGAATTTTCCAGAATAAAGGGTAAGGGTTAGAATTATCACCGTGTAGATCACAGTGCGATAGAAGACATAAGTCAGGGTTAGGGTCCGCCCTTCCCCATACCCCATCAAAGTCTTGATCAACTTTCTTGGCATCATCACGACTTCAACAACCCCTTTAAGCCGCCAATTCGCTGCCGCAGTACATTACCAAATCGTTAAAACGAAAGACAACACCGCCCTTATCTTCCAATCCTCCTTCCCCTCTCACCCGACAACCCAGACACCCGCTACAAAACTGCATCCTCCTCCTTCATGGCTTTAGTTGTTCCTCCGAGTGCTCCATTCGCAGCTTTCCCGCTCTCAGTGCTTATTTCTGGGCCGTCGCCCCCGATATGCGGGGGCACGGCCGCTCAGAACACACGAAAAATTGATACCACGTTGCGAGGCTGGCCGCTAACTTGAGGGAGTCGGTGGTGTATTTGTGTCGCACACTTTATGAAGCAATGCCAGGGACGATACCAAGGTCTTTCCCTGGTGGTTGTTCGATTGTATTGGATACCAGGAGTGTGAATATCCAAACTAAATCTGGATCTGACTATGAGTCGCTAAAGCTATGAACGTTTTGGGGGAAGGAGACAGGGGGACGTAGGATGGGAATAATTCGCCCCGTTTATTCATCTCGGGCGGAGCTGTAAGTCTCGAGTTGTACTCTCCTATTCCCAAAAAGTCGGTGCGAGTACCAAAAGACTCTGGGGTCCAGATACCCTACCATAGGGTTATTGAAGGACGAGAGGGGGCATCTCAGGAATTGGCCTCTGGAGGCTATCGATCCACTAGGGTAAGTTTTCATCGCACTTGGAGGGTGGTTGAACCCGAGATGGTACTCCAGAATGTCTCTATGTCCAGATGCCTCCGCGACCCATCTAACCAGACACTTTTTGTTGGGGAGAGCGAGGAAGGATTTAGCTGAAGGGTCATCCCACAAGCTGACTGAGGCTTATTTGACCGCTACCATGATGCTATGTTAGGGGATGGGAGCTTCCGGGGTCTGAGAGGATTGGGGGTAGCCCTAGCCAAGCCCTGATTCCGGGTTGCGAGGGCTCCCAGATAGGGCTTGGTTAGGCGTCGGTGGCTAATTGCTGTAGGCGAGACCAGCCTTGTATGGAAGCGACTGAGGTCTTCTTATGAGTGGGTGGTCGGGCGGCAAGGTCTGAACCTGGGCTCGCCATTGCTCTTGCACCAGCAGGTACTGAGGGTAGAGCCCGGCTAGCCACCATAACCATGGGGTTGAAACCGGGAAAATGGCCCTTAGAGCAGCGTGTGTGACCCTAGTCAAAGCTGCCCAGATCTCTTCTGGGTTCGACGGGATTAGTCGTCCTCTGGTTCCATATCTGAAGGGGCCGATATCCATCTGTACCAGGCATATAAGAGTGAGGGCACCACAGCCATGTTGAAGATGACGGGGCAAGACTTTGGAGGGAAACTCCTGGCTTTAGTGCTTGACAATCTTTCAATTAGGCCTACTGTGGACACAGTGGCTGCAGCTCTGGCAGCGGCCTTGGTCAGGGGGGACAGTTTCGTGTCCAGGACTACCCCGAACCATTTAAACGAGATTGTGGGACAGGCTGTGAGACACAATGAAGGACTTCTCTTAGTTCTTCCTCTCGCTACCACAGGGACACTGAAGACCAAGAAAGATTATTACACTTAGCAATTCACTTCGTTGTGCACCCCACATCGTCAGTTGCTATCATCTAACCCATTTGACCCATTGTCGTTTCCTGCCTGCACCAGATCAAGGCCCCCGTTGCATCCCTTGAGTACCTGTGAATATGAATGTGACTCAACTTGATTAGCCGGGAATTCAGAGACATGAAAAGTGTTGTCACGCACTGGAAGGCCTCATATGCTTGAGTAATGGCATTGTTTGACGGGGGTAGGGAAGAACAGGGGAAAGAGGTTGTTGAGCATCGGCCAGGCAGGCCGCCTGGATGAGGGACAGAGTGAAGCTTCGAGATAAGCGGTTCGGCAACCGATCTCTCGAGCTGTCCGGACAAATTTTTCTCAACGTTTTCAATCACGGCGTAAAGCTTCTCTGCGACAGACAAGGGCATTGACTTCTTTAACCTGACGTCCCTGGCCTTGCGGGGGCCGAGAGGACGCTGGTGCTGGCAGGCGCAATGGTCGGGATGGGAGCTTGAACAGTCGGTGTTGCGAAAGCGATTGCTCAGGATAACCACTCCTGATCGGTCTATCCCACTGGCTCTTCCTCTGATTGATCGGTTCCGAGAATCCGAGGGAGAAAAGAGGGAAAGGTGGTTACTAACCTTGTTTACCGAATTCTGACGCTTCACTCATTTGGACCAGCTCTAGGATGAGATCGCCACCACATTACTTGTCGGATAGGACTGGAAGGCTATACTCCCCTCCAAAGCAGCTGTCGCCCGCACCACTAAAGTGAATCGCTAATCCGGCATTTGGTCGCTCGTTTTGACCCTATACAAGCTGTTTGGTGCGCGATCCTTGACTCGACCACAAAAGCCGAACTCTCATGAGTTGCTAAAAGACATTGTTGAGACCGTTGGCCTGCCAAGGTTTTGTGTGAGAAGTTTTATTGTTTGTTCAGCCGCCCCTATATGGACCTAAAAGTGCGTCAGAATCGTCGACGTATCATCAATAGAGATAGGGTGTGGGACCGCGAGACAAGGGTATGGCTTACCCCCTTCGGCAGGTAAATAGATAAATTTTGAGGATAGATTGGACAGGTAATGGCAGCCGATATCAAAGAAATGGATAGGCCTAAAGAGCATCGACTTGCTGTCACCAGTGAGACTCTCATGGTTTGAAGATGTTAATGAACGACATGTTGCAGTTCACGCCGTATGACTGGATTACGATCAGGGGGTGCTGGAATGAGTGTATGAGCATATGGGGTTTGTCGGCGTTAAGGAAATACCTCCAGCAGTATCTGAGAGCGCAAACTTTGTCGGCATTGATGGATAGGCAGTTCAATCAGGTTGCTAGATGTTTCAAAGAGAACCAGGACGTATAATAGTACATGCGGCAGCCTAGTTCTTCTCATTGAGCAGATGTTTGTGATACTATCCCAGAACTTCGTCACATGATGCAGGCTAAGCTCATGGTCTTACTCAAACACTTCAAACTGGCCGTCGTTGACTCAGGATGGATTCAGTTGACACACTAGTTGTACTAGCCGGCAAGGTTTTGGCGTAACACTAAAACAGTGGCTCGCCTTCTAGATGTGGATAGCGCTAGCAACGTGAAAACAAGCGCATGAGGCTCGTCTTGGCTTGCATAAGGCCGTGATTGGCCAGTGGGTGCTCGATACATCGGTCACCGCATGCAGGAGACAAGCCTCAGCCAGCAGACACCTTGCTGACCCTAGACTAGTCCACAAAATTTCCGTATTACCGACTACCTACAGCACACTCTACAGGGTATCCATCCATCTGCCTAACATTCATTGTATTGTCGTCATTCCCTAGGTGTCCTCATTTACTCCTCCTCTTTCCGCTCCCCAACAGGCACCCCCGCCTCTGCGAGTACATTCGCCGGCCCCCGTTCCATCCATGGCCCCATTGCCTCCTCACTATCACACAGAATAATCCCCAACATCCCTAACACATTGACTCCGGCCCCATCGGGGCCCGCTGAACGCCGTGGCACAACGACAAGCCAGTTTTTGTCCAGTATGACGTTGTGTGCTGGGACAGAGCGGTCGTCGTCGCTCATGGAAAGGGCGGCGCGAGATTTCTGGAGGAGGGAGTGGTAGATTGGGAGAAGGATGTCAACTGGGGGGTGGCTGTCACCGTTCTGCTTCTCTTTATCATCAAAGCGGTGCACGAAGGCCTTAAATGGCAGCTTTATCCCCCGATCTCCCTCCCCAACCCGATCCGGCCAGAGTTTAAACTCCTGTGGATCAGGAGCAGGGAACACATGCATATGCTTATGCAACCTACTACATCCGCTCTTGATTCCGCAGTTAAACAGCATCAGATATCTTGTCTCGTTCAACTTCCCCAAGACTTCCCTCGCGGCAGTGAAATCCTCACTATCAAGAGCTTCAAATTGGCGACGGTATCCGTCATCTGTGAGCAGCAGGTAGTGAGGGCGTGCTCCGGGAAATTTGTTGGCCATCAGGATGTGGGTCGAAGTTTGGTTGGGAATGGGGATCAGCTCGAATCCGGCGACGCCAATGTCGCCGCCGGGACGGCAGCCTGTGCCGGAGGGGATAGGCGTAGGGTTGGGAGATATTGGAGTTGATTCGGACTCGGAGTCTGTGACGTAGGGCTTGTCGGTGAGGGAGGGGATTATGCGGAATTCAAACTGGGAGAGGAGTTAGTAAGTGTGAGAAGATGGGAAATGTGTTTCATTGCCGATAGGCAGAGTGAAGGATTTTGGGACGTGCTCATGATAACTGAGGGCAGTCAGAGCAGGGACGGAGGGGGCAAGTGAGAGGTGGAAATGAGAGCGCCGGGGGTGAGAGGCTTACTGAAAAACCGTCATAATCCAAGCGGACAGTGCGGTAGTTTGTGGTAAACTTGACGATACCTTGGTCAATGAGGCGATCAAACATCGCCAGCAGACTCTCCTCATTGATAGGATTCTGTGAAGGTGTCATGTTGTGATGGTGATGATGGAGTTTGGCGGTGAGTGACCGACTTTTTCCACGTCAAGTGAAAATGAGAAGGGCGATGAGATTCAGGATGGGATTTGAATGGACAGGGAAACGTATTATGGTATTGGAAGGTTAAAAAATATGTGTGGCCGTAAATGTCAGTCCGAAACTCTGCAAAATTTTGATTGATGATGGGACGGATGGAGGGGTGATATCCTCAGGCCGGCGAGATAACTTCAGTCGGTCTGCGGTTTGTGAGTCGTGCCATCGTGAGCCCCAACAAATCTCTACCCCAGCCCATTTAAAATCGGGCAGTTGCACCCGACGCCGCCAATTGCGAGCGGATACTGAGATAAGACGAATCTGCATTTTGGAAAACATTGCTCCTTTGTCTTTTGTGTACTCAGTCAAACATCAGTCTTGCAGCTCATCATGTCATCCCTTTTTCATGTCTGGACCTGAAATTGTGATGAGTCTGGGTTCTGTCTCACTTCATCAGACAGCCTGCTGAGATCCGAAATTTGGGCGCTAGAGTCTGCTGAATCAGCGGACAGGGGTCCCCGACTCCACTATACGGATAGCGGCTGTTAGCGCACCCCGCTGGTTCCCTGCCGCCAGATCCCAGGCCTGGCTCCTTCCTCCTTATCCTCCTTGACCAAAAATTTCCAGTTGACCAAAAAGTCGTTGCCTCTAGATCTCTGCGCTTCCCTGTTTTCTAAATTTCTCCCATTCGTCGAGTTCTATCAATACTCGCCCACCAAAACCAAAACCGTGAGCCAGCTAGAAACGCCGGGGGCATCCCAAACGCCACGGAACGCGTGGCATCCAAGCAGGACCCACGGCCGCGTGACCTCGATCGCCGCGAACCTGTCAGAATGACGGAACTCGACGGCATGATTTCTGGAATTTCCGCAACATTCTCTTCTCTCTCTTTGTAGCGATTTCTTCATTTCATTTACCCTCACGAGCTGTCTTCAATCCAAAAGCCGACTCTAACACCTTCCGACCTCCTGCTAATCATGGATGCTTACAAGAGTCGAGCTCATGAGCACACGGCGGTCTTGTCTGCCCTGCTGCGCGACCGTCCCCGAACGATGCTTGTGGCATCGGCGGCAGGCGACCCGCAAGCGGTGGGCTGTCGATGAGCGATGGAGGCTGTATGGCGACATTGACCATCCTGTTTCCGGCGGCCGGAGCCAGCGGTGGCCGACTAAGACTGGCCGACGTAGTGGGTGGTCCAGGGGCGTGGCCGGCGAGGCCTGTCCCGACCTGCGGCCCGCTCTGGTACGCTATGAGAGGCGGCAGGTCCAGCGACCCGATGTTGATGATCCCGGTCTGGCTCTGGGCCTCGCGGGCTCTTCTTCGATCTTCTCGTCTAGCTCGGTTACTGTATGCTCGCGCATTGGACTGGATCGTTCGGAGACCGGCACTCATGCACTGACTCAGTCAGCATGGCTGCCATAGGTGGCTCAGGCAAAGAGAGAGGACGAACCATGGCTTCGACAACCTCCCATCGCAGACCTACTCTGTCTGCCAGCTTTGACCACATTTGCTTCCGCATCAGCATATACTCGTTCGCGACCGCCTCGAGCCTGCGACCGCTGGCGTCTTGTAGACCCCGCTTCTCAACCAGCCGCTCGTACCGCTTCCGGCACGCGTTGGGTGTCTTGCTGGGGAAGTATGTGCGCTGGAGATCCGCCCAGTTCTGGCCCCGGGCCCGCGCCTGGATCAAGATCTTATCTTCCTCAGCCGTCCATGTCCCGTGGTTATACGGTGATGCGGGGTACTCGGTCCACGTCGCGACCGTGTCGGCAGTTGGGGCTTGCGTTGTTGCTCTCTGGATGAGGTCGCTGCGAGGAGGGAGCTGTCTCATCCCAGTTGAGATCGGTGCCGATCGTGGCCCAAGATCGATAGCAGCGTATGACGATGGCACGGTCGTCGGCTGTTGGGTCGCTTGCGTGCTCGGTGCCCTCTGCGTGGGCTGACCGGCCGTCTGAGGCCGCGGGGCAACGGTTGGTGGCTGATAAACGCCGTACACAGCGTCAAGGTTGTGATTCTTGAGTCTCTGGAGGCTGGTGTCCGTTCCATCGTTTGCAACGGTCGTCTCTCCATTCGGGTGCCGCAGCGGGCTGTATTCCTTCCACACCAGGTCGGCAGCTGCTCTGTTCATGGTCAAAGACTGTTGTCACACGCCAAAACGAAGGCCAAGACAGAAGCAGGACAGGTTCTTGACAGTCTTATCACCCCTACCGGTTCCTTCCCGGACGCGGGGAGAACAGGATGTCGTGGAACTTGGGGCTCTGCTGGCCAACAACAGGGTTCGTCGGGAAAAAGTCCGAGTCGAAGCTGCCTCGAACGTGGCCGAACGGCATCAGGCAGAGAGCCCCCTCCTCCCGGCTAGCAAACAACGGCCGCTGTGGAACCCTTGGAGCGCGAATCAAAGCGGGTCCGAAGGCAGGTCGCTGCAGGCGGCCGCAGGAGAGGGCCTGGCCCTACAAGACGGGTCACATCTTCAGAAGCCCGTGGGCCTAACCACTGGCCTTCTTCGCCGTTGTGTGCGTGTCTCTGCCCCAGGCCGTTGCCAGAGCGATAACGCGGCGATGGGTGATCCTGATGGGCGGGTTTGTTGGGCATTATTATCTCCAGATCTGTCTCCTCTTCCTCTCCACCACAACACTACACTGCAATCGCCAGTCACTAGCTACCGTCGGCGTGATGGCCGGTGGAGACAGAATTTCTATAGGCAAGTGTGTTTACTGCTGTTTACTGACCGACAATATCTGGATCATTTTAGGGGTCAAACCGGGATAGGGTTACTTCGTCAGGTCTTCATCACAAAGTCTCCCACAATATGACTGCGTATATTTTCTACGGCTAGGGCTGCACATTCATTGTTTATTCCAGAAGCCTCGCGCTCCGAGCTGCTGAATGGTGGCAGGCTCTATCTTGGGTCTCTGAAGCCTTCGAATGCAGCAGGTCGTTTGGCTGCATCGCTGGCTGCATGCCAAGCAGCTGGACCAGCCAGTAGCATCGGTTTGGGACATTACAGATCGAACTCTCGCAGCAGTGTCGCACCCGATCCGCTCAACTCTTTGTCAAAGGACGGCTTGACCTGCCCTTCAGATTTGTTTTGATGGATCCATAGTCAGGGGTGGCTCGCGAGCCACCCGATCGGATGCTTGTGACGCCGAGGTTTGGCGAGCTAAAAATATCGATAGAGTCGCTTCATGCCGTCTTTCCCCAGATGTCCGAGATTTCTGAGCCGATCCAAGAGGATCGTGTATCTCTACCCCTGGATCCCGTGCACCGAACCCAAAAAGAAACCCCGAGTCAGGGCCCAATCCGACGTTCAATCCCGAGCCTCTCCTTGGCCAACTTGCCCATCCCACTCCGGCCATTTCGCACCGCCCAACCTCCAGTCCAAGCTTGCTCTCTTGCCGTACAACTCATCCCCCGGCTCAATCTCAACTGCCATCTCAACTCTCACCCAATCCCGGTACCCCCTCTTCCTCATCATCTCCAGATGCTCCTCCAACTCAGCGGTGCTCAACCCAGCAATTGACACAACCCCTCTCGTCTCCGTTCCCCTTGCAATCTTTTCCCTCCCCAAGTCCATCTCATCATCAACCCCATTCCAAACAAAGCCTCTCCTCGCTTCAACCCTCACCGGCGGAGGAAGCTGCCCTGGTACTCTCTCACACTTTGCTTCCCCCGTCGGCATGCCTGGGCCAAAGCGGTAGGGCGTGTATCGTGTTACGGCGCGGATGCGTTCTAGGCAAGCGCGGTCGAGGGAGCGGAGGAAGGGTTCAGGACCGGCGTCGGTGACAATGCTGGCTGCGAAGGTTAAGGCGGGGAATGGTTGCGAGTGCAAGCGGCCGCTGCCGGAGGGGGAGAACCAGTGAATTGTGTAGCGGAGGTCGATGAGGAGGGTTGTGTGGGAGTCTAGGGAAAGGAGGTGCATGTTAGGGAAGTGATTGGTTTTGGTACGTTGGTTTTGTTGGGTTGGGGTAAGAGAAAGTTTGAGCCCAGCTGCTTGTTCGCTGTGTGGATGGGCGCTGAAGGTATCTGCGTGTGAGTGAATGATGAGTTGACTGGTAAGTGGTGTCAAGTGTCCTCAAGCTGTAGTTTTCTACTTGCCGGAACAAAAGACCAGGCTGCCTTGATGTCAGAGGAAGTCAAAGCAGGTTCAGCTTTGATGAACGCAGGGATTTTTTCATTTTACATCATAAGATTTGCTTTTTTGCATATAGGGTCTTCAAGAAAAGCTCATATCTTTCATAGAGCCAACATGCCTATCTCACAACCAATGCTTATTTTTTTTTTTTTGCGTTTGCTCATCAACAGCTTTTTACCTCTCACCCAGTCTTCGTGGATGACCTGCTCTCAATAATATCCTATGAAGGAACTTTCCTTTCAGATAATGTGTGTCAGCCGGTTCCTCAGTCGCCAATTCTCAGGAAAGAGCACAGCACCATAAGGAAGCTAGTTCCTGGGCCTTCCTTTCTGCGTGTCGTCTAACAACTAAAAGTTTTATTATCCTAACTGTTGTCACCGTCTTTGATCCTCTGCTCTTCAAAGCTTTATCCTCTTCCTCAATGCCAGCATACTTACCAACATCTTTATCATCCCTCCTACCAACCTACACAATGACATCATCTCTTCTTCGTTTCATTGTCTTCACCAGCAGCTTCCAGCCGGTCTGGGCCGCCGCCCTCCCTCCCCTTCTCCCTCTTCTCTCCCGTGGCGACGACGACACCCTCCTCGCCAACAAACCCTCGGTAATCCCCCCTTTCCCGGAAGCTACTCAAAATCAAGATCTTCTCCGCGACCTACATGCTGTCGATGTCGGATACGAGTTCTGGGATTCGGACTGGCTGCCGAGTGCTTGCGTGTTTGAAGCGAATGAGCTCGGGTTTAATGTGACGGATTTTCAGGCTGCGGAAGTATGGTATGACGATTGTGCTGCTTCGTGGACGTTTTGTCGGCATAAGGAAGCGGTGCAGTCTTGGGATGAGTTGTTAGAGGTCAGTCGTCTCCATCTCTCTAACAAAGCTCAGACTGACACCCTCCAGCTCCTAAGCCGCATTCCAGTCGGCCTCCGCCAGTATATTTCCAACTTTATCCTCCTCCCCCCCTATACCAACTCTCTCTCAACCAAGCCCCCTATGTTGTCAGCCTACACACGCGCCTCCACAATTGTCTCCTCCCACACTCATCTTAACCTCGGCGTCCTGCTCCACGAAATCGCCCACATCCTCGACACCCATTGCCCTACCCTACAAGCCCGTGTCATCCGCTCCGGCCTACCACCAGGAAAAACCCCGTTTAGCTCGACTCCCATTTGGCAACGAATCGTCACCAGGGATGTGGCGCTCCCGACACCGTACGCGAGAGTCTCCTGGCAGGAGAGCTTTGCGGATGCCGTCCGCTGGGGTGTGAGTTACATGGTTAAAGGGGAGGGGAGGTTCGGGCGGTATTCCCCCACAGGATGGAGGGGGTGTTTGGGGCAGATGAGGGCTATTGAGAGGTGGTTGGAAAGAGTGGTTTGGCCAAGAGGGTTAAGGTGTTGGGGACGAGTGGAGGGGAGTAAGGGGATTAGGATTGTGAATGCTGAGGGGAATGGAACAGAGGGGGAGAGGAAGTTTGGGCGGACTGGACCCGAAAGTTTGCAGGGGACGGGTGTTAGGCGGATTAAGCTAGCTACAGGGGAGGAGGGGGTCGCGTTGGCGTATGTGTATGGGGGTGGGGCGTGTAGGGTTCTGAGGGAGTGCGGGATTCAGGTGTGAGTCCGTAACGATATTTGGCAGAGTCAGCGTTTGGTTTTCGTGAATGAGATCCATCTTTGTTTGGATCACATAGAGCATTGACTTGAGCTAGGCGTGGACAGGATTCCCTCATGTGAGGGTTGCAGCTCCTCAGCCACTGCCTCGGTTGTATAAGTTGAGATATGGTTGGATTGTAAGAGCTATGGGCTGATAGTTATCTTGGATGTTTCAATTTGCCAAAAATCCGAAATCGACAAGTTGGATTCTTCCTCTATCGTCAAATATTTTTTTTTCATTTTCATCAAATGTTCAAGATATGCCAAGCTGACCATGAAATTCCAGCCACTACTGCCTGTACAGCAATTGCCGCACATATCAGAGCCGGCTTTTCTCCCTTATACAACCTCATCGTTGTTTGATCACAATGGAATGGTTGAAAGGCGACTGCCTGTTAACACTACTTCCGCAGTGATAGGTGACTCAAGCAACAACGGGCGACCTCTCTGGTTTCCAAAACGGAACCAAAGATCCAGGGATCGATGTACAATCCTTTGCGGGGTTCTTGCTATTATTGTTTCAAATGCAGTCGGAGGCTCATCGGCGATCTATGTAAAGAAAAGTACGGAACAAGCGGACTCAAGCAATCGGCTGGCGCTATATGAGCAGTGTCGTGAGGAGTGGTAGACACGGTTCTTTAGCGTCTGACTCTTAGTATCACAGTTTTCACTAACCGCATAGTATTACAGCGTGGCCCAGAAATCAGTCCGTTCTCAGCAGGATGCCGAAAGGTAATTTGGGGTGGAGTTCCAGGCTTGCCACACTCCAGCTCTTCTGCTAAAGGAGATGTGTTCATTCCAGTCTATGAGAGACCCAATGTATCCTCCTCCACCACTCCATGTACATGCCCATAGCCAAATGTCACGAGGATTCTTTCCTTTGGTACATCTGTCTCAGCCAGGTTCCCCCCTGAACTCGGGATGGATGAAGCAATGCGACTCGGATATATGTCCCTCTGGGAGATATATGCTTGACCTGGAGCTGTTGCTTAACGACGAGCTGCGGCATTCCTTCGCGGAACGCATACCGTACCGGCATTGAGATGTTGTAAGTCTGTTAAAGATACTCATATTTTCGTCCTTTCTATACACCGTCTCTTAAGCGAGTATCATGGTCAAGAGCCTCTGGGCTGGACACAACCTCTACCTAAGCCATAGAAATGAAGCTGTACTCTCTTCTTATCAACAATTCGGACCCTGTGTTAAAGTGGAGGTGACTGAGCAGGGGCAGTTAACACATGAAGGGCACCGTGACAGCTCCCACACCCGAGACAAGCGCAGACAGTCTTGACTTTTAGCATTCCTAATCTTCTCTCCATTCTCCTGTCAGGTTTTACATCACATCGGCAGGTTATATCTTAAGGCGATGGTGGCATATGCTCAATATTTCTGATACCCTCCCAGGCCACCGCCTCGAGATCTATAGACTGAGAATGGAGCTGTCACAGCCACAAGCAGCCATCTCGCTAGTCCCCCAGAAGCCACAACCTGCTCACCTCCCGCCCTCTCGGACTGGATGTGGTCCTATTGAAGCGCATGCACCCTGAAGAATCTTGGCGTTTGGTGAATCTTGGTTGGCTGCGTTCAATTTGGTAGTTAAACTTAGGTCGTCCCCTAGATGTTCCACAAGATACAACAACAGCTGCGGTGAAAAGTACTGAGCCGATGTCATGTTGCGTGGATTTCAGGTAGCAGACTGAGGATTCGCGTCAAGACCCGGCTTTTATACCTGCATATATGGACGCGGTAACATTGAAAAAGTGGTGAAGATAATGATTGTTGAGCGAGATAGCTACGTATTTGGGCTGGGTGAGGCTGACCAAATACGCACATTTATAGCTGACAACTACTGGCAGAGGCGAGGATCATGATATCGCTTGACTCTGCTCGGAGCCCCAACATAAGCCGTGTAATTTGCGCTCAGTTCAGATCGCTACATCCCGCTGGCGCGTAATTTTGACCGTAACACGCCCCAACCTCTCATCATTCCATCATGCCATCCAAATGTATGCTGCCTCTGCTCAGCTCTCCACTTCCACTTAATCCCATGCCCATGCATCGTAGGTCCCCTCACTGGCCAAGAGCCCCAACGTCTAGACTCCAAATGGCGTGTCACCTGACCTCGCCTTGACCACCAACCAGCAATTGGACGAAAATTGCTGTGTCGAAACAAACAGCGTCGCGTCGTGACCCGCGATTTGTCGGTTTTCGTGTTTTAAGGGCCCTCCTCTTTTGCGTTGGACTTACCACGTATTTTGCGACAAAATATATACCTATAAACATACTAAGTAACAAAATTGCAAAGCGAGCCTTTAACAGGCTGTTGACAAAATCATCATCTTTAAGCACGTCCTGGTTCATTCAACATGACCACCGAAATCCCCGCAGCAGCTTCGCTTTCTCACCCTCAACTTACCCATAATGGGTTTGTGGGCCGCACTCAAACCGGTTCTGCTCAGAGCAAGACCAAGGAGTATAGCGTTAGCAGAGATACCGGCATCATGACCAACGTGTTCACTACGACCGGTATGGCGACGAGCAGGCTGACGAGGGAGCAACCCTCATCTCCCTCCTCATCCTCGACTGCCTCTACAGCCAACTGCAAACCGACCACAACACTAAAGAACCCAAGTGATCGTCCCCTGCGTATAGCAATCCTCCTCAACTCATACAACTCCCCCAATCTGCCTGCGATCTGCGCATCCTACATCCGCACGATCCATTCCATTGCACCGAGCACTGTGCTACACTTCTATTATCCCGCTTACTACTCCCCAAGTTACCCCAAAGGGTTTAATCCCTCCAACTCCTCTTCTGAGCAGCCCGCCGCCCATCAACCCGGCAAATGCTCATCGACCACATGCCCCTTCCCAGAAGCCGACTCTGCTTCCTCCTCTCGAGGGCTTGGGTCCCCCGCTTCTTCCGTGGAAACTGGCCCCTCCTCAACCCAAGGATCAAGCCCCTTGGGATCCCCTCAGGGACCCTCACTGCCTCCCCTCCCAGACCCCTCCCAATACGACCTCATCGTCCTCGGTGGCGGTAATATCGACCCGCGCTCGAACGCGCCATGGGTGTTGCGCGTGCACGAGTATATTCGTTCCCTCGTAAAACACTGGCCGAAGCGTAAGGTGCTGGGCATATGTTGGGGTCATCAGACGCTGTGTCGGATTTTTGGTGCTCAATTGGAGGATCTTAAAGTTCCTGAGGTAGGTGAACCGTCACGCCCCATTATCTTAGACCATATTCTCTGGACCTGTGCCCTCTGGGGTGTGTTCACCTGCCATCCGAGTAGTAGTTCAATGAAGAAGGGGGGTTGGGGGAGATGATTATGCCTCTGTCTGGCAGCACTTCGCAGATGTCAAATAGGGGCGTGATACCCTCACTGAGTCATCTGTCCAGGCCTGACAGCTAGAGGTTAACAACATCACCATACCCCACTCTTCTCATGCCCCATACTTTTACCTACGCTCTCAAATTCCATGCTAACCTATTACTCGCTGCACCCAGCTCGGCGTCACCACAACCCCCCTAACGCCCCTCGGCCGCACATTCTTCCACACGCCCCCGTCCCACCCAGGGCATCTCCGCATCCAACAGCATCACCGTCGGGGCGTAAGCACCACACCCCCTGGCTTTTCCGAACTGTTAGCTGGCAAACAGTCTTTTCTCAGCCACAGCGGCACGATCTTGACGTTCCAAGGGCATCCCGAGAAGGACGCACAATGTGCCAAGATGAGGCTGTATGACGCCGTTAGATGGTTCGGCGTCGATCCGAACGATCGAGAGATGCTAAAGAAGTATGAGGAGGCTATGGAGCTCCCGCATGATGGGCGGGAGATTTGGGTCAGGGTGCTGGAGTGGGTGCGGGAGAAGACCCCGGAGATACACTTATAGCCAGTAACACATGAACACGAGACACAAAAAAACACATGGAGAATGGTTGTATTGTGCAGGGGGTGAAGATCGCTTGATTAACAAGCTAGTGTGCGCCGTTCCTTTTTTGAGTACCCAGGATGCAAATGCATCAGACCCGAACCCGAACTCCAACCCGTCCTCAGACACAAACAACCAATCCCTCCATGTCCGCTTTCCCCTTTGCCCATTTAGCATTTAGTAATCAGTAATGGTGGTCTGGGGGAACTCGAAGGTGACGTTGCGGCCGGTCAGGCGGCGGTAGACCTCTGAGTAGGTGTCAAGGCGGTAGTCGACGCCGCCGCGCTCCTTCTCGTCCAGGATGACCTTGAGGACCTTGGAGCCGTCCTCCTTGGTGCGCAGGCGCTTGCCGACGATCTCGACGGGGTAGACCAAGTCGGTCAGGATGGCATCGTGCACGGCGGTGAGGGTACGCGAGCGCGGGCGCTTCTGCTTAAGGGTGTTGCGCGAGCGGGCCGAGCGCTTGGGCTTCGGCAGGATGCGGCGAGCAGCGAGGATCAGCACGTGGCGGTCCGAGAACTTCTTCTCGAGCTCACGAGTGAGGCTGTGAGGGTTAGCAGGGTTCATGCCAACAGGGCAGGCTGAGGCTTACCGCTGCTGGACGCGGTGGAAGCCCTGCAGAGCAGGAACGGGGACAAAGATGACAATCGCCTTCTTGCCGTGGCCGACTTCGATCTAATGACCCAAGTCAGCGTGCGAGCTCCAGGATTAGGTGATACCGCATCCTTGGACCGCTTCCCGTCCTGTTCCGCGAGCTGTGGATGTCATGATGTTAGGCGTCCAGGCGAGGCGCCTCGCTCGACTCCGAGTCGAGGACTCCAGAGCAGAGAGCCGAGTCGGCCCCGCCCGTCTTCCGTGCGATCAAGTCTTCCGCATACTGGAACAGGATCGTTTGCGCAGCCGGAGGGCGTGCGGTTATTTGAGCAATTCAGCGAGATCTCACCTCACGGGCCGAGACGAACTGCAGCGGCCGGAGGGCGGCCTTGAGGTCGGCAGTGTTGGTCTCGAGATCGTACAGAGCGCCGGCAATCGCGCGCTCCAGATCCGACGGGTTCTGGCGGGACGGGCTGTTTGCCGCGATCTTGTTAAGCGAGGGGGCACTCATGTTGGCGGTTGTCGACGATGCTCGGGTTGGATGTCGAGACGGGGAGAAAGGGACGGAGGGCAGAAAAGTTAGATTGGCCAAGCAGTTTGCTCCGCCAAGGAATTTGCTAGGGTTTTCAGCCCTGATTAATTTGGTGGGGTGTGAGTGGCTGAAGGTGGCTTGTGTGGCGCATGTAGAGCAGAAGTCTTGGCGTACCTGCGTCTCATCTTCACTCTCACTCATGTGTCAACCCAAACCACTTATTTCACTTAAAGCTCATTCTCATCGCTTTTCATTGCTTCCATTTCCCATTCCTTCATTCTCAGCCGGCATGATAACCAAACGGCCTATAACCCCTACCGTCTCTATCTCTGGCTTCCCCCTCCCCCTCCCCTACCGACTCTTTTTCCTCCTCGTCGAGCCTCTCGCAACCCTGGCTGGCGCCTACTATGCCCACTTCGACCAGCAAACTTACCTCACCCTGAGCCATGCGCCCTCCGCCCCTTTCACAATCCCCCTCGGCATGTCAATCACCATGTCCCAGCTCGGCAATATGTACTTTGCGTTCGCCATGATTGAAGCCCTCGTATTGCGGTCGACATCGGACCTTCGGGTGTGGAAGACGCTGCTGTTCTGTTTGCTGGTTGCGGATGTTGGGCATCTGCTTAGTATAAGGGCGCTGGGAACGCAGATTTACTGGAACGTGGCGGTATGGAATGCGATTGATTGGGGGAATGTGCTGTTTGTGTATGTCGGTGTGAGTATGAGGATTGCGTTCTTAATGGGGTTAGGATTTCCTAAGGTCGGGAAGGGAAAGAGTGCTTGATCAGGCGGGGCAGCAGTATTAAGACGCCTGGGTGCGTCGTCTGAGGGATTGCTCCTTGGGCCGCACTCGTCAAGCTGCTTCAGCTCAGCTAGCGTGTGTCGTGCTGCTTGTTGCATCTGGAGTTGCTCTTTGAGTTCATGATAGCCCTCGACCTTCGGGTCATTTCGACCATCAGTGAATGGCCATCTGAGCTGGATCAACTATCTCTGAGAGACATCCAAGTCCAACACCATATCAGATTCTCTCTCACTCGGAAGGCAACAGTCTTCCGGCAACGACGCTCTCAAGATCCGCGTCTCAGTCCTGGACTCAGTCGACATAGACCTTCAGTCCATTTGTGCTAGATCTCCCCGGACACTCTCTGGTTATCGCAGTGCTCGTAGCTCAAGACTCTAGATGTAGCTCAAAGCCCTTGTACATATCGTGATCGTTTACTCCTGCCGGGTTTTCCCCCCACATTCGCCATGCTGGTGCTGCCGACAGCGGCATGATCAGTATATGCGCTCTGATTTGTGGGAAAATAGACGGGAAAATGGGTTCCCGCCCGTTCATTCCCACGCTGCGTATCTTTTCGCCCGGCAACCTCTTGGCTGAAGTGAAGTCGACAGCGGGGCGAAGGGCTAAGCATCAGTGCCATCGTACGTCCATTTGTCTAGCATACAGTGAAGGGTTCCCGAGCGCATTGGGTATTTGGTCGCATGCAGGTATGCTAGTGTCCCGAGTCTGCGTGAAACACCCTGCCAGCCCAGACGCTCCGTGGATGTACATGCGGTCGGATAATATCACTGAGCTCAGCCGTGCTGGGCTGAAGAAGGCGACGGGAAAGCTTTAGCCCCTCTTATTTACCCTGGGTTAGGATGGAAGCTTCTCTCTTTAAAGGCGGGGAAGCTGTTTACGAGCAGACTTCCTTCTGAAGGAGCCACTCAGACCAGTCACAATCAGCTTCTCTTGGATAAAATTAACATCAATTGTGTCTCACACGACTTGTATTCACCTCTAAGCGCGCTGCTGTCGAAATGCCCTACCCCGAAACCTTCACCGGCTTCCAAGTCCACGGCCCTGACACCTGGCTGGAATTCCACAAGAACGAGTTCACGCCTAAGCCCTTCGGCGACTACGATGTCGACATCAAAATCGAGTGTTGCGGCGTCTGCGCCAGCGACATCCATACCATCAGTGGCGGCTGGGGGAAGCAGCATTATCCTCTTGCCGTTGGGCACGGTATTCCCTCCCTCACATTCCCTCCCATCTAGCTTACCTGGGAGGATGAGCGGCTGATGAAGGAGGTAGAAATCGTCGGCACTGCAATCCGCGTCGGTCCCAAAGTGACCCTCGTCAAAGTCGGCCAGCGCGTTGGCGTCGGCGCGCAAAGCTGGTCGTGTCTCGACTGTCGGCAGTGCAAGAATGACAACGAAACCTATTGCCGCAAGCAACTTGATACCTATGGTGCTGTGTGGCCAGATACGGGGATTGTAAGTCAGGGAGGGTACTCTTCTCACGTAAGGACGCATGAGCACTGGTATGTTCCCGCCCTTGCTTTTCCAAGCAAAAATGATCCTAACAGGTTCAGGGTCTTCCCCATCCCGGACGCTCTCCCCTCCACCATCGCCGCGCCGATGCTCTGCGCCGGCCTCACCGCGTATTCGCCCCTCGTCCGGAACGGTGCCAGCCCTGGTAAAAAAGTCGGCATCGTCGGGCTCGGCGGCATCGGGCATCTCGCCGTGCTCTTCTCTAAAGCCCTCGGCGCCAAAACTTGGGTCATCTCGCGCTCCCACGCCAAAGAATCTGACGCATTCGCCCTGGGTGCCGATGGCTACCTGGCAACCTCCGACCCTAACTGGAACGAACCTCATGTGATGACTTTTGATCTCATCATCAACACGGCGAATAGCTTCGAAGGCTTCGACCTCGATGCATACCTGAGCTTGTTGGATGTGCACGCGAAGTGGGTGAATGTCGGCTTGCCGGAGGGGGATGTGCGAGTGAAGAGTCAGACGTTTTTGAAGAATGGGTGTTTCTTTGGGACATCGCATTTGGGGAGTCGGAGAGAGATGTTGGAGATGTTGGGGCTGGCAGCGGAGAAGGGGATTCGGACGTGGGTCGAGGAGGTGAAGATTGGGGAGGAGGGATTGAGGAAGGCGTTGGGGAGGTTGCATCGGGGAGATGTGAGGTATCGGTTTGTGTTGACGGGGTATCAGGAGGTTTTTGGGAGGGAGTGAGGAAATAAAACTGAATTCAGGCAATACATCTCTAATATGGGTATCATATCATCTAGTCGTTCTACACATGACTCGTCCTTCCAAAGTATCCCCAAGGCTAACTTTGCTTAATCCTTCCGACTCCCAGCACAACCCAATACGCCAGTTCCCTCTTCTCCTTCCCCTCTTTCCCCCCCTCCCCCTCTTTTTTCCCCGCCCCTGGAATCTCGTCATCCCCCCCTGCTTCAGTCTCCCACTCCACCCTAACAAACATCGGCACCTCCACGACATCCTCATCCTCCCTAATCGGCCCCACTCTTCCTCCATCAACAGGCTGCCTCAACGAAGCTGGCACCACCTCCACAACAATACTCACCCAATTTCTCCCCCTCTCCCAGATCTTGCCCACCTCCAACTGCAACCCTCCCCCCGCTGCGGCTGCGGCACTTTCTTCAGCTGCGGTCTTGGGCCGGCGAAGTTCCTTGCTGTCACGTTTATTGCTGCCATCTTTGAGGGCTTCGTCCCAGACGTCGGTGTTCGCGTCGATTTCGAACTCGGGGCAGAGGACCGTCACGCGGGAGGCGAAACGTCCCGGTGTGATGGCCGGTGTGGCGAGGGTCACCTTGACGGCGTCGAAAAGGGGGTTTTTGAAGGTTAGGATGAAGTGGGCTGGCTTGACGGGTTCGAGAAAATCCCCTAGCGAGCTCAGACTCCCGCCGCCCGAGCTACTTCCTGCCCCGGTCTGTGAAGGGTTCAGTCGACGTATAGATATCGACGGGACGTAGTTCGTCGCCACAAGCCTTATCCTAAACCTCGTTGTCTGCACTTTGGCCTCAGGTTTACTGATAATGTGCCTGCATACCGGACAGCGTTTGGACCGTTTCGTGCGTAGCAGGCACGCCACGGGCCGAAGTTCATCCACAAACCTTCCCCGTCCATACATCTGCACCTCTCCCGCTGTCACGGCCGGCATTTGCTCTGCCATTTGCCCATTGCTGGCGGTCCCCTCCCACCCTACTTTTTTCAGGCGCGCAATCTGCGCGGTCTCGTCCAACTGACAAAGCTGCAGCCCCTCGTCGGGCGTTATGGCCTCACGCATTGCCCCGACGCGGTTTTTGGCTTTTTTATCTGCCAGTAATCCCCCGGTATAAAGAGACATGATACGGGAGAGTGACGCAGAAGACGAGAACCCCAGCTCCCCCAGGCTCGACGACGTCCCGAACCCAGACGAGTCAGAATTAGGGTCTGACAGTTGTGACTGATAAAACGTCTTGAGCGCCGCAAAGTGACTCTCCGGATCCAACGGGTCCTCGCCCTGCACTAAGATGGGTTTATATCCCGGGTCTTTGCGGCGTTCTTTCCGTTCCTTGGGTGTGAGCCTTGTGGCGCCGCCGTTTCGGAGTTTGTGCAGCTGAGAGGAGATGGAGTTCGGCTTGTCAAATTTTATCCCGAGTTCGGTGGACGACCAGAGACAGTAGGAGCAGACGAGGGCGTAGGGGCCAGAGGTAGGCGCCGAGTCGGAGGGGGGTGCGGAGAGGAGGTTGGGGTCAGGTTTGGTCTCAAGAGAGGTCACGGATAAGGGACCGACGCAGATCGGGCAGGTGAAGCAGCTGCGGGTGCATCTACACACGATACGCAGTTAGCTTCACCTCTAAATCGCAGTCGGAGATCATAAGAAGAACTGTGGAGGGATACCTATTCCCATCGCTCTTCAAATTCCCACTCGGCACCTCAAACAAACAATTCGGGCAAAAATATGCCACGATCTCCTCGCTTACGCATCGTGGACAGCGTATTTGCGCGCAATCCTCGCAATACAACAGATATTCGAGGGGGTACAGCGAAAAGTTTGAGCGCGTCGCGCGGGGGTCGAATGTCTTGTCGTCGTCGTCATCGTCATCAGCGGAAACGATTGAGGTCACGGACGCGTTACGTGTGTGTCTGTGGCGCCGGTAGTGCCGATCGTTGTGGTGGTGGTGGCGCGTGATTGGCGAGGATTCGGAGCAGGGACATTGGAAGTACGTGTAGGGGGTGAAGGTCGCCATGGTGGTGGTGGTGGTGGTGGTGTTGGTGGTGGTGGTGAGGATGTTGATCGTGATATGCGAGGTTGGGTAGGTGGGAATGACGTGACGCATGGACCCTAACCCTCGCACGAGCTCGACGAAGCAGACCCTAACCCTGGATCAGAAACACTACGGACCAACCCGAACCCTGGGATGATTGTCAACAGCCCCTGAGTGCCTTGAGCTCACTGCTGTTTAAACTCTCATGACACTCTCCCAGTTGTTCTACAAGTCATTACTCAAATGGCCTGACAATCGCCGTGTCTGAGTCTCACCTTCGCGGATCAATTTTGGATCTTAGTTTCTACGAGTCAGAAGTGGACCTAAAAACACAAACTCACTCCCCAAGCCCGACTGTGGCAAGCTCTCTCCCCACACTTGAAGCTGACTTGCGGTGACGACATCTGAGGACCGATCTCACTACTTCAGATGAGCTCCAGCCCTGGCTCCTCATTTGTGGGCTTGCGTTCAGCTCTTGCCACAACCAAAGTGTTTGATCGAAATTGAAACGATGTGGAGGGCAACACTGGCGATGGTGCGGCGATGGTGGAAAGTTCCGTCCACGGATGTCATGGCTTTTTATAGGGATGGAGTCCTCGTAGAGGCTCAAGTTGGCGTTTTATTCATGGCAGTCTCTCACTTATGGTAGTGTTCATCCTTTCCTTCCAGACACTGACATAATATACAGCGTTGTTCATCTCTTTCTTTACAGCATATCTGAGTGTCCAGTCTCATCTCTAGCGTCAGCATGCCCTTCCCCCAAGAGAGCTTCTCCTTCGGACACTTCCGGCGACGAGACTCCCGCCGCCCCTCCACCCAGCCCTTCAGTCCTCTCCAAACAGAACACGATCGTCACCCCCAACTCCCTGAGTTTGGCCCTTCCCTCCCGGTTTCAAGCCGAGCCTCCTCCGACGAAGACAGAAGCGGACTAGAAGACATCGAAAAAGCCCTTCCCCTCAACACAGTACCATCCCTCTGTCTCCAGCAATCTTCCCAACTAGATCAAAATGTCTCCCGCGACAGTGCATCCTCAGCCCCTGAAAACAGACCTTCAGACGCACAAGGCCGTCTCCCGCTGCGCCCCCGACTCGCCCACTTCACCTGGGCCTGGTACACCCTCACTATGTCGACGGGCGGTTTGTCGCTGCTCATCTTCTCTCAGCCACACCAGTTTCCTGGTCTCCGACAGATCGGTCTCACAGTGTACATCCTCAACCTAGTGCTCTTTACAGCCGTCACCGCTACTATGCTCACCCGCTTCATCTTATTTCCATCCCTCATCCTCCGTTCGATAACACACAAACGCGAAGGGTTATTCGTTCCTACTTTCTTCTTGTCGGTAGCGACGTTGATTACCTCTACCCAGCGCTACTGCGTCCCCGAACCTCCTCGGGTCGAGGGCACACCTATCGAAGTCGACGCCGCGCTAGCCGCCGCCCTGACAGCTCCTGGCTTGACAACAGCAATTCACATCGCCTTCTGGACATACCTCCTCCTCTCGACAGCCGTCGCCATCGGGCAGTACTCCTACATCTTTTCTGCGCACTCTTTCGGTTTGCAAACCATGATGCCGACCTGGATCCTGCCCATTTTTCCGATCATGCTGTCGGGCACGATCGCCGCCGTGATAGCGGATAGTCAACCCCCGCAGTCAGCAATCATGATCACCACCGCGGGACTGACCTGTCAGGGGCTGGGTTTGTCAGTCGCATTTATGATGTACGCGCACATGGTCGGCCGACTGATGCAATCCGGCCTACCCGACCGTGAACACCGCACCGGCTTATTCATGTGCGTCGGCCCCCCAGCCTTCACCGCCCTTGCTTTCCTGGGCATGGCGCGCGCCCTTCCCGACAGCACCTTTGCCGAAAACATGTATGGCATGATGGACGTGAACACGATCAAAACCATGGCCGTCGTCGGCGCGGCCTTCCTCTGGGCGTTAAGTTTCTGGTGGTTTGGCATCGCTGTTTTGGCGGTAGTGCGCGCGCCGCCGAGATACTTTCATCTGGGGTGGTGGGCAGCAGTTTTCCCTAACACAGGGTTTGTGTTGGCGACAATTGCGCTGGGGGAGGCGTTTCGGAGCGATGGGGTGAAGTGGTTTGCTACGGGGATGTCGATTTGCCTCGTGGGGACGTACTTGTTTGTGCTGGGGAACCATGTAAGGGCGGTCGTGGTACAGGAGATTTTGTATCCTGGGAAGGATGAGGATGTAGAAGATCATTGAGCTGTGGTCTTTGTTGATATCAGCCCTTTATGGCTGGCATTCTTTTCACTTAAGTTGAATAATCTTGGGCTCCCAAGTGCTGGATATGAGCTGCATTCCCTTGAAACTAGATTTACTTTCTCGATCTGTTCTAGCCCCAAGTGCTGGCCAGATTGCCTCTACGACACTAATCTTAAGTTTCTCAGCTCTTGAGTGCCACTTAACTAACCCCTAACCTTTTTTTTCCCGAAAACTTGTCAGCAGGTCTCACACTCTGCGGATTCCAAAACCTCTCCTCCGGATCCCACACCCTCTTCAGCTCCTCTAACCTCTCTAAATTCCTTCCCCAATACATCCTCTGCCCCGACTCCTCCCCCATCTCAGGGTCCACATACCCAGGATACATCCCATCGACTCCCTTCGCATACTTCATAAATTGATCCTTCAGCCCCGCTACAAACTTCCTCGCCTTATCCACCAATACAGAGTTCCCCTCCATACTCGGCACAACAGCCCAAACTTGCCACACCACCGTCTTATCCCTATGCACAAATGCCGTATCCTCCACGGACACTTCGTTCATTTTGCCCCCCACAGCTTCAAACACACAGAACCATAGTATCGTCCCCTTATCTTGGTCGTCGATCCACTTGAATATCTCCTGTACATCCAGCGAACTAGGTAATTCGTTGCGGCGAAAGGCTAAGCTCTTGACAAAAAAACCCGTCTGCGTACTTAGCATCCACTTCCCCATCTGTCCAGCTAGGTGTGCTCCCGCCCCAAGCCAATCGGTCATTTGCACGTGGGGCTGCATGCCATCTGGGAACCGTTCGGGAATTCCGGAGTCTTCAAACTCGGATTGACTTCCGTAGAAGGTGCCAGTGATGAGACTACCCATGGGCGTTAAAATGAAGAGGGAGCCGAAGCGGGGGTCGAGCGAGGGGTCGGAGATGAGTTGTTGCCAGACAGAGTAGAGGGGAGCCGAAGAGAGGGTTGTCGGGGAGAAGGAGAGGGTTGTTTCATATTGGGCTATAGGTGAGGGGGCAGGGTGGGTGATTAGAGTTAAGGAGGTTATTATTCCGAACGAGGGGGCGGCACCGCGGAGGGCCTGGGGTATAGCGTTAGTTAAAGATTACAAAGAGAGAGAGAGAGAGAGAATGAGTGTGTGTGTGGTGGGGGGAGGCTGAGGCTGGCTGAAGGTTTGCAAGTAGTTAGGAGGTAAGAGTAAGAGGAGGAAGCACAGTTCAGAAGGGAACTTCAGCTTAAAGGTGTAGTTGGGATTTGACTCAAGAAGAGGAGACATACCCAGAACAAATCAGGCTCAGACGATTTATTCACCGTCCTTATCTCCCCGTCTGCTGTAACGACCTGCATCTTAATAACATGGTCCAGTGTCGTCCCCCACATGCGAGACATGGTCCCAATGCCGCCCTATAATTCACTCAGCAACACTTCTAACAACCTTTAGTAATAAAATGGGACTTACAATACCAGCATGCCCACCAATCCCAATCCCCGGCGCAATCCCATGAGGGATAGCCCTCCCTCCGGCATTCTGCAGCTTCTGATTCAGCACATTGATGGGCATTCCAGCGCCAACAGTTACTACGCCTGTATCGTTGTCCATGCTGAAGTGCTGGAAATTGACCATGTCGATCGAGAGGACGCCGTCGACGCCACCGAGACCGTAGTTTCTACATATGATCAGCTCTCGACCCCATTGAGGTATTCTCCAGGATTCCAAAGCAGGTATACTTCTCTTCCCATTGGGAAAGCCTGCAGGTAGAGCAGGGCAGGACGCCGGCCGCTTTTGCAACCCCTGACGAGCAAAGGGACACAAGGGAAAGTCACGTACCCGTAACTATGTCCTCCAGACTTAGCCTGCACCCTAACCCCATTCTCCCTCGCGCATTTCACCAGCCCTGCCACATCCTCTGCCGTCTCGGGACGGGCGACAGCAGCAGGCACGACTGCAAAGTTGAGGTTGTATAATCTGGCCCAATCGGTCTTGTAGGTGGGCGAGCCAGGGAAGGCTGCGAACGAGGAGAGAGCACGGTTCCCTGCTAGGGATTGGATGCAAGATTCGAGGGAGGATTGGGAGTGGGTGTTTCCCATGTTTCCTGGTTTGAAATGAAGTGATTGATGGTATAGGATTGGGGGAAAGGTAAGGGGATAGGGTAGCTCAGAAGAAGGGGGTGGAGAGACGACAGGGCCCAGGGTACTTATGTCCTTTCCTGGGCTATGGAGGTAACAATGTGTGGCTGAGGATGTCTCGAGTACAGACTTAGCTTGGTACAACCGACTATGAACATTGTTCAACGGTTTCGATACACCTATTCCATCATTCGTTAAAAGGGAGAGTGTCAGTCTTGCACGGTTCACTCAGGGTTAACGTTTTATGTCTCAGCCATTGTCGATCGGCTCGACCTTGAACCAAATCGCGTTGGACAATGCTCTCAGTTGGGCAGGTGACACCTCTTCTTGAAATGTTTGTTCACTCAGACATAAAGGGGCAAGAAGTTGTATGTTTGCACGAACTGATAGAACCAGGCTTCTTACCATGAAGTAATCAAGAGCATTACACTTCCAGTCCTCAGTAAACTCTCACCTCTATACCCATGGTTTGCTCTCAGGCCAATTGTCCTTAGATCAAGTGCAAGTAATGGCCTAGTTGAGGGCTTGTATTGAGTGCTCATTATATTGAAGACCGTATATGTCATGCATTTGAGACCCGTACATATCTGAAGAGTAGGTTTTTTTTTTTTTTTTTTTTTCAAGGATATGCCATCTTTCATGGTTTTTTATTTGTCTTTTCTCATGAATGCATTATGTTTGTCCTATTCACACCATTGGTATCAACACTAACATTTTATCACTTCAGCCGAATATACCTCAATCCGTCTCCATCTTTTCTCTATCCTCTTTCACCATCTGATCCCCCAACAACTGCGTCTGCAGCCCTTTCTTGCTGACATGCATCGCCCTCTCCAGCTCCCTCTCCTCTTCCCTCAGTCTCTCTCTCTCAATTTGCAGTTTTCTCTCCTGCCTCTTCTTCTCCTCAGCAACAGCCCTCTCCCTCTCTTGGAGTGCCTTCTCATGCCGTTTCCTCCTCTCCTCCCTCGCTTGTCTCGCCGCCTCATCCTCCGCATTTTCACTCGCCTCCGGCGGCGGGCCAAGTTCTTTGATGTAGGCTTCAATAAGAGGGTCCCTGACTTCAGGAGGTAAAGAGATATACCGTATATCCGCCAGCACCTGAGACGGCAGATGGCTTGATAGAGTCTGGTTATTCAGCTGCGACAGCGGGACACTCTGCAGAAGTTTCTTCAAGTCGGTTTTGAGTTGAGACTGCGGCATCTTCAGCCGGTTGATATGCTCCCTATAAAACTTCTCTCTCTCCTTATCACTCAAACTCGTATCCCGCATGGGCCCCTCTTTGCGATACTTCCTCTTAAACTCCGGCCAGTACAACTTCGGCGTTGCTTTCTCCTGCAAAAAGGCCAGGAACGCAATTCGTGGATCTTGTTTCTCTTGTTTGGCTCTTTGTTCCTTGAGCTGCGCGATCTTTTCCCGACTCCACTCCTCCCAGACCTCCTTTCGAGCTTTTGTGGTCGGCAGAACGGTGTACCGCGCATCGTCGAAAATCTTGCCTTCTTCCATGAGCTTTTCCCAGGGGGAGTATGGGTTGATGTGGAAGTCATTGAGGAGGTCTTTGAAGAGGGCGCGTGCGTCTTCCTCTGAGAGGGGGAGGCCCTCGTCTCCTTCTTCCCATTGGCCTTCTTCGCCTGCTTCGTAGTCGCCTTGTTCGCCGTATTCGGCATTCATAAGGGCAAGTTGGGTGGCGATATCGGCTTCGGTGAATTCTGGAGGTCCGGATTGGTCTTGTTGATCGGCTGCTTCGTCCTCGTCGTCGGTGACTTCGACTTCTTCGTATTCGGAGCTGTCGTAGTCGCGTTGAGGTGGCTGTTCGGATGGTGCTTCTGATTCTTTCCTCTTCTCGGACTGTTTGCTGTCCTCTGGTGCCCGGCTGGTCTCCTTCTCCTTTTCTTCTTCCTCTTCCTTCTTCCCCCCCTCTTGATCCCCCTCAGCCTTCTTCCTAATCCTCTCCTTATCCATCTCCAAAATAGCCGGCATCAACTTCTCCGGAATCCTCCAATAGCTCGCATTCTTCACCGGATTATAGACAAACCGCCGCCCATACTTGGTATACACGAGCACCCATGGCTCGCACCCCGGAATCGCGACTTTACTCTTCGGTTTATCCTTCGGCTGTGGCCTTGGCTTCGGTTGGGGTTTCTCGACTGGTTTTGCGCCGCCAAAGAGTTGTTGTGGTTGTGATTGCGCTCGGTACTGTGCCATAAACGCGTTCGCGACGGCTGGGTCGGAGAGGTTGAGCGTCGACAAGGGGGGGACGTAGCCTGACACGGGGACAGCTGCTGGTCCAATTGCTGGTACTGCTGCGGGCATCGCGGTCGGCAAAGCTCCTGGAACTGCCACCGGCGCTGCTGGTACCGCCGCTGGAGGGGGGGGCGGGGGCGTGGGCGTCACGCCCGGCCTCTTGTACGTAGACTCTTTTGTTTCGGCATTGTAATAATACTTGTGCCCTGTTGGGGCGATGTGCTCGGTCCAGCCGGGGGGGAGTGGAGGGAGGGCACTAGAGGATGGTTGATAGGTTGATTTGACCATTTGGGTGATGAGTTGGCCACGAGTGCTGACGCAGAGTCGAATCAGTGGGTGGTGATGGAATCATGGTCACGATGGTCGTGACGCGCTGGATGGCGTTTCGCCGCGCAGCACTTGCTGGGGACCTGGGGTGGTCTTGGCGGGAAAGAATAGTGCAACCAGGATCCGAGCGGGGCATCGAACAATCAATGTTGGGGCTTATCCAATCATAAAGTAGAATCACTACCAATTTTCACCCAGGAGACCAAGGCTGTAGAAGGATATCGACAAAAACCCCCAACTGCACCGGAAATTCAAGCAACGATCACATACCAAGAAATGTCAGCAGCTCAAGTCCATTGAGGTGATCCTCGAGAGATTTTATTGTGTGTTTCGGTGCCAAGCTTGTTTGTTTGACTTTGAACGACGCAGATTGTGTCGTTGCAGAGACCAAATATTGTCCCCCGTCTCTGTCCCCCACCTGTCAAAAAATTTTCCCCCACCCGAAAGACTCCCACGCCAAGCTCAGATCCTTTTTGATGGGGACAAAAACATTCTCGCATTCTCGGGGTGGGCTACAGTTACACGAAACTAGCTCCTCCCCCGCAAGTTATTTTTGCTACCCATTCTAATTTTAACAATATGAGATTTTGTCAGACGCTTAAATTCACGCTTTTCAATAAGACTTTGTTATCGCTTAACCAGCTGTGTATCCGCTATGGAAGGAGGTAGTGAGCTGATACATCTACTGTAAGAAATTGTTAAGTGAACCAACGCCTGTGATTAATCGACAGTCAAGGAAGGCATTTTACCCCCATCAAGGCGATTGCCAAGCCAGATGCTACGACCCACACCTCCTTTGCACCAACGTCATCGCAATGATGTTCGACTTCAACCCCGACCCCCTACGTGGAGTGGGTAAACAAACATGCGTGTATCCAACGTCAGGGGATATTCTGTATTTTTGCACCTAATCATCAGACTAACGTTCGTGATTTGCATTTGATGCCATGCTTAACAAATCACCTTACGCATGTAATGCAGCCTGATCGTAGTGTTGGGATGACCGGCGTGGAACTCATTGCTCGGCGGATCTATAGACAGAGATTGAAAGGAGGATGAAGTTTTAACTGCCCAGACAGCGCTATCACTCCCGGTATATGCTCTGACTTTCACATATCCCTTGATCTATGTGGCGCTTCCAGAGGTTTGTGACTGCGATCAAAACATAACTATACCTCTCGCAAACTCTCGAGTCAAACCGATACTTAACCCTCTCTCATCCCATTCATCCCCTTTCCCCCTAAACCAACACGCACATCTCTTTCCTCCCAACTTCTCCGCGCCAAGAAAAGCACCCTTTCATCCCAATGTCACCAACATCATGGCCCCAATAACCCCCTGCACAAGTCCAACACCAAAGAGAATGGCCACCGTTCCTGGCTCTGGTGCCGCTACCTCACCATCTTCCATCGCATCTCCGTCGTCTTGCATCTGCGGTGTCCTCGGCGTGGACACAAGAACCCGATCCCCCGCCACAGCCAGCGCAGCAGCAAGACCAGGGTGACGGTGAAGACCCGTGTTGTGGTGGGCAAGGGCAGCAGTGCTAACAACCGGCAGCGGCAAGAGCGTCTTCAGCGGGGGTTGTCTGCCAGTTGAACCGGAACGGGGCCAAAGAAGCCAGCAGCGCGGGGCATAGATGGGAGCTTTTGGAGGGGATGGGACAGGCGGCTGGGGTAGGTCTGGACGGGTGAGAACACTTCAGGGTCGGGATCGGGGGGTTGAGGAAGGGGTCGACTCGGCGCAGGAACTTGCTGTCCTGCTGCAGAGGTGTTCAGCTCGGCAGTGGCACCCCATCCTCCGCCAACGGTACGGGAAGCGGCATGAAGCTGAATGAACTCACCTCCATCTCACAGCTGCTTTCGTCTCTGTCTTTCCCTGGGCTCTCCCCGGGAAGTACAACCCCCTACCGCCGCTGCCTCCTCCTCGGGACCTCTCTACTTTACCACCTATAACGCCGACACTGACATGTCCACATCCCCCACCTGACCTACCCCTCTCCACACCCTGCGAGACAAAATAGTGGGAGGATGGGATAGGATTGATGGGGTTCGAGGAGAATAGAGACTTAGATATGAGCATAGGGGATACCCATTGGCATCGAAAATCATCTTATCTGGCTGTTGTGATCACATGCAATTATGCATCTAAATTATGCATCTAAAATTTTATTTTTGTCTAGTAGTGATTCTCCCATAAGCTGATTCGATAGGTAGAAGGGAAAGGAGAAAAGGGGAAAATGAGAAATCGAAGAAAGAATGGAGAAAGGGTTAACTGGAACAGGAGAAAAACTGAAAGAAGGAAAAATGTAAGTGATAATCCGCCCTCTCTTCTTGATCGGTTCCCAACCTGTATTCAAGAATGTCAAGAATACACCTTGAAACTTCAGTAAAGTAAGTCTCTGTGAGATTGTCAAGGCTTCCTCACCAAACGAACGCCATCGTCTGCAAACCCCAACCCTAAGATATCCACTCACCTTCCACAGTACGATGTTCGTACCCCGTGCCACAAAAAGCTGGCAGCCAGCTAACCGGAAGGCTGTGCCCCCCTCCTGCATCTGCCCCAGTATGTGCGCATAGGCTCTCCGCTTGCTGGGCTGAGGGCTGAGCTGTGCCGTCCGGCTGTTTCGGAAACGGGAAGGAGGACAAGACGGGAGAAAGCTTGGCTTCGGGAGTTACGATCCTTTTGCTGAAGTCAAGTGAAGTCAGCACAAAAACGACGAGGACCAGATTTCTCGATGGAGTGAAAATGCAAGACAAAGCTGAAAAGCGAGAACTTGGGGAGAATCAAAGAAAGACCTTATTTAAGGTACGAAAGAATATGTACAGCGAATGAATTTCGATATTTGAAGACACATACTTTATACAGAAGCCAGTCTCCAAGTATATCCCGATCAGAGAGAGGTATCATAGTAGTACACCCAACATTCCCCAAAATATTTCCAAAATCCGATCTCGAGCTTTCTCAAAATTCTCATCCATTAACCAGAACTCCCTCCTCGAAGTCAAGAACACTTCTTCTTAGCAGCCTCATTCGTCTTCCTACCGCACCAAATCGAAATCCTACCAAACCCGGCCTCGGTGGCCTCCCTATACCTAGTATCACACCACCACCCGGACGATGTCGTCTCGTTCTTACAGAAAGTGATACAGCAGTTGGTCGTGTTGCTGATCCAGATGTAGCTCCAGGCCTGAAAGCCAAAGTCGAAGAAGCCTTCTTTGAAGTAGACCTCGGTGCTATTGCCCTTGTAGTTTGTCTTGGACCAGGCTTGGAAGGCGAAGGTTTCCGGCGGGGTAGTTTGGTTGGAGAGGTCGGTTAGGGTGGGGAGGGCCGCGGAGGTTGTGGTTGTTACGTTTGTAGAAATCGAGGAGGTTGTCGTTGTTGGAGGAGGGGTCGTTGTGCTGGTTATGTTAGCATCTATCTCACTGTCTCAAGCTCATAGCTCCGCAACATCGAGGCATACCTCTCACTCTCAGTCGTCGTCGTCACCGTGCTCACCGCGGTAGTCTCTGCAGCTTGCGGCTTCCCCTCATCATCCCCTTCCTTCGCCGCAATCGCCCCGCCAACACCCCCTCCCACAGCAGCAGCAATCACCACCAATGCCACCAACCCGGCAATAATCATAAACAGCTTCTTCCGAATCCCACATATCCTCTTTTCTCCCTTCGCAGCAGCAGCCTTCTCATCAATGCCCCTATTCCCATCTCCGTTCCCATTCCCATTCAATTCTGCCGTGTTAGGACTAGGAAAGGGCTGCCACGGCGCTGCCCCTTCCGGACTCAACGCCGTCGCCGGGCTAACCGGCGACCCTACACCCGGCGCAATCCCAGCAGCAGCCCACTGCGGCGACACAGGCGCGTACACACCGGCGCTATATACGGGCGGTTGCCCCGGACCAATGGGGTCATCTTCCTTGGGGAGTTTGGGCGCGTCGTCGAAGTAGGCCGGGTACTTGTCTTGCGGGGAATAGTAACCGTGGAGGGGATGATAAGGTTGGGACCCCGGTTGTTGGGGGGTGTTGGGGACGACTTCGGGGAGGTTGGTGCCATCGGTGCGGTACTCAGCCGGCGCGACCTCGGGGAGGTTTTCGTCAGCTGGGCGGTTGGGGGAGGGTTGGTAGGGGTATGGCGTTGCCATTTTGACTGGTTATGACCTCGATGAGGTCGATCTGGATCGTGAAGCTGAGACAAGATCGAAGCTGGAGATGTTGACTTGGAGCTTCGATCGATGTGTTCACGGCCTGGAGGAAAACTCAAGACCCCGAAAGAAAGAACAGGTCACCCCTTCCTCCACTCCCAGCTCCATATTTAGGGCAGCCATATTAAAGCCAGGGGGTATCTCGCGCATAACATCTGAGACGGCCGTCTCCACAGACGATAACCTTGTATTACGATTTAGCCCATTGGATAGCCCTAAAACAATACACGATTGGCCCCTCTCCCCAGATCAACGACGAGCGGTTGGCCGTGCTTGGCGTAAGACGGCACAAAGCTGCCCGTGGGCGGCTGGCCCAAGCGGCGTGACGGCGCGGCGTAAGCCTCGTTTAGGGAAACGTCGTGTCCGTCAGCGTTGCACCGGTACAACGGTTTTCTGTGGGCGATCGGGTCTGCGCGCAAGCTTATTCGCTGGCGGGCGTGTCTGACCTTTTTTTTTTTTACCTAACGCGGGTTGGTGTGTGCAACGTTGAGCGATGATGATCACCACCGGGCCATGAGAGAAAGAGAGAGGCCCGTCTGGCAGCCTGGCTGCTGGCAAGTTTGGCGAGGGAGATTAGAACCATATGGCTGAATGCGGCTCTATGGCGATCGCTGCAGGAACGCGCAGGCAGAGATGTTTTGGGAGGTGAGAGTTGAGCAATGAGAAGTCTAGAAGCCAGGCATGAATACTGAGCTTGTCACAGACGCTGTTTTGACTCACATCGATCGGCAGGACTTGCGGCCCGCCCCCCGTTGCGAACCAGCAGTCACCAGCCACGATGCAACGGCAGCCACGCGACTCTGTGGTGTTCATGGACCCAGCCAAGCCACGCCGTCCACCGGCGCCGACAACAGCCTGTCCGGCACCCGGCTCCGTGAATCCACGTAACAGTCGGTCCCGATCTTGGCACGCCGAAATCTTATCGCCTGATGCCGTTGAGATCGCCTTCAAGTGGGCCAGGCCCGGATGAAGCCATCCTTAAGCATGTCCCGGAATCGGAGCTATGTTTATCCGACTTTCATCGGAATAGGGATATCCCCTTGTAGCAGTGGAGACACCAGGATTGCGGCTGGCGAATCGGGACCAACTTGGCAGCATCGGCGAGGAGTCTGCGAACGGAAGGTGGGTGAGTCAGACTGGCTGATGACGCTCGCTCCAGGCTGCCGAAGCTCGTGATCGGATGTTGATTTGGTGTGGGAGTGCGCGGTTACTGATGAGTGAGATCCTGGATCGACACAGGATTGAGACCTTCCGTTCGAAGTTGGTTATCAGATCAAGCTCTGAAGGCCGAATTTATCAGGATTAATCTGATCATCCTGATCGAGCCGAGTTGGCTAGTTCATGGTCGATTGAGGTAAATTGGCCTAGTAGAATTAGCGTGGTTGCTTAAAACTTGAGGCTAGCTCACTCGCGTCTGCAAAGCTTTGTGGAATTGCAGTCCCCCAACAAAGAGCAAAAAGAAAGAAAAAAAAGAAAAAACTGTCTGCCTCAGTCGCCAATGCGAAAACGACTCCGTGCCTTGATCCTTCACTTTCGGAAAACTGCCCCTTCTGCCTGCCCCAAAATCCGACGTCGGTCAAGCTCACCTTCTCCCAGGAGCAGACGCGCCACACGTGCTTGATTCGTCCGATTTTTCCCATCTGCCAAGCACGGAGCGAGCTGATAATCTTATCTGATCATCAGATAGGCTGACTTGAACAGGGTTGCGGCCCTCGACAGCCACGCTCTCCAGGGCTCCCCCACACAAAAACGGCCATGGACAGCAGGCCACACGCCCCGGCCGGTGGATGCGATGGCAAGTTCGGGTGAGGCAAAATTTCCCACGGACTGTTGAAGCTGAATCTGATCTCTGATCTGATTGATCGAAGCTGAAGATCTGACCTAAGCATTGGCCGAGCTGACTGTTTAATCTGACATTGCTGCCGATGGAAGCTAAACGATCTTGAATTGATCCAAACTGAGCTGGCTGGCTCAACATTAGATGACCTTCAGGACTCTTCTCGGAACCGTTCAATTGGACTCACCTCCTCACTCCCCTTCCCCTCACAAGCAATGCAGCCCAGAGGCGCCAGGACAGGGTGGCTACCGGCCGTCATACGATCTGATACACAATTTTTTTTTTCACTCATCCCGACGTCCGCTCCTCGGAGGCGCTCCCAGCGCCCCATCCGTCTCTCACTACCATTGGCTGCGTCCGCCCTGGCGCTCACCTTGATGGCTGCGATCCCCGCTGATGCCATCTTATCTGATCCGAAGATAACGCCGAATGCTGCCTGGGCCCACGCGGATGCTGAAGGAGACCAGGGTCTGCTGGATGGCATGCAGTAGCGTTCCCCCCACTCAACAGCAGTGACCGCTGCCACTGCTGTAACCATTAGCACTCCTGAGCAGCGAGCTCTCAGCAGCACAGCACTGTGGCTCGGGTCCTATGCGGCTTTCCCCCTCCAAGCAGACCTCCCAGTCAATCCGAAAATTTCTCATACACCCCCCCCCCACACACCCACTCGCGACCGTAATAATCCATGCGATCATATCACCGGTTGCTGGGATCAGACTCGGCTCCGCATGGATGCAGCCGTGGGCTCTCGGCTCGTTCGATGGCACTGAAGGAGCGTGACAAGAGACTCTGCTCTCCGCCTTAACAGCCGACCCCAGGCCATCTCCGCTCGCACCCAGGCACGCTCCAGGACAGCAGTTCCCGGAACTGGAGTCGACCCATGCTTGAAGTGCCGGCTTCTCGTAACCCTCAAAAGGCCCGGCCCCGCTGCCTCAGCTGTGTGCTTGCTTGTGTCTTTCTCTTCTCACTCATCACATTCTTCACTCATTCCTTTTGACACTTGACTCTCTGGTCTGGCTTTGCCTTACGTCAGCCAGCCTTTCTACGCTCCCGTTTACGTTCCACAGGCAGCGTCATCGGTCTGTGCGACTGAAAACCTCTCAGCTCTCACGTCTTTAAAATCCAAGTTTTCCACAACAACTTGGTCGTCACCATGTCCCCCCACATCGATACCGAGAACGGCGTTAACGGCCACGAACCCGTGCCCGAGCTGGTCCCCGCTGTGCCGGGCCCTGTCTCAACCCCCAGCGTCGCCCCTGAGCCGACCGCCCGCCAGTTCCCCAAGAGCACCTACTTGAAGCCGGCCCCCGAGGACGCCGTGCTCGACCTCCTCGGCGTTGGCTTCGGTCCCGCCTGCATCTCCATCGCCTGCGCGTTGCACGACACTCTCGAGAAGGGCAAGCTTCCCGCCCAGCCCAACGTGCTCTTCCTCGAGAAGCAGTCCGAGTTCAATTGGCACGCCGGCATGCTGCTGCCTGGCACCAAGATGCAGATCTCGTTCATCAAGGACCTGGCCTCGCTGCGCGATCCGCGGTCGAACTTCACGTTCCTCAACTACCTGCACAAGAATGACCGTCTGCTGGATTTCATTAATCTCAATACTTTTACGCCTGCTCGCGCTGAGTATGAGGACTACCTGCGCTGGTGCGCGCGTCACTTTGATGATGTTGTGCACTACCAGACCGAAGTTGTATCTATCACCCCTGTCGAGGCCGATCGTCCGGCTAAGACTTTCGAGGTCACAGCCCGCGATCTTAGAACGGGCGCTGTCAAAACGTACCGCGCGAAGAATGTCGTTGTCGCCCTTGGCGGCCAGGGTTATCTGCCCGAGGTGTTCCCGCGCAATCACCCACGCATTATCCACTCGTCGCAGTTTGCCTATACTGTGCCAAAGTTGCTGGCCGACAGGAATGCGCCGTACCGGATCGCCGTTGTTGGCGGCGGCCAGAGCGCGGCAGAGATCTTTATGAATCTGCAAAATACTTATCCGAATTGCAAGACGTACATGGTCGTGCGGGCTGACTTTTTGCGGCCTAGCGATGACTCGCCGTTGTAGGTGTTTTGACTCTCACTTTTTTTTACGCAACGTATATTAACATGCTGTAGCATTAACGGCATCTTCAACCCCGAGTTCATCGAAACCTTCTACCCGCAATCTTCCGCCTCCCGTGCCCGCCTGCTCGCAGATGCCAAGGCAACCAACTACTCTGTCGTCCGGCTCGAGCTCATCGAGGCCCTCTTCGAGGTCATGTATCACCAGAAGCGCACCCTGGGCTCCGACGAGCGAGTCTGGCCCCATCGCATCCTCTCCGGACGGCACATCCTCTCCGTCGAGGATTCTCCGAACGGGGGTGTCCATCTGAAGCTCGAGGGCGGTGCTGGGAACGATGGCCCCGTCGAGGAGATTGAGGTCGACATGGTGGTGTGTGCGACGGGTTATGAGCGGAAGGCACATCTCGAGTTGCTTAAGGGGGTGTATAACCTGCTGCCAGAGGTTGATGGCAGCAAGTTGAGCGAGGCGGAGAGGAAGGACCGGTGGGTGGTTGAGACTGGGAAGGGGAGCACGACGACGAGCAGGGTTATGCAGGTTGGTAGGGATTACGCGGTTAGGTTTGCGGAACAGGCGGTTGCGCCTGGTTCCGGGGTGTGGTTGCAGGGGTGTAATGAGGCTACTCATGGTGTAAGTCCCCTTCAGTCCTCCGGCTCTCTTGGGGTGGTGAAGTGATGCTAACAACAGACAGTTAAGTGATACTCTTTTATCTGTTTTGGGAACCCGCTCAGGCGAGATGGTTCGGTCGATTTTTGGCATTTCCGCCTGACATCATCGGCTCGTACATGCGGTATCACTACTACATCACCATTGGCATGTCATGATCTGTAGTTGACGGCGTAAGATGCGTTGTTGAAGGTTGTATATATGGGTTTGTTTTGGATTGAGATTTTTCTACTCTCTGGAGTTTTGGGTCTTTTGTACATATTTTTTTTGTTATGTGGTTTCCCTGGGAAGATTATCTGGGTTTTGGGTAATGACACATTAAAATATATCACATCCCCTGGAGATTTTTTTCGCTGATCTAGATGAGAGCTAGAGCTGGGGTTCGGAATTAACCGATTCTGGGTGGCAGAAGCGGGAGGGATAGCGGGAGGGATAGCGGGAGGGATAGCGGTAGCCCACCCAACCTTCACAAGGGTCAGAACGGCCACGAGGGTCTCCAGAACACCCTCCTGGACCTCACGGGACCGTTCTCGACATACCAAATTCACCAATATGACAGCATCCCCCACATTCTTGTGGCCCGTGAACGTATTCGAACCATTCCATCCTCTGCTTTTCCGGGAAACCATAGACTGTTTCCTATTTGCTTTTTTGTCTTGGTTCTGAGAATCTGCTTGAGAGGTGTCAAATCAGCCAACCATTGTCTTGTCACACCAACCTTCTCTGGGCAGGAGCATAGAAAAGTAAGCAGCCCGAGTGGGGGTTCGTCTTGGGCAATGGTACGGAGTCAGGAAGTTATTGTGCTGTGGCTGTCTTGACAGTCACATCCCGGTTACAACAGTCATGGTCATCACCCTGGGTAGGGCTTGGGTTGGAGTCATCTTCACACAGTCAGGGTACGGGACCAGGTCTGGTCCGGGTCAAAGTTCACATCTAGGCTACGGAATGGGTCTGGGTACGGGCACATCTGTGAATGAGGAAGATGGGAGTGGCGTATGAACCAGGGCTGGGTCACCGAGGGTTAGCTTTATAGCGAGTTAACTTCCCTATTCGGCGGCCCGATGACCGAAGATCGGACAAAGAGCTGAGGGGTGAGGGCCAAGGGTATGGGACGGGGTAGGAGATTGGTTCCTCGGTTTGAATACTGTGTCGAGTACCAAGGCTTTAGCACATGGTTCACTTGAGGGCGATAGCTTGCCAGAAGATCGAATTTCGTTTTTATGGCCGAGTAAGCTTAGGGTTTGCTTTCACTCTTGAGGTAGGATACTGCTCAGTCAACCCCACCATTGGACATATGGACCTCATTTCACGATGTCTCTCATCTGAGCGGGGACAATGGATACGTATGGTGAGGGGAAGAAATGGATGGGGACAAGATCCACGCAATAAACTCTGTACCCATACCCTTGTCTCTGGGACCATGTCGGCCGAAGATACTCTTTAACATCGGGCTTGGCTTGGGTCCGGACTTGGCCACCATGATGTAATAGCATGCAAGTGTCGATACTTGATTACAGGACTGCTTTCCTAGGAGGGGACGAAAATAGCATCCGGAGGACCAGAACCGGGGACGGAGTGCTGAGGCTGGGGACAGTGAAGAGGGGGTTGTTACATACAACCAAGAGGGAGGGGACGGCCTGCGAGGAGGAGAGGGCTTTTGCTTGTGGGTTGAGGACGGGTAGGACTTCTTGGGAGGGCAGGGTAAGAAATGGGAAAAGTCATCATTGCATACCGTGCCCAGACTTGGACATCCCACTGGCATCCAGGCATAGAGTATAATACCAGCCATACCATCACCAGCTGGTGAACAGCTGTAAGAATTGTAAGAGTCGGCAGAGTTTGCTTTTTGTGCAGAGACTTCATCCCACTTCTTCATCCCATCTTGAGGGACATGACTGCCCGCGGAACTCAGCTTGTATTCTGTCATGGGACCGCTCTGAAAGAGTCTTTGTGTGGTTTAGAACTGGATCCTCATCCAAGAACTGAACACTGGGAATGCTGCTAGCATCTTGAATGTTTGTTGGTTACAGCATAAAGAAAAGCACAGTATCATAGCATCTCTGCATAGAACCATTGGACATTGGACCATTCTCGGCCATACAAACACATACTCTGCTGGGTCAAATCATGCCTGTGGCTCTCGCCGGCCTCGGTGACCGAGCATCAGCGCGGATATGGTGCTTTCAACCTCCCATACCAGACCAGTAAAGCATAGACTGACTGGGGTCGGATTAGGGTGCTACACTAGGTATGAGTCGGTTAGCTGACTGCTGCTAGACATCAAGCTCAACATCCGAGCTCTCCTTTGCTGATATACTTCCCCATTAAAATACCGAGCTGCCCGAAACACCAAGTCGCTGTTTGACTTAGGTTGTTATGGGACTCGAACAGGAACTTTCTTAGGGCCGTCCTAAAGTGTTCGTGGTCAATTGGTTCACTGTGAGGATATGAAGCAAGCTTTGCCTTCCTCGGCTCCATTACCGAGTGTGACTTCATCGCAGAGCTAGGCCTTATGAGAGTAGTGGGCTTGGATGTTCACCTCCACCTGGACTTTCACCACTAAACCACAACCAATGACAGTGAACCTTGCTACCGGCCAAGCACTCACTTATACACTACTACACTGCAACATCCACGCATCCAATATACAACACGCCATACGTGCCATAGCGACACCGAGAAGGACATCGTTACGTACCGACCATACCAAAGCAAGCTGACCAATTATCGTCTCGTCAATACAAATCCACGCTCTTGGACTCGTCAGATTTGTCCTCTCGCCCAGGAGCGGTCAGCCAATCAGGGGGGGTTTATTTGACAGAGAAAGTAACATTCGCACACCCTCTCACGTCAAGCAGAGTGAAGAGCCGGCGGGAGGAGTGGAATTACAGAGGTTTGTTTGTTATGGTACTTTCCTGATTGGGGAAGTGCTGGCGTTGTGCAGGGTGTGTGATTAAATGTGGATGGGGTGTGTGATTCTGAAGGGATATCAACTTCCAACAAACTTCGAGGTTTGAAGTTTATTTCGTTTTTGATGGTGGTCGAGTCATGAGAGCTCATCTGGCTAAAGATATAGGTGCTGATTTGTTGGTACAAAGCTAAAGCTCTATCGACCTACCTCTAGAAGGAAACCTTTACAGCTGGATTAGCAGGGCTGACGTAGCCCCTGACCGATACCTACACCGACATACCCTTCTTACCAGCATCTTACCTACCTTCACATCTCAACTCTACCCACTGCTTATTATCAATATTCACCAACAGACCCATCACCAACCACCAGGATGGGTGCCAGAACCTCCAAAAGCGCCAACAGCAAGCCTCAGTCTCCTGACCTAACCGGCCTCTCCATCGCCAACCATCCCCCCAAACACCTCCCAGGTCCAGCCCTTCTCCATCACCTTGTGCAGACAAACTCAAAAGATGGGCAGCCTGCGCTCGACTTCCTTCTCGACCCGAAATCCAACAAACGTGTCACGCTTTCCTACGCCCAGCTCCACGCAGCTTCAGACGTCCTCGCTTGTCGGATCACCGCTCTTCTTGCGCAATCTCAGCCCGCCAACAACGACGGCAAGCAGAGGAAGAAAAAGCGCGAGTTGAAGAAATGGGACGGCAAGAAGGCCCCTCAAAGAGAGGCCTTTGTTGTGCCAATTTTGATCCCGCAGAGTCCGATGCTGTATGTCTCGCAATTGGCGATCCTCAAAGCAGGCGGCGCTTTCTGCCCGCTTAACCTAGACGTTCCCCTTGAAAGGGCCCGGTTTATTTTGCAAGATGTGAACGCGCACGTAGTGATTACCACAAAGGAGCTGGAGGGGCAGATACCGGGGGATATGGGGCTTCAAGTCCTCTTGGTCACACCCGACACGCTGGACTTCCTTCTGGCAAAGACGCCCACCCAGCAGGAGCGCAAACGCTGGAGGGTGCCAAAAGGGGATGATTTGGCATACGTTATGTATACCTCCGGCAGCACGGGCACCCCCAAAGGTGTGGGTATCTCCCACACCGCAGCCACGCAATCCCTTCTCGCTCACGACGCACACATCCCCCATTTCACGCGCTTCTTGCAGTTCGCAGCGCCTACGTTCGACGTATCGGTGTTCGAGATCTTCTTCCCTTTGTTTAGGGGCCAGACACTCGTGGGGTGTGTAAGACAAGAGATGTTGAACGACCTGCCGGGGGTGATGAATGCGCTGCAAGTGGATGGATGTGAGTTGACCCCCAGCGTGGCGGGGAGTTTACTCAGGAAGAGGGAGAACGTGCCAGGGCTAAGGGTATTGCTTACGATTGGGGAGATGTTAACTCGGCCGGTGGTGGAAGAATTTGGGGGAGATGGGGAGAAAAAAAGTTTGCTGTGGGGGATGTATGGTCCTACGGAGGCAGCGATTCATTGTAGTGTCGAAGCTGCTTTTGAGAGTAAGGCAAGTGTGAGCAATATTGGCGTGGCATTTGATACCGTGTCGGCGTTTATACTCAAGATCCCTGACCCTGATGCTGGGGATTCCCCCACGGAGGTAGTGGTCCTGCCTTTGGGAGAGACCGGAGAACTCGCTCTTGGAGGACCGCAGCTCGCGGTCGGGTATCTGAACAGGCCGGATTTGACTTCCACAGCGTTTATCGACACCCCGTATGGGAGGCTGTATCGGACAGGAGACAAGGCGAGGATGTTACCCGGCGGGAAGCTGGAGTGCCTTGGACGGATCGCCACCGGGCAAGTCAAGCTCCGCGGGCAGAGGATAGAGCTGGGCGAGGTCGAGCATGCTGCGTTGAGGGCAGTCGGGTGTCATGGGGCTGTGGCGGGGGTGGTGAACAACCTTTTAGTTCTCTTCTGCGCGGTTGATGATGTCGAGGAAGGGGATGACAATACCAAGAAAACAGACAAAGTCCTCCACAGCTGTCGGGAGTGGCTGCCAGGGTATATGATCCCCAATGATGTGGTCATCATGAGGGAGTTGCCGAGGCTGCCGTCGGGGAAGGTTGATCGGAAGGGTCTTGTGGCAGATTACTCGGCAAAGATAACTTCTCTCGCGGATGGGGTCGCATATGCGGACGCTAGAGAGCGTCGGATGTGCGAGATTGCTGGTCAAGTGCTTTCAGGGCCCGTTTACTCCAACACTGACCTCGCCAGGGCGGGACTGGACTCCCTTACTGCGATCAAGCTCGCTTCTGCGCTGAGGGAAGGGGGATATGAAGTCTCTGCTTTGGATGTCCTCTCGGTCCGGACGATCGCGGGCCTTTATACCCGGGTGAAGGACCGAATCCCTCAGGCCCCTGATTCCATTGACTTGGAGGTCCCCTCAGCTCGAAAGCACCCGCTTCTGACCCCTTACACAGGGAAAATTACCTCTATCATCCCCTGCACACCCCTCCAATCCTCCATGCTCGCCGAGACGGTCGCTAATCCGAGGGTGAACTGCAACTGGGTTGAACTGCGGATCGTCGGGCATGGAGTTAACGACGTCCGGGTGTGGTTTGAGCGCCTCATCGAGCAAAACGAGATCCTCCGCACGGGATTCATCCACCACGCTGGGCACTTTCTGCAGGTCATTTTCTCTGGCGTGAGGGAGGGCCAGATCGCGGTGGTTAGCGCCCTAAGCAGGGAGTGGCAACTGAACGATGATGCGGGATTCCTTCACCCATTTAAAATTCGTCTTGTTCCGTCAGAAGAGGGGGTCCTCGTCACAGTACAGCTACATCATGCTATCTATGATGGCTGGACGCAGGACCTGCTTCTGGCTGACCTCACTTCCCTCTCTCAAGGGCAAGAGCTTACTCCTCGACCCCAGTTCCGGGCTCTCACCTCATACTTCCACTCTGAATCGCACAAGCAAGCATGTAACGCTGCTCGTGAGTTTTGGGCACGCACGCTGCACTCTTACCACCCGCCCCCCTTTCCAACCCTTGTCAGCAACCCAGACTCCCCGCCGTCAGTAGAAACTACATCCCTTACGCTCCCCCTATCCCCAGGCGATGTCAAGTCAAAGCTCCAGAGTGTAATATGCACACCCCAATCCCTCTTCCTCGCCTCCCTCACCTTCACAACCTCCCTTTTCCTCTCTCACCCCGATATAGCCATCGGCGTGGTAACCTCCCTGCGTACACTCCCCCTCTCGAGCATAGAAGCTCTCCTCGGCCCGTGCATTGCCACATTACCCCTGCGAACTGACCTAAGGCAAGTAAGGACTGTACGGGACCTTCTTGCCACAGTCCAGGCCGCAAACAGGGCTGCTATGGCTCATGGGGTGCTGCCGCTAGGGGAGATAAAGAAGTTAACTAGGCAAAAAGGGGGGGAGAGGGTTTTTGAGGTTATGGGGGTTTGGCAGGAGAGTTTGGTCTCTTCTTCAACAGATCAAAAGGGGGTTGTGCAGGTGTTGGGGAGCAGGGACTATCTCGAGACGAAGGTTTTTGTGGAGATGGAGCCGCGGGAGAGGGAGCTTGAGGTTAGAGTTACTTGGCATGGGGATGTGGTGGGTAAAGAGTGGGCTGCGGCCTTTGGGAAAACGTTAGGGGTTTTGACAAGAGGGATGTTGGATAACCTCTCGGGAGAGCTTTCTCAGCTTAAAAAGGTGTTGCCGGAGGACGTGAAGGGAGTGTTTGATGTTGAGAAGGCCTTCGAGATTTTGGAAAAGGGAGACTTCCCCCCGTCTAACCACATCCCTTCCCCGGCTCAGGACCTGCCCTCCAGCACCGATATCACCACCGCCGACGAATGGTCTCCCCTCGAATCCCTGATCTCCGATGCAGTTTGCTCCTCCCTTACCGTCAACCGTCCCGAGTTAAGGAAATGGACTCCCCTCGCAGCCTTCGGCCTGGACTCACTCACCGCCATCCAGCTCGCACGCGAGATCGAAACGCGCCTGGGCAGACGGCCGGGTATCACCCTCATCTTAAGGAATGCGACTGTAGCAAAGCTAGCGCAAGTCCTGGCTGAAGAATGCCTCACAACTCCTGTGCTTGCATCAAGCGCGCTTAAGGAGGTTGAAGAACCTCTGTTGCCCAAGGAGCTCATCGACAGCGTGCTGGGGGATCTCAAGGAGAAGGGCGTGACCGTCACAACCCTCCTGCCGTGTACTCCACTTCAAGAGGGTATGCTCCTCTCCTCTTCCGGCAGCGGTAGCTCCCAATACCTGAACCAGATGCTCTTTCGTCTCAACAGCCCCCTCAACCCCCTGAAGCAAGCTTTTACATCCATGGTTGTTAGGCACCCTATTCTGCGCACAATCTTCCTCACTACATCATCCACTCAATACCCAATTATTCAGGCAGTTTTGGAGGCGTGGGAGCCCGTCTGGCATGGGTTTGGCACCTCTCCATCAAGCATAGAAAACTGCTTGGAGCAACAGGTGAAAGCTGTCCCCCCTGCGCTGGACAGTCTGACACCCGCCATCTCCTTCGGTGTGATCCACCACGGACAAGATACCTACATCTCTTTTGTATGCCATCATGCTCTCTATGATGGCGTGGCGATCCAACGGCTGCTCTACGAAGTCGAGCAAACCGTCGCCGGACAGGTTTTGTCGCCCCCATCGAAGTATGACTCCTTCCTTCGCTTGAGTCTGGCGCTCCCTGCGGATACGGACACATTCTGGAGGGCCCAACTGGAAGGGTACACGCCTAAACTGGCTTCCAAGTTGTCGTTTGACGGCCTCCCACTAGAGAAGATCAACCTGATACAGGAGTTGGGCATGCCCTTTTCTCAGCTCCAGGGGAGGATCCGCCAGCTAGGCATCACGCTCCTCACAGCATCCCACACATCCTGGACGCTCACCCTCTCCACTGTTTTTAACAGCGGCGACATCTGCTTCGGAACAGTCATCAACGGCCGTAGCGTTCCCCTTCCACAGATCGACGAACTTGTCGCTCCGTGCTTCAACACTATACCGATCCGAGTGAAGTTGGAGGATGAGACACTAAGGGTCGCGGAAGTGATGAGGTTGGTAGGGGATATTAATGAACGGGCGAGGGAGTACCAGTTTACGGGGCTGAGGAGGATACAGGGAGTGGTTGGGAAGGGGAGGGTGTTTGATACGCTTGTGTTGGTGCAAGCTCCGGGGAGGGAACTGGACCAAGCTGTTTGGAGACTTGAAAAGGACGAGGGGGAGATGGATGTAAGTGCCCTGTCACAGCTGTGACTTTAATGTTGAGGCCGGGTTGTGCGGTGATATGTTGTGCGGATGGTGATGCTGACAAAAACAAAAACTTAGATCCCCTATGTCCTCGAAATCACCCCCAACCCGACGCAAGACAAACTCGTTGTTCGTCTCCACGCCCAAGAGAGGTAAGCCCTCCCGCTTTCCCCTTAGATTCTCAAGTTAGCGCTAACCCCCTGTAACAGCCCTATTTCCTCCCTCCTGTTGCATCTCTTCCTCCACACCTTCAACACCATCCTCGCCTATCCACACTCTCACCTCCCACTCATCCTCCCGACTCCCTTGGCCGACGACATCTCGAGGATCAAACACCCCCAACCCGCTACCGAACCCACAGCTTCTCTCGGCAAAGAGGACTGGACGCCGACAGAGCTTACCATCTGCTCTGTGCTGACCTCTCTCTCACACGTGGATGAGGCCAGGATAACCCGGCATACAACGATTTATCAGCTCGGACTGGATAGCATTTCTGCCGTACAAATCGCCTCCAAGCTACGCAACACTTTCTCGGACAGGCAAGTGACGGTAACGGCGAGTGATGTCCTCACCTACCCAACATGTGCCCGTCTCGCGGCCTTTATCGATGCCCAAACCGCCAACCCCTCGATCGACATTCCCGCCAAGCCGGCATACGACCTCTCAAGTTTCCAATCGCGGGTACGTCCGCAACTCGCCGTTCATGGGATTGATATGGATCAAGTCGAGACCCTCCTCCCCTGCACCCCAACACAATCCGCCATGCTCGCCCAATTTATCAAGTCTTCCGGCAAAGACTACCTCAATTTCCTTGAGTTTGAGGTCAGTTCGGAAGGGGTTGCCTCCTCACAGCTCGCTGATACATGGCACAAGGTCTGTGCTGCTCAGCCTATGCTTCGTGCGGGGGTTATTCCGGTTGAGGGGGTGAGGGAGGTTGAGTTCGGGATGGTGGTTTACAAGGCTGAGGACTTCTCCCCTCGTGTCAGTGTTCATCAAGGGTACTTCGAGCGTGAGAAATGGAGACGTGAGGCTCAAAAGGCTGCCTATGACAACCCGGAAACCAATCTCTGGAGCGTGGCGATCCTGGAAAGAGAGAAAGGGCTGCACATGCACCTGGCCATCCACCACGCCCTCTACGACGTGCACTCCCTTCGGCTTTTGCTTGCTTCTTTATCTGAATGCCTCTCCGGCCGCCAACTCTCTCCGCAGGACATAACCCCTGCTGTTGTCGATATCCTCTCCCAAACTACCTCCCCTGACCCCTCTTTCTGGACAGGGCTGGCCGAAAAGGTTGTGGTAAACCGCTTCCCGGTCATGACTCCTCTCCAACAGCGCAACAGAACGATTGAGACCGCCGAGATGGCAAGTAGTTTGCCTGTTGGAACGCTAGAGAAAGGGGCTATGCAAGCCGGCTACACCCTGCACACCCTCTTCTCCGCAGCCTGGACCCGCGTCCTCTCCTCCTACCTGGGCGAATCCTCCGTCGTGTTTGGAATTGTGCTGTCGGGGAGAACAACCGATGCGACGAGGGAGGCTGTGTTTCCTTGTATTTGTACGCTGCCTGTTGTGGCAGAAAACACCGAGAAGAATGAGGAGTTATTGCGCAGCATGTTGAGGTATAACACTGCCCTCTACACCCAGCAGCATCTCCCCCTGACCAGGATTCAGCAGTGGCTCGGGAGGGGGGATACAAAGCTATTTGATACGCTGCTCGTATACCAGAAACTCGACCTTCCTCCGGGCCCTGACAGCGAGACTCGCCGCTGGAAGATTGTGGACGACACGCCGCAAACCGACATCCCCTTGTCGCTGGAGATTGAACACTCCTCAGGCTCGACGTCACTAAGCCTGCTCTACCGCGCTACCTTCTTCACGGACATCCTCCCCCCTGAACAGGCGGCCCTCCTGCTGAAGCAGTTCGATGCGCAGGTGTCACACCTCGCTTTGCACCCCGACGAGACGGACTCTGCCCTGAACGATGCTCACCCAGAGCTATATTCTATCCTACTCGCCGAACAACCGACTCTGTCCACAGAGGTGAAGTTCCTGCACGAGTTTGTCTCGCGGCAAGCTGCGTTGACGCCCGAGGCGACGGCGCTGTGGTTTGTGGACCGTTTCGACAACAACAACAACCCCATCGGCAGGGAATGGACGTATTTGGAGCTAGAGAAGCAGGGAAACCGTGTCGCTCATCTCTTGAGCGGACATGTCTCAACGGGCGACGTGGTCGCAGTCTGCTTTGACAAGTCTCCCGTGGCATACTTTTCAATTCTTGGAGTGCTCAAAGCAGGGTGTGCGTTTCTCGCGCTCGATCCTGGCGCGCCGAGGGAAAGGAATGAGTTTATCCTTAGGGACTCCGGTGCCACGATGTTACTGACGGACGGGCCGAGCCCGGCTTTGGGCACAAGCATTCCGGTGTTGGTGGTCACCGAAGCGTTGTTGGCCTCCGAGTCCCTCCCACCGGACCCCGTCTCTCTAACCAGAGATCTCAAGAGTGAAGATGTAGCCTACATCCTCTACACTTCGGGCACAACCGGCACCCCGAAAGGCTGCTGTATCACGCACTCCAACACCGTCCAATGCATGCTTTCTTTCCAAGTCATCTTCACAGGTCATTGGACGCCCGGCGCCTCTCGCTGGCTGCAGTTCGCCTCGCTCCACTTCGACGTCTCGGTCCTAGAGCAGTACTGGTCCTGGTCGGCGGGCATCACACTCGTCTCTGCGCCGCGCGACCTGATCCTCTCCGATTTAGCGGGCACGATCTCGCGACTCGAAATCACGCACATCGATTTGACGCCTAGCCTGGCAAGGCTCTTACATCCGGAGGAAGTGCCCAGCTTGTGTCGCGGTGTGTTCATAACAGGCGGCGAGGCACTGAAGCAGGAGATTTTGGATGTTTGGGGCGAGACGGGGGTGATCTATAATTTTTACGGACCGACAGAAGCCACTATCGGCGTTACCGTCTACCCCAGGGTGCCAAAAGAAGGGAAGGCGTCGAATATCGGGCGTCAATTCATCAACGTCGGGGCGTATGTCCTAAAACCCGGCACCGAGGAGCCTGTTTTGCGTGGCGGCGTCGGCGAGCTTTGTGTGTCTGGCCCGCTGGTTGGGAAGGGTTATTTGCAGAGAGAGGGTTTGACGAGAGAGAAGTTCCCCACCCTTTCTAAATTCGGGGAGCGGGTTTATCGCACCGGAGATCTCGTCCGCGTCCTGCACGACGGGTGCTTCGACTTTCTGGGTCGTGCCGACGACCAGGTCAAGCTGCGCGGACAGAGGCTCGAAATTGGGGAGATCAACCACGCCATTCGGAAGGGCGTGCCCGAGATCAAGGACGTCGCTACGCTTGTCGTGCGGAATGAAGCGCAGAAGAAGGATTTACTGGTGTCGTTTGTCGTGCCGAATGCCGAAAAGAAGCATGGCCCCCTGGCGCTGGTAGAGACGCCCGAGACAATCGAGATGTGTCAATCTGCCCGCTCAGCCTGCCGCTCGAAGCTTCCTGGCTACATGGTCCCGACCTATGTTCTTCCCGTGCCATATATTCCCCTCTCGCGCAACAACAAGGCTGAGTTGAAAGAACTACGGAGGTTCTTTGCCTCTCTCTCGGCTGAACAGCTCTTGGCTTTATCCTCCTCAACCTCTGCATCCCATCACACTCTGGACGCGACCGGAGTGAAGATTGTTCAAATGTTATCCTCTATGACGGGTGTACCCCTGGAGACAGTCAAGGCCGACGCGACCATCTTCGAACTAGGTATCGACTCCATCTCCGTGCTGCGCCTGTCCCGCTTGTTCAATTCCAACGGTTTCCCCTCTGCGACTCCAGCACTCATCCTCCGGCATCCTGTCGTCGCCGACCTTGCCAGAGCCCTCTCCACACAACAAAGACCGTCCTCAACCTCTGCCGCGGTACAAGCTGCCCGACTTCGGATCCAAGCCTGCGCCCACAAGCACCTGTCCCACATCTGTAGAGATCTAGATGTGCGGCTGACAGAGGTAGAGTACATTGCGCCGTGCTCGCCGCTGCAGGAGGGTATGCTTTCTCGGTCTGGGGTCGACGGGGCGTATTTCAACACCTTCCGACTTGTCCTCGCTGATGCAGTGAACCTTGACCGGCTAGAGGAGGCTCTAAAGAGGGTTGTCGACAAGCTGCCGATCCTCAGGACAAAGTTCGTCAAAACGACGGATGGGTTTATGCAGGTTGCTTTACGGCAGCCCTTCCCTGGGTGGGAGGTTGTTGATGGAAACGTCCGCGAGATCATGCAGCAAACCAGAAAGGAATGGATCGCCTTGAATCAGGAGACTTTCGTCCAGCCGTGGAAGGCTGTGCTTGTGGGAAGGGAGCTGGTATTGCATATCTTCCATGCGCTGTATGATGCTAACAGCCTCAAGCTGATGCTTGCTAGGCTGGCAGCAGAGTATCGTGGCGAGAGGGAGGGAGATGAAGAGCCTTCCTTCCTGGAGGCGCTTGTCCATGGGCCGTTGCAGGATTTTTCGGAGAGTAAAGGGTTCTGGGTTGAGCATCTGAAGCAGGCAAGCTTAACGCCCGTGCCAAGGTCCTCTTCGGTCGGTATGACGTCCGTATCAAGGACGATCGCAGCCCCTGACTTGGACACCCTCCGCTCGAAGCTCGGCACAACCTATCAATCCCTCCTCCAAGCCCTGTGGGCATCCCTCCTATCAAAGCACCTGAACACAGCGACCCCCACGATGGGCTTAATCCTCTCCGGTCGCACCATCGCCCTCCCTTCCGCAGACCTCATCCCGGGGCCCATGTTCAACACCCTCCCCTTCTGTGCCCACATCTCATCTCAAACAACTTGGTCCTCTCTCGTAAAACAATGCCACGACTTCAATACCGCCGTCCTGCCATTCCAGCATGTACCCCTGAGGGAGGTGCAAAAGTGGTGCACGGGCGGGAGGAAGATCTTTGAAGTGTTGTTTTCGTTCCAGATTGAGGATGATGACACTGAAAAAATAGAGAGACTGTGGAGGATTGCTGATGATGAACAGACGGGGACGGAGTACCCTCTGGCGTTGGAGATTACGTTGAGGGAGGGGATACAATTAAAAGTTGTGCTTGTCGCGAGGGGGGCTGAGGAACAAATACTAGAAAAGATGGCTGACGAGTTGGAGAGTGGGCTGCACAGCATGCTCAGTAACCCGGACGCCATCGTCTCAACTGACACATCATCCCTGAGCGCAGTACTGCATCAGAACGGCCACGCCTCCGCCGACGGTTCAGGCCCTCTCCCCCTCCGGCTCCCCAATGGCACCTCCCACACAACCGCTCCGTTCGTCTGGACTCCCTCAGCCCAGCTCCTCCGGCAGGAAATTGCCTCCCTCGCTGAAACAGACCCATCGTCAGTGTCAGAATCAACCCCCCTCCTCTCCCTCGGCCTGGATTCCATCGACATCATCAAGCTCTCTGCGCGTCTCAAGTCGCACGGCATCGAAGTCAAAACAAGTGAGATCCTTCGGAGGCAGACAATCGCCTCCATCACGCAGCTCTTGCAGTCCCGCGCCGGGGAGCCGAGCAAGCAATCGGTACGGGAGAAGAGGGTTGAGATCGTAACGACCTTGTTAAGAGAACATCTCACAGAAAGGGGGGAGTTGCAAGAGAGAGAGGTAGCACTACCCGTCACCGCCATCCAAGAAGCGCTCCTCACGCAAATGCTCGACTCCGACTTCACTCTCTACTTCAACCACGACATTCTGGCCATCTCATCCCAAGTCGACATCCCCCGGTACAAATCCGCCTGGTCAGCCGTCCTAGCCGGGGAACCGATCCTCCGCACGCGGTTCACCCCCCTCCCTGCCGGACTGCCAGGGCTGAAATCAACCTGGTGCCAGGTCATCTCCCCCTCTCCCACAGCACACATCGTGGAGGTTGAGTTGCAGAGTGAAGACGAGCTGTCCAAACTGACCGAGACAGCCACCATCCGCGCGAGGCAAGGTGCCGGGAAGGCTGATCTGGTGCAGCTAGCTTTTGCGACGGTAGGAGAGAAGACATTCGTGGTGCTGTCACTCGCACACGCGCTGTATGATGGCTGGAGTTTGGGACTGATTCATCGCGCTGTGTGGGAGGCCTATGAAGGTCGTTATTCGCCGCCCGAGATGGATGCATACCTTGGCCAAGTGCAGGAGGTACTGCTCTTCCCGGAGGATGACAACGACGATGCGGCGGCTTTCTGGGCAGGGTTCTTACAGGGCACTCGGCAGACTTTGTACCCCCGACGCTCTCCAACCCCCTCCGACGAGACTCATCGCGCTGAGTTGGCATCCTCTGTACTCCCAGAACAGCTCACAGCCTTTCTCAAATCCCACGCCATCACCCTCCAAACCCTAACCCAATCCATCTGGTCCGTCCACCTCGCCTGCCTCACCGCGTCGTTAGACACGATCTTCGCCACAGTCCTCTCCCTCCGCACCACTCCTCCCCTCGAAAACCTCCCCTACCCGACTATGAACACAGTCGCCGTCCGCTCCGTGTTGCACGGTACAGTTGCCAACTGGCTGCACTACATGCAAGAGAATATGGCATCTGTCCTAGCGCACGGCCATTTCCCTTTGAGAGAGGCACTGCGTGTTGCGGGACTCACAGGAGGGGTGTTGAATACGTTGTTTATTGCGCAGCGGTCGCTGGGTGGGGACAAGAAGGGGGAAGGCCTGGCGAGTAGTGTAGGAGGGGAAGCGAGGGCTGAGTATCCTGTTTGTGTGGAGGTTGAGATGGTTGGGGGTAAGTTGGTTTGGAGGGGGGCTTGTGAAGGTGCTTATGGTTCGCAAGAAGAAATTGATGGGCTGCTGAGGAGGTTAGATGGGTTGTTGGCATGGGTGTTGGAACATCCCGACGCAGACGTGGTCACCTTCTCAGGCGACTCAGTCCAGATCTGCGGTCTGCCGCCCATCAGACTTCGTGACGCCCAAGACCAGATCGCCAACGGAATCGACGACACCGATGCGTGGTCACCTCTCGAAGAACAGATTCGCGACGCGTTGGCTTCAGTCGCTGGCATCCCCGCGTCGAGCATCGCGAGAAGCAACAACGTCTACCACCTTGGCCTAGACTCCATCAGCGCCATCAAAGCCACGACCCTCCTCCGCAAGCAGGGAGTGAACCTTGGACTAAGGGACATGCTTCGTGCATCATCAATTGCCGAAATGGCTCCCTTAGTCCGTGCCCCAGCCGGTGTTGACATGCCCGCAGCAGAAAGCAGTGCCCTGTCTGAGGTCGAGGTGCGTGGCGTGCTGGACAAGTTTGGGATTGACGGGAGTGCGGTTGAGGATGTCCTCCCCGCGATGGCAATGCAAGTTCATATGTTGTCGGTGTGGCTAAACACGAGGGGCGAGGTGTTTTACCCTGAGTTTAGGTACACTTTGTCTGGGAAGATCACTGCCAGCGCTATTGACAAGGCGTGGAAGACGCTTGTAGGAGAGACGCCTATTCTGAGGACGGTGTTCGTGGCTACTGAGTCGAGGGACACGCCCGTGATGCAGGTTGTCTTGAAAAAGGAATTCCTAGACGAGAGTGTCGTCCGGGACGGGGTGTGGATGAGCAAGGAGAGGGAGGCAGAGCAGCCGTATAACCGGTTGGTTGCCACAAAAGAGGATGAGAAGTGGAGGTTGAGGATGAAGATTCACCACGCGCTGTATGATGCTGTCAGCTTGCCGGCTATCATGGAGCGGTTTGCCGCTTTGTGCTCTAATCGTGCTCAACAACCCGTCTGGCCTGCCAAGCTCCCGAGACCACTTCTGGCCGACAAGCCTGAGAGAAAGCGCTTCTGGACGAAGTACCTCACCGGAGCCGAGACTGTCCCACTGTGCTTGGGGTCAAACGAGTCTGCTGCACGCGTCAGCCTGGTCAAAAAAGCCCTGCCCGACGTCACCTCTCTCTCAAGGACATGCAAAGCAAACGGCATCAGCTTGCAATCCCTCTTCTTCGCTGCCTACGCAGAATATCTCTCCTCTCTTGCCCCCAGTCGATCCACTTCGGTCGTTTTTGGGGTTTACCTCGCCAACCGCACCGACAAGACCGTCGGAGCTGAGGATTTCCCTACCTTGAGGCTCGTCCCGATCAAAGCTGTTCTGAGGGAGGACACTGGGCTGGTTGAAGTTGCAAAACAGATTCAGGAGGACATTCACGTCATCTCTGCGGTAGAGCACATTGATGTCGGGTTATGGGAGATTCAAGAGTGGACGGGTGTCGTGGTGAACTCGTTCGTGAACTTCCTTGGTGCGCCGGTCAATGGGTGTGAACTTAAAGGTGTGAAGTTGGAGGTTGAGGAGGTTGATTGGAATGAAGAGAGACCTAGCAATGCTGAAAGCTGGGTATCGCCAAGGGAACTGGAAGGGAATCTTGTTCGGGGAGCTTTCCCCGACGCTGTCGACATCGAAGTCTCTGTCCTCGACGGCATGACAATCGGCGTGTTTGGCCCTCCTTCGAAGCTTGGCAGCCCTCAAAAGATTATAGACGGCGTCGTTGCTATCCTGCAGCGCATCTAGCCTGTATATAGTCAAACTGTCCTACCTAGTCATATCGTATCCTATCCTCCACCACACCGTTGTATCCTATATCCTACTCCTTCTTCCACGTCGAATCGGCATCTACTTCTCGTTAGCTTCATTTCCTCCCAAACCCCCTAGCCCCCCCCCCTTTTTTTTCCCCGCCCCCAAGACACGTAAAACACTCACCCTCATGAATCTTGGGCTCCTCCAATCCTGCTCTTACCTCCCTCTTCCTTCGCCAATCACACCCCCTGAGTCTCTGATCCCTCTCATCCATCAACCGCTCCAACCCCGGCACCTGCCCTTCTGCGGTAACACTCGTCATCAACTGCGGCTCCCCCAAAGGTAACTCATCCCCGCGATCAACCTGCCACAAATGATAGACCTTGCCATATAAAGTGATCACTTCCTTCATGACCTCCGTCTCGGCCTTATCCCACGCCGCCTGGGGTACGAGCACAGAAGGTTGGGGCATCACTAACATGCCTGATTTAACTTCATACACATGGCTATGCCACAGTTTGCGCTCTTCCTGAGGTAAAGTTTCGTACAAACGAGGGGAGATCATGTACTCTATTCCAATGAGTCGCGCATTGGCTGAAGGGGAGTCGTACAAAAGGCACTGGCGGACTTCAGACGTCAAATGGGCGCAGTAGTGGTTTGTTTCGATGAGACGGGTCGGACAGGAGGCGTAGACATGGTAGGCGTTTAAGTGGGCATGGATGGATTGGAGGGGGGTGAAGTCCTGGCCGGGCTTATTTAGCGCGGGATTGATTATCTACATAATAAAGAAACAGTGATAATAAGAGTGAAAAAGAGGGAAGAGGGGGGGGGGGGTGGAGGGGAAGAGCCTTGCCTGGGTCATGGACGCTCCCGCTTCGAGGAGGGAGGTCGTGGTTGAGGGTGGCGAGCCAGGGACTTTAACGTTTGTTGGGTTGGTCAACGACATTGTTTCTTGGTGGCTGCTTGCTACGTGAGGCAGTCTTCGGTGCGCTGGTTCGCGAACCTATGTTGGTACCGGCAAGAAAAAGACAAGCCATCGTGATCGACGGTCGAACGAATCGCCTTGGGGCCTGCGTCCGCGACTGACGAATGGCGTGACGTCATGACGATGGAGTGGCTGCTCAGCTGAAAATGAGGCGACGCGGCGAGGGGGGTTGGCTTGTAAAAGTGGTTGTAAGAGTGGTGAAAATTACTGTTCTGAAAGTTACGGCTAGTGGGTTTGGTCGACCGGCTTGGCGTCAGTTGGGCATCCATGAAGCGACTTTCCGAGTTGCAAACTGTGGCTAATTTATCCAATAATCATTCGTTATTTTCAGATTACGGCTCTATTTTCGATTTTCTTACTTTCTTCTTTTGTGCTGTCTAAAGTTGGTCTCACTCCTTTGACTTGTCTCTGGAAATGAGAGTTAAAAGTTTGAAGCTTCGTCCGGATGTTACAGGTCAGTAATATTCTAATCTGCAGAGACCGCTAGTGGCCTGTCCTCCTCCATTGGTCAGCTTCTCCAAATTTCGGTCCACCAGATCAAGAGCCTGGTGGAGTCCCGGTGGGGCGTCAGCCACAAGGCTCTTGATTCAGCCAATCCCATGCCACACCACGTCCTCCACATCTTTGGACAGCCCGTCAGACTCCCTCAACCTAATCTCAAAACAATCTCATTAAACCACACAACAAATTCACACATTCTGAGATGTGAGCTGTTTGCCACTCACGAAAACACAGCCTGTCGCGTTCAAAGAAGATTGTTTCACAACTGAAAGAAGCGACAAATATTAGCTGCGTTGGCAGAGACCGATCGAGCCGTGGCTTGGACGTTGCATCTCACTAAACTCGATTCGTGATGGCGCCAGGAATGCGACAAAAGGCCCCGGCTCGTGGGATTGCGGGCTGGGGGAGGCTGGGCCAGGCTGGGAACCAATACCCGCGTTTCGCGGAGCTGCCGCGCTACAGCCCCAAGAGCTGCCATTGGGCAGACGTTGCATACAAGCTCAGGGGAGAGGGGTGTGCTGGTTTCTGGCACATCGCACCACTGCAACACGGCTGACGGCCTTTGCCTGCGACAATGGGCAGCAGGAAACTCTTCCCTGAGAAGGCTCTGACACCGGCAGCGTCTTTGTTGAGGCTCTTGTTCTTACGGCCGGATATATGAGTTCGACGCTGCTTGCTTCTCGAGCTCGATTGAGCTTGTCTCTTTCACAACCTCGGCTACGTCCCTCTCTGCCGACAACGGCTCAGCCAGGATGTCGACCGTTAATCCCATCCCCAACGAGACCATCCTCAACGCGACCATCCACAATGCCACCATCCTAGGGGACATCGGTGGCAAGGACAACAACACGGTTGAGTGGGTGGCCCTCGTCTTCTCGATCATTGCCCTTATCGCAACTTTATTCCAGCTCTTCCGCGAGTACAGCGCGTCGGCCGTTGGCTGGACGTGCTGTAGCCAGCGCGTTATAGGCCGATGGAGCGAGTTCAGAAACTGGAAGATGCGATGGCTGCAATTTCGGATCGAGGTCAGGTTCGAGACGCCTGTGCTTTTTGTCTGTCCTCCCACGAACAAACGAGGTCCGATCAAGGATCAAGAACCTGTAATCGTCACCGGTGAAAAGCGGAGCCTGGACGAAACGAGATCGGAGCTTCCTAGGAGTGAGGAACAGGAAGCAGCGGCTCAGAAGCTCTCCTTGAAGGATAGAGGCATTCATACAGCCGACAATGAGCGCGCGTCGTGGCTTGAATTGCTCTCACATCTACACTTGATGGAGAAGGAGAGCAAAGAGTGGCAGGCGCAACAAAAGGAATATGCGGAAAAGCGGTTGGCCAGGCTGGGACCACCGGCCGATAATCCAGATAGCCTGGGTTCTCCGGAGGATAATCCGGATCATCCAATGTCTCTACTCCGCCGAAACATTGAATCGGTCGATTTCAAGAAGCATCACACCCTGGCGGTTGCCGTTCAGCGTAAGAAACGCAGTTGGGACGACATGCCGAGCAGCGTGAAGAAACCATACGCAACCACCACCATTTGTCATATCCTGGAGATCGCAGCGATGATGGGCATCCACTGGAAAGAGTTCGATCGATGCCATGATCGCTATCGTGCCGAGGGTAACGGGTTTATGCTGACGGGCACCCATATCCCTGACCTGGGGTTGATGTTTACTCTGCACATCTCCGGCCAGAGCAAGTTCCGCGAGAACAGGGTTATTCCAGTGGACGAGGTTAAAGAGCTCTGCTGCGGCTTTGTGTCGACCATCTTCCAGACGAACAAGGACTTCCGCCGAGTCACCTCGCCCGCCGAGGACCCCAAGGATCTTGGTTTGCTAAAGCTGGGCAGTATGAACGAGATTGCCGAAACAATGGTACTCCTCGACTGCACGACCGATACGGCCAAGATCTTTCTCAACAAAGACGCCAACCACATGCATCTCTTTGCCGGTATGTAAAGCTTTTTCAAGTTTTTTTTTTCGTTTTTTTGTTTTGGTTTTTATTTTTTTTAAAAAAAAGTGACCATCGCTGAATTTTTTACAGTCCCCTTTGAGCTCGTCGGGATGCTGGGCAAGACACTATACATCCGGAACAGCGGCTTCCGTATGCTTCCTAACCCGACTCCGTACCACTGGGACCGAAATTTCTTCGACCTTCGGCAGGTCATCAAGGAGTTCTCGAGGCGCCTCGAAGACCCCGAAAGGCCTGACTTCCGTGGCTTATCCGACGAGGGTGAGCAGTATGAGAACGAGAAAGCAAACAAGTCGCTCAGCGCGCAGCAGCTCGAAAAATTGCTCCAGTGGTCCAAGCAGCTCTCCGGGCTGTTTAAGAAAGAGAGAGAGCTGAACAAAAAGCTTCAAGAGGCCAAGGCTAAGCTGAAGGGTGAGAGGATAATGAACCAGAACGGTAACCAGAACAACGGGGAACAACAATCTGAACAACAATCTGAGCAACGAGCCTTTGCTGGCAGGCTTGGACGTGCAACTGGACATGTTCGCGGGTTCGCAAACTCGGTTTTGAGGAACCGGTTCGCCAGGAACCATCACCAAGGCGAGGGCGTGGAAATGCAGCCTCAAAATTGCCCTCATGATGCACCCTTACCAGAAGAGATAGAGGCATCCGGCCACTCTTTCCTTCTTTACAATGCTCTGTACGATGTGCTCAAGGAATGTGACAACTTCATTCTCAGCAGCGACCGTGATCTCGTACGCCTGATCATCCGCGAGCACTTCCAGCAGATCTTGAAAATGATCAACGAGCGTGGTGCCAGCCCAGACGCCATCAGCAGCACTGCTGGCACTGGTACTGCCCCCTCGAGCCACGAACCGCCCACCCGGGGAATCAGCCGCCATCGGACAACCGACAGCAGCGGGCCATCCGACCACGGGACAGACGGCTACGTCCGAGCCGAGCGCTTCGACCAGCTCACAACCGAGCCTCCGGAACGGCGCGCCAAGATTTTCATGGACGTCTACTTCTACAAGGTGCTGTCCGTCGTCTGCGAGCGCGCCGTGTATTCGTTCGAGTCGTACCGCCGCCGCTTGTCGACGATCTCTCCACGCTCGAACATGCCGAGGACCGTTCCTCTGAGCAGAGACATATCGTCCATGTCGGGCGGTACGCTCACGTCAGAACCGCCGGCGCCAGCTGCAACAGTCGGACGGCCAGATATCGGCTCGCTGGAAGCACAGGCCACGGCGATCTGGTGCACGCTCGTGCTGCGCATGTTGTGCTGGTTGCAGCTGCATGATTTTGACAAGAGGGATGTGCAGATATCGAAGAGCGAGCTGTTGGGGAGCAGGCTGCCGGTGTATATTGCTTAAGGGGAAGGAAAGGGGAAAGAAAGGGGGGGGGGAGGGGAAGGGGGGAAAGAGGCTATAATTTGGATCTTATGGTTATGAGTCATGAGTGATGGATTTACGGTCTACGACATGGCTTATGTTTTTTTTTTTTTTTGTATACCCCGAGGTTGCAGTTTGTTTGCAAAGTTTTTTTTTTTTTTTATTTTCGTTTTTTTCCTTATGTTTGGTTTGTTTTGCATAGACCTAGACCCAGACCCTGGACCTGCGGTGTAGACCCTCGGACCGATCTGTTTCACACACCGATTCTTGGAAATTTTGACCTTTTGACTCAAGTTTCTCCGGCTAAAATCGCTTTTTGAAGACGATGACTCTTTTTCCTCCTCCTCTTTCAGGCATATTTTTTTCTCTTCCCCTCTCCCCTCGCAGTCATCACTCACATGGGGGTAGGGCCAGAGAAGTTGGGCTCCGCTGGCATTAACCTGAAGCGATACTCTCCTCCATCTGAATGCCAAGTGGGGCCCGCTAATGCTGCTTGATGAGGTGGCATCGCTGCCCCACCGCATCACGCCGCGTCGCCCAACTTCGACCCGAATCGACCAGTCTCGAAGCGTTCTGTACCTTCTGTTGCATTTCTCTGGACCCGAGACCGCCAACTCATCAGATGCGATCGCAATGCCGCTGCATGTTCCAGGGTCGCGCAGCTTGTAGGACAACCCCAGCACCACTGTACTCTTCTGGGCCAGGGCTGACTCTTCCAGCCATCCGGAGCGGGGCGTCCACTGAGGACTCGCCCAATGGCCTGTTACCTCCACCTACCAGCGCCCCTCCAGCCCCGCTCCCAGCCTGCGCAGCGAACTGAGAGCGCCGGATGCGGTGAGCACCAGTAAGGAGCCATGCCCTCTGGGCTCAGAACTCACCGGATCGCAAGAGATCGGCTGTCCGCCACGAGATGCATGCGTCCAGGATGGTAGCACATCACTCCCCTCGACACGGAGAGGGCGGGCGGGCCATCCGAGCTAGAGCTAGCGGTGGCGACCATCCCGACGGGCCAGTCTAACTCTCGCTCCAATGCGTACCCGACACCGCCGGTCCAATGAAGGAGACGGAGGAAGAACGAAAAGAGGATGTGAAAATGGGCTTCAATGCAAAAAGGTCTGCAGCACCGTTTGGGCCAGCTGCCGCACCTCCCGCACCCAGGTCTCCTGCATCCCGCGTCTGATCTGGCTTCAGAGTTCAAAACTGGGCTACGGCACGGCTCTTTTTTTTTTTTTTTTC